TATTTCACTATTTTATCGGGTTTGAGTTTATATCCCAAAATAGAAACTTAAGACCAATATGAATTATATCATTTTTAAAAAATATATTGTATTACAATAATTTTTTATTTACATGCACATACCTTAATCCTTGTTTTTTTTCTGTCTTTGTCTTTACAGTATAGGGAAAGGGGATCCCACACTGGTATTTGAGCAAATGAAAATACTGTGTATTTAAGATATTGTATACATTTTAAGTGTTTAGAACAAGCCTAGCTTTGGTTAAGGCAGCAAACAAAGCAAGATTAATAGTAACGTTGGCAACATGGAAATCTAGTCTGGAATGAGTGGCCAATCAGAAACAAGGGTGGTTATATTTTATACGATGGAGAGAACACAGTAGCTTACAGAGCTCCGCAACAAATGTTGGAGATTGTTTCAGCAACAATTGTAAGATGTTCAGAGAATTATTTTCCTAATATACAATGCTTGAATTGTAAACTATTTAAAGTATTTTAGTATACTTAAGAGTTCCCTTTTTCATAAAGTCTAATTGAAGTCTTATTTTGCTCAAATATGGGGTTTAGTGCACATCTCTATTGACTTTTACATCTCGTAAAAGTCAATAGAGATGTGTACTAAACCCCATATTTTAGCAAAATAAGGCTTCAATTACATATTGTTAGATAAGCTTTTTTTTTATAAACTTTCAAAATGATTTAATATTATGCAATTCATTTTACATTTCATTATTTTAAAATACATATTTTAATCATTTAATCATTCTTCAAATTATTTCAAATGTTTGGAAAACTTTTAAGATTTATTTTGCAGATAATAAAATATAAAAAAAATACTATATATAAAAAATATCAATATATAGAAAAATGTCAAAATATTAAAACATTTTTAAAATAGTAAGCCATTTTAAAAGATTATCCAATAATATTAAGTAATTTGAAATACTTACCCGCAATTTTAAATCAAGACCTAAATCTGAAATGCAAAACTGAGGTTAAAATTGCTCATTTTGAAAAAATTCTGTAACTCAGCCATACTCATTTTATTTGCTAAAATAATCAAGGTCATAATATGAGTACACATTAATCCAACATTTATTTCTTGAAAATGTTTAGTCAATGTTTAAAGACATTCCACTAAACAACTGACTATATCGGCAAAGAATGCTAAATCTTGCAACCAATCAATGCTCATATAAATCACCAACAATAGTTGCAAAAGGTGTTAACCAAAAAGTACTAAAAATAAAAAAATGGAATAATAAAAAACAAGGAAACTGGTCCACAAAGCATATATATTTTATGCATTCTCTTTTTAATTTATTTCTTAATACACCTATTGCTTTTTTTTAATGATTAACATTTCAAAGTAGACTTCGTTTAAGAAAAATATTGTATAAAATGTCTGGAAATTAACTTTCAAAATTAAACTAAATGGAAATTTGAGACAATACTCTACAGGATGCTTTTAAAGTTATGTGTAAATTTTGGGGTTCTGTTGTGAATGCCAGCATCAGTTGTACAGGTTAATTAGCTGTTGTTAAATACCCCTTTTGTATTACTGTAAAGTGCTATTCAAAATGTTGGTGCTATAAAAATGCTAACGCAGTTTAGGGTGCAAGGTGCTAAATGCCGACAGCCATTCTATTGGCTCCAATGGTGGCCATTTGTAAGACTCACTTGAGTTTATAAAACTTGCCAATCTCCATTCTACACATGTATAATCATAGTTTCCTCCTCTGACAAAATCTAAGTCATTAGTGACTAACATATGTTTAATTTATTCTAAAAGGGGAAGATGTCTACCTGTTACAGTCACTTGATTACAGTTTAATAATATTGATCTACTAACGTGTGATGATGATGTCAATTTAAAACGCTTTGCTATTGCACTAGGAATTTTGTTGGCTGCTTTGATTTTACACAAACATGCAAAGTGAGTATTTTATGGGAACATCTGATTTCTGGATTGTTGCCAGATTGTGATATACATTTTCCTAAGAACTAGGAGCTGGTTGATGATTGTTGTAATACATGCTTTCAATTGATCTGTTAAATATCAAAAGATTAAGGCTGAATATTGCTGCACATATTAATGGTATATCAACTTATCAATGGTATATCAATTAAAGCTTAAGAGAACCAAGATTCCCAAACCAGTTATTCCATTTTGTCCTGCCAGGAGTAATGAATTTTGAAGGTTATAGTTAGGAACTTACTTAAGAATTGTTTTTTAGACTTGTGCACAGTGGAAAAAAAATTTGGTTCAGTTGAATTGATTTGGCTGAAATATTTAGTTTAATTTGGTCGAACCGAAATTTCCCGATGCAGCGTTTCGACTCATCTGAATTTTGGTCATGTAGATGATTCAGGTTATAACTATTATGAAGAACCAAAAAGCAGGAAAATGGGCCTAAACCTATAGTGCTAAATATATGCATAATACTTATATGTATATATATTTTGTAGTAATGTAGTAGGCTCACTTCATGCCGTTTTAATTAAGCTAATTCTGGTCGGAATTCAGTTGACCGAATTCTGATAGAATTCTGACCAAACAGAATGGTCACTTGGTTACTTTTGAGCTTTCCGTTCCATATATTAAGTGTTCAGTCCAACGGATTCCTGCATTATTTCTTTATTATTTAATTTCTTCCTTTCTTTAATTGTTTGAATTAGTGGCTGTTCCCTAACCATGTATCATGTCTTTGTTTGAAATCAGAATCGCAAATCAAACAAAATAGTTCATCCATTGTCCATGTGATTTGTTTCCACTTTGGAATTACAGAATTCGAGCATCCTGCCAATCTGCTAAAATTCAGATAAATTGCATTTTTTTTTTAAATCAAATGCACAATTCTATTGGTTTTGCCATAATTGAGTTTATGATTTAGGAACTGAAGTTAGGGATAATGGGATTATTAAACAGTGTTTAGACAATATTAGTAAAAAAAAAAATACATGTTTTATTTATTAAATTAACATTGATCCTGTTTTTGCCCTGGTAAATCCCCAATATTTTTTTATTTTTTTAAAACAGATTGAATAAAATCATGTGACCCCTTTAACACTCTCCATTTAACGTCTGTATCAGCAGAGAACAATTAGTGGTCAACACACACACATATATATCTATATATTATTAATATTTTTTACATTTATTTATTTATTTTTTAAGCAATTGAAACAAATACTGTGACAAAAGTGTTCAGCCATTGTTGTGCTATTGCTCTCCTGGCTGCTAATGTTATTTTGTTAAATCGTTTTTGTTCTATTGATGTGACAGTAGAAAATGAAGTTTGCATAACATTTTTTATTAGACCCTTGCCAGTATCAGAGGAAATGCCCTTGGACTTTGGAAGGTGGGGATGCAACAGTGAACTGCATATTGGGTAATCATTGTCAGATCAATATAACATATCTTTTCCTAAGAAATGCGTACAAGTTAATGATTGTTAGAAGACGTGTGTTCTACTCATCTATTAAAATAAAGAATGAAACTGAATATTGCTACACGTATTGATGGTTTATCAACTTATTTGATTTTAATATTTAAGAATACGGACCCTTAAGGACACATGACATGTCTGACATGTCATGATTCCCTTTTATTCCAGAAGTTTGGTCCTTCAGGGGTTAAAGAATTCTAGATTGAAAGTGCCTCTTTTGTATTTTTTTAATCTGTGTTGGTGTGTTTTATATGGTATGATGGAAAAGAAGAGATTCAGAAGATTTATTTTTACTATAGTTTATATTCAGATTTAAGGTGGACTTCACCCTCTGGTAGCGTCATTCAGGGTTGACTAATGTTAAATCTGTCGCCATTGCATGATGGCAAAAGATGAATTTAGACGGCACTGCCCACCTCTCTATTCCACTGAAATTCTCCCCTCAGCCCATCCTTAAGGATGTTCCTCAGCCTGGAGTGTGGGAGACTGATGTCACTGGAGAAGGATTGGACTCAACGTTGGACAGCCTGTAAAGTTTTATTTCATTTCTTTCTTTTAACTCTTTTGGGGGATGGAGGGCAGTAAGGTTTACTCTAACCTAAAACCGTGTTTTCTTACAACAGTGTTTTTAGGTGGAGTAACCCTTTAAGTCAGGATTTGATTGTATCTTCTGTGTGTGTTATATTAAATATACCACAATGTATACTTACTCAAAGCAGCATTGCTAAAAGGGACACTATTGTTACCAAAACCACTTCATCTCTATTAAATAGTCTGGGCACCATGTCCCTACAATTTTAACCCTGCAACTAAAAGCATGTTTACTTTGCAGTGTTAACTTTTATTTTGTGGCTGCATTACACTGACAGACACTTGAAACGCTTCCACCCCAATAGTTGAGTTAAACTCGGTTATTCAATGAGATGGTCTCATAGTGCGGTGTTTGGCTGTGAATGTGCATGCGCACTAGCCTCCCAATGCAATCCTATCATCATGTAGAATATTTTTTATTTTTTTTAAGCATTATTCTGTACCTTATAATGAACTACCTAGATCATATCTTACAATATTTTCTTCTTCTAGTCTAGCTTCCTAAATCATGATTTTAATTCTACAACACTGGCTTGTTTCTTTTTAATTAACTATCTGTTTATTTATTTATTTTATATAACACTATTATTTATCCAGGCACTACATTAGTTTGGCTGTCATCCACGGTTTGTTTATTGTTTTATTCTCCCTGACAGTAAAGTGCGGATATTGAAACCATAGAAAACATAGCCATTCAAATTGTGTAGGAATGTCTCATTCGGTTATTACCAATATTCAAGTATCACATTCCCATTGAATATGTATCTGTGCAACTTTACACATCTTCATCACAATGCTTTCTGGAGCAGGTTTCATTGCAATAAGATGCAAGGTGTGTCTGAATACTCATTTACCTAGAAGCTATAATGATGCTGTCATGTGTTTCAACGGAGACCAACCCAAAATAAAGGGTGGAGTACAAGACTCTGTTCTGAAGCATCTTTAGCTCACCCGTCAGAGAAAAGGAGACTCCTACAACATTTTAGTGAAAGAGCAAGGAGTGGAAAACATCCCTTTAGTCTAAAGGTGGAAGGAAAGTAGGCTTCCATCATTAAGAACCGTGTGTTAAGTAAAAGACAGAGGTGATGGATTGGCTGCTATGTGCAAAGTTTGGTGCTTTCTATATTTTAGTGGTAAGTAACCAGTTTATATCTGTTCAAGCTATATACAATATGGATATAATTTAGAACGGTTAACTTCGTATTCATGCCTAGAGTTTTATTAAATGGACATGATATCTGGACGGTAACTTGGCTATATTTGCCTTTCTATTACATTGTTTTGACTGTAAATGTAGTCCAATGTAGTTTAGACATTTACATATCACCATACAGATGTGTTTCTGAGATGTAAGTTCTATGGTCAAGGGTCTTTATTTTCTGTTTCCTTGTATTGATATTTTATTCTTGTACTGGTTTTTTATGTTATGGCTATGTGTACCTCCTGGCAAATGTTACTTGGAATTAATATAATTATATAACTATACTATGAACCAATTATTGTTCTGGGAGTGAGTTTCAAATTATTAGGGCCATCTGGCACTTTTCTTTTCACCTTCCACATATTGTACAAACTACAACTTCATTAATAAATGGCAATATCTTTATAAAACAATATCCCATTGCTCCTTAGTGCGCAAACTAAAAGGCATGTGCTATATAATCATGAAATAGTTATATATTTCAACGCATAGAAATTTATTATGGTGCTAATATTTAGCTGACTGCAAATGCCCTGTAATGTTTCCATCTATTTTAATCAATTATGCACGCTGTCCAAATATTAAGGCAATTATTTCACATGATATTTAATCATTAGTTAGGGTAAAGAACATAATATCTTTTAGTTTAAAATAAATTTCAAATCAGTAATGCAGTCCCAGTGGTTGTATGCATGCATTGGTCACTATATTAAATCCAATAATAAATTAATATAGGCAATGTATGTCTTCCAAACTTTGGCCAAATGTATAATTAACATCTTTTTAACAAATTATTGAATGTGCAGAAATATTACATTGGTTTTAGTGATGATTGTTTCACATTTTAAGCATCACTCCAAACTCTTTTTTTTTTGCCTATTATGACTAATCGAGTTAATATAATACAGTAATTCCTTGATAGAAATTACAGTGAAAATTGGTCATAGTAAACTTTCCTGTTTGTTTGTTTTGTTTTGTTTACCTGATATAAGAACATATGGAAAGCTGTTTGTGAAACGTTGCCTTTGATAGATGTATTCTCCAACCCTGATTTAGTATTATGGTACTTTGAAATATCTTAGCACAAGCTTCTTAAATGTCATACTTCTATGTGATACTGGATATAGCAAGGCCTGTTGTCTGTACTGAAAATATTTTTAAAACAAAATACAAGGTTAATGGAAAAATAAAAGTCTGCAAGCTAAGGGGGTTATCAAAGCCTTAAAGATTTATATTTAATGCCTTAGAGAAACACCGTCAAAATAAGACTTGATATAGTCTTTAACTAAGCATAACTGAATTCATGAAAATAATGACAGATAATTAAACACCATAAAGAATTTCAAAAACATTCAGGATGTGTATACAAATATATAAGTGAAATCATTTTAAGATTTCGTTAGGCATAAGGATGGGGAAATTGGTTCGTATGTTCCTTCAAATATTTGTTTCTCTTTTACAAAAGAGTGTGTTGTCATCTTAAAGTAGGGATCTTAAAGTAGAAATATTCCAATTTTATTTCAATATTGATTGGTGACTTAACTGTAGTTTAGATTATGTATTAATTGGATTGCATTAGGATCCTGAAATATATAGTTCTGAAAATGCTAAAGACAAGATGTTTTCTATCTTGATTTCGTAATGTTTGAATGTTATAGTTAGAGGAACTACTATAATTACTTCTACATCAAATTTTCAAAATAATGTACATATTTATACGTGACAACTTTTCAGCAACTTAATACATTCTTCTGTAGGTTTCAGAGATTATTATTGCTTTTGTCCATTTTCAAAATCCACTAAGTAATGTTCTCATGAATACTGAAAACATGTAGTTATCGATTTCCTTCAAATTCCAATATTTAAACTGGGTACAAAACTCAACATGTCTTCTGAATGCAGACTCGATTCTAATGACCTGTTGTGATTACATGTTATCTATGTGGCCATGTGCAAGCTCTATTGACCATTTTAAGTTTTGCCAAAATTGTGGCCTTGAACTAAACCATTAAACATATATGTGTTACAAAATGTAAAAAAATGTTTAGTACATTTAGCTAATTAGCTTGTATATTAACAAATTTTTAACTAATTATTACCATTATATAGTCAAATCTGAATGCTTTATGGAATAAAGAAGGATTTTTTTCCTTGAATGTGGTAGACCACTTCTCAGTCGGTTTTCAACCATCTTTTGGATTGAATTTAATTGACCTGAGAGGTTTTTTTTTAATTCAGATTAATATGTAACTATATTAACAGAATACAAAGGCATTAAAAGTATTACCATGTACCTAATAGAATCACTTATAACTGGCAATAATATTGTAAATGTTCACAGAGATCATTAATTATACAAATGTAATAATCTGTATGATGATTAAAAAAACTTTGCCCCAGGATTAAACTCTGTAATAACCTATTTTTTTGTAATTATAGATTAGATTAGTGATTCATGTGTTTCTAAGCCATTGCCTTTCACGAGTCAGTAGGCCAATGTTCTACCATTTGTAGGCTGCAGTTTAAGAAAATGTAGTTCAAGAAAGTTTCAGTTTATTCAGTAAGAAATCTAGCTTTTAAAATATGTCACTTATTTCTCTGTAAGACTTTTTGTACAATGAAACTGGATGTTTTTAGGGATTAGGAAAGAAGATGTTGAAATCACTGGGCATGTTTAGAGCTGATGTGAGTTACACCCAAAAGTATTATTAATAATTACTGCATTTTTTATTTAAATATCACATGAGAAAAGGAAGTTGGGATATGCTGTAAAGCAACTATAAAACATTTTATGATGGTGATGCAGATAATATATCTATAAAATTTTACAGAAAATAGACATCATAAAACAACTACTAAATGTTAAAAGAAAAGACAGAAAAATCTTAAATGTTTTAGAGTTTCCAAAATCCCCGTGTGCTATACATAAGGAAAAGTAAGGGCTACTTTTTAATGTATAACCTGTAGGTTGACAAAAGTTGACAAAAGGTGGAGTATTAGTCAAGCTCCATGGCCTAGTTCTTTACTCACCTGCCTCCATCATTGCATCCATTCAGTGAGCAGTGTGTCATGGATCCTCTGCGTTGATTCTTGTGCGATCATGAGAATCAAGGCAGGTCCATCGGTGTACTAGGCAGGTGCAAGATTTCATGTGAATGCTCTAGCAAGGGCAGAAGATGGGATTTCAAACTTAAAATGACCAGGTGGGACCAGCACAACATTAAAAAAAGTTGCACCAGTCCTAAGGCCAAGACAGTTTGTGGGATGATTCAAAACCAAAGCAAAACTGAGGGATTAGTATGGTGATAGAGCCCCTTTAAAAACTAATATTACAATTGTAATTCAGACAATTTAAATATATTTTCCAACTCTTTAACTTTTGGTCTAAATTTGCAATTCAATTCTCAACTCAGCAAAACTTGCTTCTTTGAATGTATTTAGGTATCTCTTTCTAAATTTGGCAAAATTAATCTAGAGAGATGACAGGCCACGTGATAAATTCCAATCTAATAATTTGCAAGGAAGTCCAACTTTTGGGTATGGAAATAAGCTATATATAGAAGCAGAAGTTTGGTTTTCATTTTTTTTTTATATATCCTAGTGTTTGCATTCCCAAAAGCATGTAACCATGTCCTTCTTAATACCTCTTAACCGTCACACATACATCAGGGAGGGTTTCCTGTTTCACATGTGAGTATATATAATAGCACTGGATTAATGATTCTCTATGAGAGGCATTGTTGGTGCATTCCCATGATTCTCAGTGAGAAGAATCTGATTGGACACAAGTCATCAATAATGATGACTTCAAATCAAGTGGTTTGAGCTGCAGTGAGTAGACTCTCCTAGCACTGAAATAAAGATGAATTTAGTTGACTTTAACCCTTTAATTGCCAAAATGGGGGGACAGTCTGAATGTTTTAATTCTGCAAAATAAATAGATATAGGGTGTACACAGGGCACACATTTAGAGCAGAATGAAAGTTATGTAAGAATTCAAAACGTTTCTGCAATTTCTTAATAAAACTAATCACTCTATGGTTGTTTTGGGGTTTGCATTTATTAAATTCTATCAAAACAGTGCATTTCAGATGACGATTCTTTTGTAGTGATGCTGTAGTGGCAATCCACTACACAGTTTCTGAGGTACTCTGGGTTTGTGGGATTTAGCATATGGAGATTCTTAGAGTTAAGGGTTACTTGTGGTTAAAGTACTTACATTAAAGTGAGCCAGGGAGTCATATGGCACTTGCAATAAAGATGCATTACACTGTAACACCTACCATTCCAAGCCAGAATAACTGAGAGTAATATGAATTTCAGTCCACAGTCTCCTATGTTGCCAAGAGTTGTAGGATCCTTTATATACACTTCTGTAAATGTTACTTTAATGCCACTGTTAATGTTTGACTTCATTCCCTTCATAGCTTTGCTATAACGACTTCTGAAATGTATATTGATTCTTCAAAGGTGAATTGTTGCATCCTGTATGTGCAATATACAGAATCACTGCTGGGAGTGGCATTTGATGTTTCTAAAATCTATTTTTTAAGAAAGCAGCTACTAGCTTTCCCACATACCCAGAGTATGCCGATGTGATTACATATTAGTTTTATCGAAAGTAGTTATTGTCAGTTAGCTTTGACAAAAAGCATGCAACCAATCTTTACAACACTGAACTTTTTTATATATAAATCAAATTGTTTTTCCAATTTTTGTGGCATGATTTCTAGTTTAGCTAATCTAATCATTGTTGGTTACTACAGACCTATTTGTCTAGTGTAGAGTTAGACTCGCCACATCTTTAAGGCAGGTACACCCACACCCAATATCCCACTTAAGCCTAGCCCCTAACCTTTACTTTATCTAACCATAAATACCGCAACTCGTAACAACTTCCAACTCTAGGCCTAGCAGCAGCAATAACCATTGACATTTTTAATGGCTTTGCAATGACGCTCTTGTTTTAACACAGCACCATTTCAATAACCTCAAACAATGCTGATATGCAATATATCCATTGTAAAGTAATGTTTTATATGTATACCAATGCATGTTAGATGCTTATAGGATTTCACTCTACCTTGCAATGGAGATGCCCTTCACACAATTCTATAACCTCCCTATGTGGCTAAGCCAAATAGCACTTCTCACTTCCAAGCCATCGTGATCAGAAAGGTCAGTTTTGTTTTATATGCTAGTCACAATCCTCATGGCATATTACTGCTTACAACCCTAACTTTTATATAGGCTATTTCTTTGTCTTATTGTCAATGTATACACATTGACATTATTGTCAATGTTCCTTCTCTGAGAATAGATCCAGCATAGGCTTCTTTCTCTTCTAGTGAATTCTATTACATATCTTGGCTTTAGTCATACTACATATATGCAGATGAACATGTGTGACACATTAATTAGTGCACTTTGGGTATGCAATGTAACGGTAAAGTGCAATGCACAGCTTTTGATGCCAGACAAATAATATGGCACACAAATTCTTATAGACCTCTCTCTGCTGCCTTTGATACTGTTGATACTTTCTAAAGCTCAGTCTTTCTAAAACTGACCTTCTTATCTTGCATCTTCCATTGTCGCTCTCCCTGAAAGTTGTTGATACAGCCATTAACCAGTCCTTACAAACTCACTGTCTTGGTGTTCTGATCGATTCTGGCCTCACCTGCACCTCATATCAAGTCTGTCACTGAGTCCCGCTACTTCCACCTGTCCCTTTCCTATAAAAGATGGTGCTAAGAAGAATGCTCTTGTAATTTCTCACATTGACGACTGTAACTTTCACCTAATTGGTCTCTCCTGAAACCATACTGTCTTTGTCCATAATTAATTCTGCTGCTAGGCTCATTCTTCTGTCCTGTCATGCATCCCACAAGTCATCCCTCTGTCAATCATTACATTGGCTTCCTGTACTCTTATGAACTATTACATACAAGGCACTCAACAAGTCTTCCCCTGCATTTCTTCACTAGTTCATAGGTACAACCCTTCTCAACCACTTTGCTCTGCTGGTGAACTACTCCTGTCTACTGCTCGTACTATTAACGAGTGTTTGCTATGGCAACCCGTGGCAACGTTCTCGCGGATAGCGAGAACAGAGGGCATGCTGCTGCTGGATGTGAAGCAAATGTGGAGACTCCTGGGCCCCTCTTCATTGGGCAACCATACTGTGCCACTGGACAACCAGGGAATGTTGTGTGTCCCCCCTCCCTGGACACATGTAAAAGTCAGGGAGTGTTGGGGACACATACAAACAATACACACTGCTCACTATACACTCATTATCCATACACACACTGCATACACACAATACACACACACACACACACTGCAAACACACTATACACACACTCCATTCACTATACACACACTGCATACACTACACACACTGCATACACCACACACACATTGCATACACACTATACACACACACACACACTGCCTACACTACACAAACACTGCCCACACTACACGCACACAAACTGCATACACTACACACACACACTGCATACACTATACACACGAACTGCATACACTATATACACACACACTGCATACACTACACACACTGCATACAGTACACAAACACATAGACTACACAAACACACACTGCATACAATAAACACACACACTTATACCTGTGTGTCTGTGTATCTGTATGTGTGTTTGTATATGTATATCTGTATGTGTGTCTATGTATCTGTGTGTGTATCTGTGTGTCAGTGTATCTGTATGTGTGTATCTGTATGTGTGTCTGTGCCTATGTGTCTCTGTACATGTGTGTCAGTGTGTGTCTGTAAGTGTGTGTTTGTATCTATATGTGAGTTTGTATCTGTGTTTCTTTATCTGTATGTGTGTCAGTGTTTGTCTGTATATGTTTATGACTGTGTTCTATCTATCTGCATGTGTATACCTATGTGTCTGTGTATCTGTATGTCCCAGTGTGTGCATCTGTGTGTCTATGTATCTGCACGTGTGAGACTGTGTGTATATTTGAGTATATGTGCATATATCTCAGCATTTCACCAACACTACACATAAATATACTCCTGCATCCAGATATCAACACTACATAAAAATGCACACCTGCATTCAAATGTCAACACTACATGCAAACACAACCCTAAATTCACTTACACATACTTCATACAAAAACATGCCTACATTATAAACACACAAACACTGCTCAGTGCTAAAGACATTTAAAAAGGAATGCAAACACTGCTCAATGCTAAATGCATTTAAAAAAAATAATTTGTGGGTGGTTTTTACATTTTAAAATTGGGGGAAGGAGGGAAGAGGGGTGCCAAATATAAGATCTGCCCCGGGTGCCAAATGCTCCAGGTACACCTCTGCGTGTTTGCACTACTTTTTGTGTGCAGCTCCATTCTTATGTAACAGCCTGTCTTCCCCATCAGACTCTTCCTTACACTTCAATCCTTTAAGAAGTCCCTTAAAACCCAACTCTTCGGAATAGACTATGGACTACCACGGTAGCTGTCATTACTCTCTCAGCTTAATTAGTATGTCAACTCTCGAATCTCTCACCTTTCGATTCTGCTAATTTCCCACACTGTCCCTTGGTTACTATTCTCCACGCTACCCTTCCTACTGTATTTTTATACTCCATCTACTCTAGATTGTGCGCTCATCAAAGCAGTCATATTAACCTAGTGCTCCTGCCAAATTTGCAGTAATCATTCTCATTAGTTGTTAAATTCCCCCATTCAAAATACTGTAAAGTCCTGTGAAATTAGTTTTTGCTATATACCAATTACAATGCTCTGGCTTTTTTTTATTATTTTCATTTTTAACTATTTGTCTTTATGGCAATTCAGTGCTAACAACACTGTAAAAAAACAAAAAGACAATCTTAATATGATGCTAATACACATGTATAAAAATGTCTGCAGTGCAAGAGTGTTCCTATATCAGTCACACGTTCATGAAATGAATTAAAATTTCGGTCGCTTCTAAGGATTTTTAATATTATGTTTACCTATCCTTACAATTAACAAAAAAAAAAAAAGAAAATGAAATGTAGAAACATAGACATGTTTATTTTACAACCCAGCAACTCCAAATGTTTTCCATGTCAATCATTGTTCCCAGAGCCTGATTGCCCTGATCTGACACCCTGCCTTTGGCCCTGGCTAACTTAATCTGGCTCTGATTATTATAAGCTCTGTTATAGTCACTCAGTGGGTTAAATGTTAATAACCAATCATGCACAGGCAATTGCTCTCACAGACACACAGACAGTCTTACAAACCTCATAGATGCACTCAGAAACTGTTAAAGAAGATCCTTACATATATACTTACAAACTAGCACAAACAGAGTTACAGGCACACTTAACCACTCAGGTGCTTTTACAAACACAATACCATTTACAGAAACACTTAGACATTATAGGGTTGCAGATAATCTCATTCAATCTTGCAGTCACAAACAACCTTAAAACAATCTCACAAGCAAACAATAAATCACAATGCAATTTAAAAATAGCTGAACTCCTTTTAATTAACGCCAACCTTATCTTATACATGTCTGTCTACTGGAGGCTATTGAAAATGGATCACTTTCTGCCTTTGTAAAATGTCAGAGGCTGGAATATGACAATACATTTCCCAGCATCCTCTAGTCTGTGGGTCAGATAGTCCAAAAAGCAGAGTCTCAAAGAACTAAAAAATGACAAAAAGTACTAGAGCATGGACATGTAGGCTGGGATACATGAGACGCAACAGCCATGCTTTCCAGAACTTTCTGCTGTCTTAACAGTCACCTGATAGGGTGGTTTTGTGCATTTCACGCATACGCAAACATGGCACCAAGCACAATCACATTTGTCATATGCTAGGTTGGCTAGGTTTACTTGCTCAGTTTTAGATATCAAGAACATGCATAGACTTTACATTTAACAGTTGAGACAGATCTATTCAATTGTTGTCATTCTATTCCCAAACTATCCCTAGTAGAATAATACACCATATGTCAAGAACTGCAATAAACCATTGAATACAACTCTGGGTGTGCTTTTTAAAATGAATTTGATATTCTGTCATCTTCTGCCATAGAGCTGTCACTCTTTCCATAACTAGAGTCACTCCTATCTTAACGTATCACCTGTCCCAATCAAGATTAGATTGTATGCTCGCAGGCAGGCAGTTTAAAACTTTTTCTACTGGTTTGTTTATTTCGGGCTGTTTCTGTTGTATGTGATTTATGCTGTGTTTAGCACTTATAACTACAGTATATATATTTTGGTAGCTCAATGTACTGTAGGCAGAGTGTATACAAGATAAGATACAGCACAACAATGTGAGGGCAAAGTGCCAAATATGAAGGAATCAAAGAAAGATGTGGTTTCTTGAGTGAAAGCTCCAAATATAGTACTTCGGTCAAACATATTCTTCAAAGTCATATTGAGAAATAAAGTTTCCCTGTGGTTCTCATCTCACTTTGGACACATTTTGCTAATAGATTCATTCACCAGCTATTTTATATACCATTCAAAAAGTACTTTAATACGTACAGTATGCAGATTCTCAGCAGATGTGTCACAACAAAAGGGCACATTATTAAATATGCTTCCAAACTCATAAGTAATTGGAGGCAGCTTATGTTCCACACCAGTTGTTTTTACTAGCAAATTAGCTGTTGAAGTGCATTCATTGTGGTGGTGGTTAATCAGATGGGAGTGGTGGGTGGAACAGATATCTTTCTCATCATTCATCAAGCTTCCTTATAATTGACGGTTGATGAAACCTGGGCTCCCATAAATTTAGGCACGTCAGCTACATTTAATGTCACGGGAGCATTTAAAATACCAATAATAAATGTATCTGAGAAGAGTGAATAATAAGGCTGGCGATATCTTTACCTCTGTTATTTGTTGAAAATCTACACTTTTCTAGAAGTATTGGAATTTTTCACTGATGGATAGTGTTAAAAATAAATATACAAAATAGTTAATCAAAAAAACAGGATACCTTAATCTAAATAAACAACATCATAGAACTCAACTGAGAGAGAAGGTATTTATATTGAATGGGAAATAAATATCACAAGTTCTCCAGAAATGCCTCAGTGTAGGTAATGATGTTTTGTTGGTTTGAACAGGCCCCATATTCCTAGATAGGTTATAGGTTTAACAAAACCAATTTAGAGGGAAATGATTTTTTGATTATATTTACAGATTCCTACATTTAACAAATATATATTTGGAATTAAATATAAAAATTCACAACTGTTTATCCTGCAAATGCACTTCCACTTAGCTCCCTGTCAACCATTATTCTGAGTTCTAGCCTTCCCACCAGGCAGTCAGCATAAAAAAAGCATTAAAAAAAAAACATTAAACAATGCTTCTACTTCTTGTCTTCATTTGCAATATGTGCCGTGGCTGTGCTTGGACTGAACAATGTGATGACATTTACTAAACTGTTAATAGAAATGTAAAAGAAAATGGAGCATCATATGAAAAAAAGGTTAGCAATAGGTTCTTGCATATGTAATATTACTTCCATAGATGAGTAAATCGGACATGATCATTTTTAGAGGTCTAATAGACACATGCTAGGTTGTATTAATGGACACTTCATTTAATATCTTGTAATGCACAGTTTAAGAATGAGAATGTTCCACAATGCATCTCCTCATGCAAAACGAAACCATATAGATCAAAGAGTTACTCCAACCATCATAACTACTACAGCCCCCCCATGTATGAGTACCCTGGCGTGGTTCCCCAGAAGCCTGCTGAGAGCTTTAGTGAATGCAATGCACTGTATGGACGTAGCAAGCATGGAACACTTGTTATTGCTTGACTAATGACAACACAGTGACTCTTCAGTAGGTAGTAACAACTCCAGCAGAAAAAAAGGGGTTAAACTTAAGTTATCATGGTGCTTGTTGTAACCCTTTAAGCAAAACCAAATAAACAAATCCATTATTATTCATTAAGACATATTACACAATGCAAAAACTCATCTTGCTTCTAGGTAAACTGAAAGATGATTATCATAGTGATATAAGATGATTATTATTATTATTTTTTATCTGTATTGTTTTTCTGCCCATCCTGAACACTGACATGGACAAACTTCTTATTATTGTTTAGGAGTAACAGAAGGGTTTTCTAAAACAATTGTCATCAGAGCTCTCTGTATTCTGGATAAATGCATTGCTCAATTATATCTTTCCACTTGCTAGCTTTTACCTGAATCAATGTAATAATGGTCTAGATATAACTTGGCCCTGCTGCTATAATGCCAGCACGACAGCAGATTGACCAAATTATGTGAACAGGCACTTGCAAACCTTGTAAAATACAATCTCATAATAACAATGTATTTTTTTCCCCATTGGTTATAAAGATGCCAGGGCACAGACTAATAGACACTCATAGCATTACATTAAAAAAAATGGCACATAATAATTTTAAATAACAGAAACTGACTTAAAGTCTTACTGTAGCCTAGCGGAGGTGCATGGACCACTTCCTTATGTGATAGGGGGTCCCTGCACCTATTACTTCCATTTATTATTAACGTCCATTCCACTGCCTATTAGCAGGGATGCAGGAGAAAGGAGCACTGTCAGTCTTCTTTACTGGCATGCTTAACCCCTCGCTTTTGCAGCCCCCTCTATACATGGGAAAAGGGAGAACATACACCAGTTGGGCCTATGCCAGTTAGGCCTTGATTATCAGTTCTCCTCCTAATGGTTTTATTTCTGGGCTTATGACAATAAAGTTTTGACCATTTGTTACTCTTTAAGATGGATGCTGCTATCCGGCTGTTTCCTTGCTACAAAACTTATTGTTTAATGACTTGTAATTAGCAGAGGTTTTAACATCTTCTAATGAGAAGAACATTAGTGGCACTCAGTTTCCATGCTAGATGGTAAAAGTAACATGTCTCATCTAGGTGTAAAGACAAAAAGACTGCAAATTCTCAACATGTCCTTCATATAAATATATATTTATAAATCCAGATTTCAGTAAGCAGAGTTAACCCTTGCCCTGCTAAGAGAATCTAGTTCACAAGGTTTTTCTATAAATACCTGTAAAATGTGTTAAGGCATGTGAGTTTAGCAATTTGTAAAATAAATTACAAGATATTTCAGAGTTTCAAAGTAAATCACATAATAACTAATTTATCAATTCTATTCTTGCTTGAAAAATCCATGTTTGGTGAAGCTCTTCTCTCCAGTAAGACTGCTCATCGAAATATATTTAATTAAATAATAATCTTTTTTTTTTTTTCTTTACAGATATCTTTCCAGTGCAGCTGTCATTGGGATGTACAGGTAATGCATACACTTTATTTGCATATATAAATAAACCTTGTACTATTTTATTCTACTTGACAAAGAAAATTAAGCACGCGCGATGTCCAAAATCTGTAAGCCTCATTGCAGACATCCTAAGGAGGTGCAACCATCACAGCTGATTTTACATGGCGTTCAACACATGTTCTTACATTTTTGGGGAGATATTTAACTGGATGCAAAGCAGGCTGATTAATGGAGAGATGTAATTGATTATTTCGCTTATTCTGCAATATTATATTAAGGGAGAAGTTATAACCATGTAACCGGAAATAATGTGAATATTTAATACATTTTGTCCTAGGTAAATCGTGGAAAGAGTGATAATGGCACAATATCATGGGAAAAATTACAGCTTAAAAGGCAAAAACGTGAATGGATTGTACCAGCAGTAGTTATGAGAGAAGGAGAGGATAACAGACACAGAAACCCAATTGCAAAGGTAACTTAAAAGAAAACTCAATTTTTATATTTAGCTAGTGATTACCTACAAAATATGCCAATCAGTGAAGATGAAAACATATTAATATGTGTCAATCTCACCTACAGGTCCACTCAGACATACAGGAAATTAAGGCAAATATAAGGTACACAGTGTCCGGACCAGGTGTAGATCAACCTCCATTTGGCATATTTGTGATGGACCCAAGAAATGGAAATTTGAATGTGACTGGCATGGCTGTTGATCGCGAGCAGATTCCAGTATTTTTTGTAAGTTTTATCCACTTTTGTTTTGCTTTTGTAATGATACGTTTATTATTGGCCTTTAAAGCTGGCAATTAATCATAGACATGCTAACTGTGTATATACATGTTCATGTTTTCTAGTATGTTCGAATTGTAAGGATATGGTTATTTTTGGGATTTTTGTTTGTGCACTGCTCCAGGTTAGTTTATTTCTGTTTGGTCTGAAACATGCCAATGTACTTCTGAAGTTGAGTAACCTGGAAATTTCTGACTGAAATGCAAGTGGTTCATTCCACATATTTTTTTGTTCTACTCTAACTAACAAATGCTATTAACTTGGAATTTTAAACACTATCTGACACATCCAGTTAAAAAATATTCTAAATAACAAACTGATCATTGAGTTGTGAAACATGTTTGGGTTTTTGTTATAATGCATATTCTATATGTATCTAACATCTCTAATGTATTATTAAGATTACTGAAGCCTATTAGAAACATGTGGTTTACTTTACATTGTTTTATTTATCTAGCTAACTGTGTATGCTCAAACTGCTACCGGACAAAATGTAGAGAAACCTCTTGAGTTGCGGGTCAGAGTAATGGACATCAATGACAACGCACCGATATTTTCACAAACTACTTTTGTTGGTTCAGTAGAAGAGCGATCAAGAGCAAGTACGATTAAAAATCTATTCTTTTTAATTTTGCATAGCCGCTTTAATCGCGTAAAATGGTTTTAAAATTGTATACTTCTAAACAAAAAAAACAAACAGCATATTAACCAATATGTACAAAAAATGTAAAAAAAATATATTTTGTATTTACTTTTCTTTTCTACAGATACTTTGGTTATGCAAATGTTTGCTTCAGATGCAGATGAACCAGGCACTTTGAATTCTCAGATTGCCTACAAAATACTTTCCCAGACTCCTGCTCAACCACCTATGTTTGTTATGAATCAGTTCACTGGCGAGCTCTTCACGATGAGTGATTATCTTGATAGAGAGGTAGATTTTTTTTGCTTTTATATTTAATTTCTATATAAAACTCAAATGTTTATGAAATACAAATGTTGCTCAAACTTGTTGGGTATGCTGACATGACTTTCAGTTATTATTCATTTGTTTTTATATCATCATGAACAAATATGTTGGATAGATAGATAGACAGACGGACAGACAGAGAGACAGACAGACAGACAGATATTTTGGGCAGTGCAAATTATTTAATAGCTTTTCTATTTGTGGATAAGATCCATCAAGCTTAGATTCTCTCCATTGTCATTACAAACTATAACTCACATGTGTATTGATAAATAATCAATTAAAGGACCACTCTAGGCACCCAGACCACTTTAGCTTAATGAGGTGGTCTGGGTGCCAGGTCCAACTAGGATTAACCCTTTTTTTTATAAACATAGCAGTTTCAGAGAAACTGCTATGTTTGTAAATGGGTTAATCCTTCCTCCAATTCCTCTAGTGGCTGTCTCATTGACAGCCGCTAGAGGCGCTTGCGTGATTCTCACTGTGAAAATCACAGGGAGAGCATGCAAGCGTCCATAGGAAAGCATTTTAAATGCTTTCCTATGAGACCGGCTGAATGCGCGTGCAGCTCTTGCCGCGCATGCGCATTCAGCCAAATGGGAGGAACGGAGGAGGATCGGAGGAGGAGAGCTCCCCGCCCAGCGCTGGAAAAAGATACGTTTTAACCCCTTTCCTCTCCCCAGAGCCAGGCGGGAGGGGGTCCCTGAGGGTTGGGGCACCCTCAGGGCACTATAGTGCCAGGAAAACGAGTATACTATAGTGGTCCTTTAATAAAGAAGTAAAAAATTAAAGAAAGCTTTATACACCTAGTGTCATTAAAAGAGCAATTTAACTTTCTGCCCTCATTATGACCTTGGGGTGCCAACAACAAAGTACTTGCATGTATGTAAATACAAAAAGATAAGTCCTGCGCTCACTCCCATCACTCCTGGGCAACAGCAATGACTACAGTACACATCAGCCCCCAGTACACATCTCTCCTAAATCCCTATGTATATTTGGAGGTCATTTAGTTACTCCAATGGCCATTGGAGGGAATGCCCGTCTGCCAACGTCAAGGCAGACCCCCCTAAAGAGAGAGCACAGGTAACTTTTTTTCTTTGGTTTTTACTTGCCTGTATGTGTTTAGTTTTTAGGCAATTCAGAACAATTTGATTTTACACATTTGTAATTAGTGTTTATGATAAGATCATGATCAATATATTTTAATATACATTGGTATTAATTTTGATTATTAGAATTTGCAAAGATATAGACAAACAGGTTTTATCAAACAAGTTAGAAACTATTCTAAGAAACAATGTGATCATTTTGCAACTGAAATAGCATCACTTAAGGGTACACTATAGGGTCAGCAGCACAATCATGTATTCCTGACCCTATAGTGTTAAAACCACCATCTAGTCCTCCCCCCCACCCATCCCCCAAACCTCTTTGCCTCCCTAAATATGGTAAAATCTTACTTGTATTTAAGTCTGAAGCTGTTGCCTCTGCTTACAACTGACATCATCAGAAGTGATTATGTGAGCCAATCACTTTGCTTTCCCATAAGATTGGCTGAGACTGTCAAGGAGGCAGATCAGGGGCAGAGCCACACTGTGCAGGACTGCCCAAGGAAGCACCTCTACCAGCCTTCTGATGAGTAACCAGTGGAGTTAGCACAAGGCTGTAATGTAAACAATGCATTTTCTCTGAAAAAAACTGTGTTTACTGCAACAAGCCTGAAGTCCTTCAGACTAAAATTTTAGCTCTGGTTGTTTCTCTGGCATGGCACTAATAATATTGTAAATCATATGATGCAATATAATGTTGTTGAAATTTTTTGGGGTTCAAGAATGATAATCATTAGTATTATTTTTATGGTATTACTACTGATGGAGTAGATTTTTTTTTAAATTAAATAAACTATGTAGATTAGTGTTTTATGTTGGGGAATTTCATGTATTTTTGTGTGGATTTTATGCATTATATAAGTATTGAATGATTCAAACCATGATTTTCTTTTCTGAAATATACACAACTGTTGTATACATTATATCACTTGTTTTTCTATTTTAGCAATTCAGCAGCTATAGCATTTCCGTTTTGGCATCTGATATGAATGGAGGTCCAGGAGGTCTGACAGGACAATGCAGTTCTAGCATTCAAATCCTGGATGTAAATGATAACTTCCCAACACTTGAGTTTGATTCGGTAAGAAAACTAAAGATTCTGCCAGTTGATCCCTAAATATTGTTTATACCATTAATCTATAAGTAAGCAGCTTATTCTGAGAGTTTAGAAAGTATATGCATAGCAAATATCATACTACCATTTCCTGAAAGTGGGTCAGCGGTATAAAAGGATTTCCAAAATTCTAGAGCAATGCACAGAAACGTCCAGCATCTTTAAAATACATTGTTAGGATTTGGGGATTTTAAAGATACTGGGTGTTCCTGTTTGTTGCTACTTATTGCTTGATTATCTGGGGCTACCTTTCTGGGACATTTGATCAGTGCGTACTCGGATATTACATTACGTTCAATTTGAACAGTCTAGTAAATGGTGATTTCACATGCACTCTGGTGCTATGCTGACTTTGGGAGTGTACTTTGTGGGGTGGGGGGGGTTTATTGTTAGATGATTTGCACTTTGCCATCATAAAATGAATATAGCTCATGTCCCTCATAAATGTAATTTAGCTATGCATTTGCACAACTTACCTTAAAGAAAAATGAGATAATGGTCCAGTTGGTTAGACTACAGTGCACCGCAGTGCTCTAAAATGCATCCAAACACATAAGTAAAAATGAAAATCCCAAATATTTAAATGGAGAAAAGATCAGGGCTTCTCAAAACAAAAACATGTCTCACAATTACAAATAGTCTAGGGATATAACACATTCTGCATACAGGTAGTATACAGGTATTGTGCTTGAATATTTATTGAGTTGGCATCTAATTCAAATGTCAGGTTCTGGTTCTTGTTTATACATGGTCAAACCTTTTTTTCATCAAGTCTCAAGTATTTGCAGCTTCACATGAATGGATCTGTTGCAGACGTTTATTCATAGAAAATCATTAGAAAGCTCATACAATTCATCTCCTACTCCTCCGTGTACAAGATCTTGTACATGTCTGTTTTAAACTATGGGCATGGGCCTATAGTTGCAGTAATTATTTCAGATTGACCTTACAATTCTTTGAATGCTATGCTGTAGATGTGTTTAATAAAATAGGTTTTATTTCTTTCAGTACTCAGTTGAATTTATGGAAAATATGATAGGTACAACCAATTTAAGGATAAAAGTATTTGATGCTGACGAAATGTATTCAGATAACTGGATTGCAGTGTATAACATTGTCTCAGGAAATGAAGGAGGCTGGTTTGCAATAGACACGGACTCTCAAACTAATGAAGGAATTCTGAGAATTGTTAAGGTAAGGCTATTGAACAAATACCCGAGATTAATGAATCACTCATCTTTTGGAATAAACTCCATGGTCTGTATGTTGGATTACATGGAACTGTACTAAGGAATAGAAAAATAAATTCAGCTTTTATTTAACATAAACAAAGTGTTGGTATTTGCCTTCTTTTTAATGTTGAATTTTTTTCTTTTCACTTCAGTTTTGGTTAATTAAATGAAACACCACCATTGTATTAACTAGTTTTAGGCATGTTTAAAACAGATAGAAGTTTGCCAAAATGGAAAAACAGAAGGTTCTACCTGTGTGGTCTACTTACAGTTCTTCAAAATCTAGAAAGTCTCTTCTTTTGCATCTTTGTTTATTATTGCCTTAGTCAACTGCATTTAATGGATCAAAAATGATTTTCTGTTTTTTTTTTTTATTCAGGCCCTAGATTATGAAGCTATGCAGTCCCTTAATCTTGGTTTTATGGTGACCAACAAAGCAGCTTTCCATTCATCTGTTATATCTGAATTCAGGGCCCAGACAACAAGCATTGCTGTAAAGGTGCAGAATGTAGTCGAAGGCCCTGTATTTGTCCCCTCAGTCATGAGAATAACTATACCAGAAGGCCTTCGTGGACAAGCATTACTTTCATATATATTGGCAAGAATGCAAGCTATAGATATGGACACAGGCAAACCTGCTACAAATATTAGGTAAGAGAATATCATATAAATGTACATACTATCACAAAACATATACTGTATCTATTCACATACTCTTGGCTGCCATAATGTAATAAATAGAGTTAAATAAAATATTATACCAGTATGTGTACAGTCTAAAAGCTTGATTGGTATGACTACATTTCTAGGTGTGCAGCAGGGATCCTTGGAAGAGGATGTAAGTACTATAAAAAAACCATGTTAATTAAATAAGACTCTTTTTGTTAAATAGACTATAACGAAGACTATACAGGGTGTCAGTAGGGATTCAGGATAGTGGATTCCAGCAAGGACACCAACACGTACACAAGGACAACAGCAAGACTTTAAGGATAACAAGATTTTAGAGTAATAGTCTAACTTTAGAGTGCCAGCAACATCCTAGGAAACTTATCCATTTTCACAAAATTGAACAAACCCAATAGATCACTTAAGACTGCCTCTATAGTATTAGAATAACCAACAATGCCAGAGAGCAGTGTTAATTTAGTTGACTAACAATTTTCATTATGTTTAGTCGACTAAAACCCTCGAGATTTAGTCGACCAAAATTAGACTAAAACTAAACAATTCAGGTAACTAAAATACAACTAAAACTTAAATGGCGTTTTAATCAAAAGACTATGAATAAAACTAAATTGAAATTTGCCATTAAAATTTACAAGGCCAGAGAGCATCATGCGAGGCAGAAGAAACTCCAATCTCCCCCCCACCCCCCCAGCCCCCATGCCAGACACTTCATGGGGCAGCTATAGACTTTGCTTGACCTGAGCGATTAGTCCCTGACATTACATGAGAAATAAGATCTGTGATTAGCTTTCAGTCTCATCGTTTGTTGTTGTAAACTCAAAAAAAGATAGCTTTTCTATAATGAATAATGACTGAATATAATAATTTTTTATCCCTGGGAAAGGCACTTTCTCCACTCCTAAATGGATATTTTCATCTCTGAGAAAAATGCAACAGCCAGATCCATGTATAGGCTATACAAGGGGTAGGCAACCTTCGACACTCCAGATGTTGTGATTACATCTCCCATAATGCTATTAGAGCTATAACGCTGGCAAAGTATCACATGAATTGCAGTCCACATCTTCTGGATTGCCAAAGGTTGACTAACCTTGGGCGAGAACAAGTGTAGGCAACCTTTTAGTACTCCATATGTTGTGGACCACATCTCACACAATGCTCTTACAGCCATAATGCTGGCAAAGCATCAGGGAAGATGTAGTTCACAACATGTGGAGTGTTGAAGACTGGAGAGAATTGATTATTTTTACAAGCCTATTTACTATAGTCATAGAAATGCATTGAATAAATAAATTATATCTAATGTCCTACAGGGATATTTACTTAAGTGAGAATTGTCAGGCATACAAAATTAAGTCAAAGTTGAATTTTACATTTAAGGCCAATATAGCTGATTGGGAAGCATATCTGACTTTAAGGTTAAACTCTTTTGGCCTTAAATGTGAAATTCTCTTAGAACAATTGTCATTTGTGTGAATAACCCTTATAATTTTAAAATTGAACACTTTCATTCCATTTTGTTTGTTATTTATACGATATTACGTCATTACTATGCAACATACCCACAGACTAATGCTAATTCTCAGTTGTACAAAAAGCTTATTGTAAAGATTATGTTCACAAAATTAAAATGTCAACATTTATTTAAACAGGTATTGGATAGAGGATAGATACAACTGGTTCATTATTGATTCTACTACTGGTGAGGTGAGATTAAATCAAGATATAACAACAAACACTGGAACAGGAGGAAACTACACTGCAACCATCTTTGGAGAAAGTCCTGGTAATAAAAAAAAAAACAAAAAAAACCCATAATCATTCTGATGCCATTACTACTATATATGTAACATTCTTTTTGACATAATCTAATGTTTCACGTTTTGTTTTTTAGATTTACCAAATCGACCTGCCAACGCCACAGTTATCCTTACTATGCCCAGAGCAAATGATAACTGTCCCGTGATTACTAATGAATGGCGCCAAACATGTACTAATGTTATGAGGGTTGAAATCCGGGCCTACGATAACGACACAGCCCCAAATGGTCCTCCTTTTACATTTATTTTGCAGCCTACCCCAAATGATTGGAGAATGGAAAGAATAAACGGTAACTTTTTGAGATGTTAATCTACACAGTGTAAAAAGTTTATGTTATGCAGATTTTAAAATGCACCTGTCAGTTTAATATTTTATAGAGAATGTGCCAATAATATTATATTTTATTTTTATGTTAATGGCTATGCCAGAGTTATTACAGATTGTTGCAGTAGTTATGGTGTTATGAGTCTATGGACATTGTTTTCTGTCTAATAAGAGTAGTTAGAGTAGCTTGGGGAAAAAAATACCCTCGGCACCCGTAGGTCACACTCTCTACAACCACATTGATAATGTGGAAATGTAATTTTTGCAATATTAGTGTGGCTGAAATCTATGAGAGGGTAATCTATGAGTGTTGAGAAGAGCTCCAGTTTTTAGTGAACTGTAGTAGTTATGGTGGTAATAGTAGTCTTCACATTTCACTTTGTACCTCTATGCTTCTGGCTGAAAATATAGTTGTTGAACCGAATACATGAACTTCCATTTCCTCCTACAAACATAACGTTTTTCCTTATTACAATGGAATTACCTTATTTTTAAAATTTTATGAATGTTAAGGGTAAAAGTCAATTGCTGAAAAACATTAAATGGACTCTATATGCATTAAAACTGGGACACTATACACATAAAACTTCTTAATGAAGTGGTTTTAGTGTATAGATCATGCCCCCTAGTCTCACTGCTCATTTATATTTTAAAGCAATGTTGTTTCTATTCATGCAACCCTAGCCACATATTTTCTGCCTGTGCCTCACGCAGCCAGCTTGAAAAAAAAGTTTAATTTTCAAATCAGATTTATTATTTATAAAATATTTTACCAGGAAAGATACATTGAGATTCCTCTCGTTTTCAAGTATGTCCTGGGTCCACAAAACATTGCATTGATGCAATAGGGTACAATAAATACAAAAACAATATTAATACACAATATATACAAAATTTAACATAGAACAAGTAGGAACTATATAATCAACCATGACATGTTAACTTGCTTTAGAAGTTTGTATCTCCTGCTTTGTAAATTGAACTTTAATTACAAACAGAATGCTCCTGCAGGGTCCAGAAGGCTATTAAAATAGAACATAGGAAAAAAAAAAAAACTAAATAAAGCTTGCAATAAATGAAGTTTAAACATTAGATCTCTCTTTACAGGAAGTGTTTTGGAAGGCTATCTCACATCTTCAAGTGTTGCTCTTTCTGTTCCCCATGGATGACATGCCCCATCATGTCACATAGGGCTGCATAAACAAAGTCATTTAACTCCTACATTGCAGAGAATTGAGCAATGAGACTGCAGATGCATGATCTATACACCAAAACTGCATCATAAAGCTAAAGTTGTTTTGGTGACTATAAGGTTGTTGACTCTTCATGACATCTTATTTATGATGTCATGATGCAGTATTGCAGAAAGTAAGAAATTCAGAAGAGTAAGGTATTTATACAGTTACTATGTATTCCTAAATATATATATATATTTTAGATATATAATAGCTTAGCTAGAGTAAAGTTGAAATATACATGTAAACGTTTTTTTATGTCTGACTGTTACAACGGTCCCTGGTGGGATTAGCCTGTGTCAGTAAACCAGGTACTAAAAGGTTTAAAAGGTTTATTTTCTAAACAGCAATTTGTAGTAAACTGAAAATCAGACTGAAAAATGTAGGCAACAGTAGCTGATTTGAAAACAAATTATTCCACTCAGCAATAGTCACCGATTGGCTAATGTAGATTTCAATTCAGTTTCCAGTGTTACAATTCAGTGTTAAGTGAATAACCCCTAAATGTTTTTAAGCTGTCAACCAATTACACACTATTTCTTCCATATTGTGCCAAACTATTACAAATGTACACAGGAACGAGAGGTTAATGAGGACACTGCTCGAAAAAGATTACACTCTAAAACATCAAAGGCAAATAACTAATGACTGCTTATAGTTGGTGCTATAAAGCCAAACAAAAGAGAGAACAGAGCTTTACAGTTAGTACCCACTTAGGTCCAAAACCAGGTCTGAACTGGACTGGAAACAGTCTGAACTATCAGAAGTCAAACCGTCTTCCCAATTAAATAAAAACTTTTACGTGTGTTTCTTGCAATTTTAGCACCATATAAGGGAATAATATGCTACAATTAGAACACTTCTTCATCCAGATCTATTACAGTTAAAATATATTTTTTATATGTTTAAAATGTCACAAAGTATAGCAAAAATACACAAAATGAAATAATAGCCAGCAGTGGAATAAGAAGACAGCAAAGATGAGGGTTGCATTTTGTTATCAAAGTCTGAGTAGGTGTAAAGTCATTTTTGGTTTTAAGGTGGGTATATGCCTTAAAAACCTTACATTATTTCTTACTTACCCAGAGTTTGGTGGCAAAAGCACAGCCATCACCACTGCCATTATCTTAATCCAAAGTTTCACTTGCCGGGAGCTGAACCATTGTTGTATTCTTTTGTAAGAATCACCCTCACACACATCACCCTTATTTTACTTATGTGAGCTTTCATTTTTTTTTTTAGATACGAGTGTGGCTTTGGTAGGAGTTGTCGGATCAAGCGCCCGTAATGCCACTTTGAATATGATTGTCATAGATAATGGTAACCGAAGCTGCCCTCAGCCATTTCCCCTGAGAATTCAAGTTTGTGACTGTGAACCAACGGGCGCTTGCATTGCATCACAAAGGGCAAGCAAGAGTGTATCATTAGGTCCAGCTGCCATTGGTCTTATGGTGCTTGGATTCTTGGCACTTTTATGTAAGTATCAATATGGATTGTATTTTTTACCATTACTTAGATATATATAGTGCCTCATACAGCAAAGGAATTATGAGACCTGATTTGAGAGTGACAAATTAGTGAAGTACCTTGTGACAATGTGACGGCCATGCCCACACACCAACACAGGGGAACACAGACAGTGAAACAAAAGGTGTTAAACCATACAGAGGTCTAGATTTTAAAAAAGACAAAATCATGTAATTGCAATGGCACTATCGTAATATATCTAAAAAAATGCAACCTGTTTAATTTGTTTTATATTTTGAACTGATTGCTATCAATGCAACATTTTATTATTGATCAAAAAGACAAACCTTGAAACAATAGTATATGCATCAATCAGTTATGTTGAACAGACCTTAACAATATTACTTAAATTACTCCCAGCTATTAAATTCATACAAGCATAGGATGGTGAATATATATCGGCATTTATCATAATTTTCATTGGCAAATAACACTGGGCACATAAAAAAATAGTGGGCTCTATTCATTAAATGCCATGTCACTTTGCTTAACTCTCTTTAATGTGACTGATACGAATCCTATGAGGATCAAGGTATTCACTCTTATTTATGGGTTCACTTTTTATTTCCAAATTGATCTTATTACTGCAGCAGGGTAAATATATACACATTTGGCATCTTTTAACTGGTAAACAAACGCCAGCAGAATGGTAGTGAAAATTTGATTGAATTACCCAAAGTTACCTTCTATAGATAGCTGAATAGGCTAAAATCTGGTTAATATTGTCAAATAGTGGTTGCTAAGTGGCAATAAGCTGCCATTTGGCTTTTATTGAATAAACTTTACAATTTTAAAAACAGACCAAATACAATATATAAACACTTCAAGGAAAGTCAAAAAAGAGGATGGACTTGTATGGAAGATCCTTGAGTGCTATTTTGTCTACTTGCTTTGTTATTGCTGGGTGAATATCAGGGCAGTAAATGTAAGTTTCTGGTGTGTATATAAATATATACAGAATATCAGCTTATTATTTTGTTTCTGAATTCCTCTTTCTGTAACAGTGGCTCTACTGCTCTTACCATTGTGCCTATGTGGGTCTGCAGCAGCAGCAGCATCTAGATTTGTTCCTGTGGCAGCTGGATATGATGGGGCATGTCGTCCGTGGGGAACCGAAGGAGCCACACCTGAAGATGTGGTAAACTATTTTTTATACTTTTTTAGGCTATTTATATCTTTTATTTTCTATTTTCTTTCAGTCCCTACAGATCCCTCTCGTACTGCCTCTGTGAAATAACTGGGAAAGTGGCCAAATGTGTACAAGTGACTATTCCAATACAATGAGATATAATTCATGTTAAAAATGCTGGCTTCCAAATGTCAATATTTAAAATGCACCATCATTAGAGGAAAGTTGCACAGTCGCCTTACTAAAAGAGAATTGCAACATTTTAGAGATGTTTATACCGACAGGTAACATTACAGCATCCAGTACTGTGCTGTACCTGGTACACCGGTAATGATATGAGGTAGAGCGGTAGATTCTGTACAGTTGGTTTATTGATAGTTATGCTACAGTTGGGGGTCATAGTGTTCTTATGAACATACTTGAAAACATCTAAATGTATCTTTCCTGGTAAAATATTTTATTAAATAAATAAATAATCAGCATGGAACCACAAAAAAAAAAAACTACTAAAAAATAACCAAATATGTGTCTGGCTCAGGTGTCTGATGTGAGCACAGCAATATTTGGAGTAGATGACTGGGGATGCCCTGTGTATACAAATACAGAAATACCTAGTGTGGTTTTACCACTAAAAAGTCATTTGTGGTGAACCACAAATCGAATTTCAAATTTCAGGCCCAAAACAGTCAATGAAAAAATTACTCCAGTTCAACTATTTTTTTAACTATTCTCTTGTGACTTACATTATGAAGTGTGGTTGTCAATTCACCATGATTCTGTAAAACCACTAATGTACGAGCTAATCCCATTGGCAGTAAAATAAAATTAGATGTAGAGAAGATTTTCAGTAGGTTCTCAGGTACCCATTCCCTTCATGACAGAGACTTTCTTTGCATAGAATCCTTGATTTTGTATGACATTACTTAAGCAGGTCCAAAAATGTCCCTTACCTGAAAAAAAAGGACAAAATAAGGGGAAAAGAGGGACATGCTGAATCACATGCAATCTGAGAATTTTTTGATACATTGTGCCTACATTACAAACAACTTTAGAGAAAGAAAATTAATAACACAGAAACAAATATGATATGATATCATGAGCAATTGTTTAGGATATGATATTGTACTGTATTAAGTACTATGAAGTAAATAAAAACACTCATTAAAAAAATAGAAAAGAAGTACACTCTCAACATAATCAAACAATGGTAATCAAATGCAAGAGCAGGGATAAAAACTGAGAAAATGACTACTTGTTAGATTCACTTTAACAGTGTAACATCTAATATACAAAGGAGTAGCTCATCACTGTATCCAAATGTTCTTTACAAATGTGTCAAAAATCCCCGAAGTCCTTCCTCAATGGGAAGTAAAACTTGCTCCGGGCAATGGGTGATAAACGGTTTTATAGTCAATGCAGATTTAATTAGACATCAATCAGGTGCCTCATGCAGAGTGAAGCAATAAAGAGTTAAGAGAAGCATCCGTTACCTTGGGTCCACAGTTCCTTCCGATGCTGGTATTCGAAACCCCTGCTCTATAAACAGTATTTGATTGAAGCGACTCTAACTCAGTTCTAATAAGGAAGAACTCGGTTCTTCTGTCAGGAAGATAGTCACTAATGGTGTGCTAATCAAGAAATGGAAACATAGCAATGTCTACATTCTCAGGTTAAAACTAAAAGGCCACTGAACCCTGACCGCTTTATTGAGATAAAGTGGTCAGGATGCCTTTAGTGGTCCTTTAACACTTTAAACCATTTAAGAATGTTAGGTAAATTATGTTACTAACTACTAATTTGCGCTTGTAACAATGTGTTTCTTTTTGTTTTGTATGTTTATAGGATATGACTACCACTCTTATAACTTCTGGTGGTCCAGAATACCCAGGTAAGTGAAGTATCTAAAATAGAGCTTTAATATTTTTGGATAAAATTTTAAAATTATTTTAAAAGGTTCAAAATATTAAAATAGCATTACTTATATATAAAATATCAATATACGAAAATGTCTAAATATTAAAACATTTCACAATATATCAAATTATTTTAAAAGTCTATAAAAATAATATTAAATCAAGGCCATCATTATATTGCTTTTGAGCAAGATCTTGGCATTAAAATGATTATGTAATATGTCTATCTTGGCACACTCTGCCACTATGCTCAAACGGTCAGGTTTAGGCTATATTTGATTTGTGGCGTCTGAAGCTGGTGAAGGATTGGTTAGAGAGATACTAATCAATCTGGTTGACTGTGTGAGCTCCTAATTTAGAATGATCAAGTGTGAATATTTATATGGTTTGCTAAACATAATATGGGTTTATGTGACATATCCTTATCTATAAAGATATTTAAAGCATGGATTGTAACGTGGATCAACTAACAAACCAAAGTACCCACTATAGTATTGACAATATGTGGGTCCATCTAGCAGCACCTTAGAGCTGATGCTGGGGTTATATGCAAGGTAGGGGACATGAAAGGGTGATACATGAGCACAGACTTGGAGGACCCAAATGACCAACATCATACCACTAATATAATTCATTGTAAGCTATATCCATAATCTGTTTTTGTTTTTTACTTTTCAGAAGTATTTACAACTAACACCCTGGTTGGAGTTGGCACTGGAGGAGGAGGTGGAGGACAAAGTGGAGGAGGACTAGGAGTAGTAAGAGCAGGAGGAGCAGGAGGAGCAGGAGGAGTAGGAGGAGGAGGAGGAGTAGGAGGAGGAGGAAGAGTAAGCACAGGAAATGAAACCTATGTAACTGGAGGAGCACGAGACATATATGACGAGAGAATGATGGGAGGGAGTAACATAGACGAATCACTTGCTGGAGTTCTTTACCCAAATGGTGGCCCTGTCAACATGGCATATGTTGAAAATTATTTTGCCGAGGTAAAAACATATTCATTAAAATGTATTTCAAACTATAATAATAAATATTATATAATAAATGTACTTATCCTGCTACTCAAATTGTATGCTTATTTTGTATTATAAATTGATGTTTAAACATTATCCTGTTGCAGTGTTTTGAAAAAATAATCTAATAATTAAACAATGTTAAATTTGCAATATTTAAAAAAAAAATAACATTTATTACAATTCTTGTTTTAGAAAGCAGATGCATATGGCAATGAAGATGAGAGTCGACCTGCAAATGATTGCCTGCTTATTTATGATAATGAAGGGATCGGAAGCCTTGCTGGATCTATTGGTTGTTGTAGTTTCATTGCAGATGACTTGGATGATGATTATTTGGACACTTTAGGGCCAAAATTTAGAACCCTTGCTGAATTATGCATTGGTCAAGAAATTGGACCAGGGTTAAGTGAGGAAGAGCCAAAGGTATTTATTAATGTTCCAGTAATCGAAACGGATACCACTTTAAGGTCAGAAAATTCTACTTTGGTTACCCGTGGAAGTACTTCTGTGCCTGCAAGTAACACTACTTATGTAACTGAAAGCACATACTCATCTTCCAACCTTCAACCTGCTAGGCCTATACCAGATTCATTTATTCCTGGTAATGTACTAGTAACTGAGACCTACACAACAACTGGTGCCTCTATGCAACCTCCCACATATATTGTTGAACCAAGGCATCAGCCTGGAATTGTGGTAACAGAAAGAGTTGTTAGACCTACTTCCGTAGTGCGAGAGATACCAAGTGGCTCAAATGTAATTGTGACTGAAAGGGTTATGCGTCCTGTTTCTGTAGCACATGAACTTCGAGATTTGCCCAATCTAGTAGAAAGCTCAGATGTTGTACTTAGTGAGAGAGTACTAGGTTCTAGCAATGCAAGAATGTCCAACGCATTCAGCTTCCAAGATATAAGTGAAGCACAGAATGTTGTTGTTACAGAGAGGTTCGTACAGCCTGCCTCCAATGCTCAAAGTAATTTTAGCTTTCAACCTGATATGAGTAGAGGCCAAAATTTAATTGTAACAGAAAAAACTGTAATGTCTGGTTCAGGCATGCAAAATCACATGTTGAGCGCTGAGCCCTTGCTAACACAGGCCATTGGCTCTACATCCCCAAGTCTAACACGCAGTAAGGTGACAAAGTATAGCACAGTTGAATACACCAAGTAATAAAGCATTTAGTATGGTTATCTATGGATTTGAATAAATAAAGTTCCCATATTCATGTATATAATTTGATTATATATATATATCTATATAGATATATATAGAGATATATAGATATATATCTATATAGATAGATAGATAGATATATCAAATATTCGGCATTGATGGCTTTAATATATCTATATGGCTTTTCATCTATGTAGTCCAACTCTATCCAGTATAGAGTATAGTGTTGATTTGTCTTAAAGCAAAGTCATTAACTCCATTTAAAGAAAAACTAGACCATGTGATAGCTATATTGATCTATAGATAAAGATATCACAGGGGATGGATGGATGGATAGATAGAGTGAAAGGCAGACAGACGGACTGATAGACAGATAAAAATAAATTTTTAAAAGAAAAATTAAGAGAAGTCGTTCTTTTTCATTGACATGAACTATAATTTGACAGGAACTTAAATTTGATTTCTGTACAATATGTAAAATAAAATTGTTATACTCTGTTGTAAATATTAAAGAGGTACCATACTGGTTTAACCTTCAGAAAATTATTCAGACAAAGATGTTCATAGTTTTACTTAGCTTTAGGTGTCTTATGAGCAGTGTGTATTAGTTGTGTCTACTCTCATTAGACATATATGTGTATGCTAAGAATATATTAGATTGTATATATATATTGTGAATGATATATATATATATACACACGAGTTTGGCCCATTTGATATAAAGCATGAAGAACAAAATCAAGCTACATTTATTAAATTTAAACAGGGTTTTTCACAAAATTAATTATTTGGAATTCAAAATGGATTTCAAATGTTAGACCAAAATAAGGAAACTGAAAACAAATGACATGGATATTTTTTCCCAGTTATGTTATTTTGGACTAACATTTGAAACTTACTTTGAATACACTTCAATTTTTATGATTACTCACACTTCAATGAATAAACTCCAAACCTTTTTTTGTCACATCTATTGAGAATATTGGTGAAGGGACAGTGGTTTTATGTTCAGTATGCCAATCCCTTGAAAAAATTCCACTTCTGCTTTCAACAGTATTCATTTATGCATTCTCATATTTAGCACAGAAGAGTGTTCTTTTTTTCTTGTTTTGTATATAGGGATTCTATTTGAAGAATCACCATAAATTATGTAAATAATAGACTCCCTGGTGTTATCACAATTGCTTGAAAAAAAAAATATCTAAAGCATTTTTAACTTTTGTTAGGAAATTAGTAGTCTAGATTGGCCAACTGATTTGTATCTGCCGTCCATGTCTATTTTTCTATGTTTAAGTGCCAATGGGGGAACTTGATATGCTGGCAGCCATATAGTTAGATGTATGTGCCATGCCCATTCACAATTCTCATAAAAGGCAGAAATTCACACAATACTTTTTTCCATATTTTTTTTATCTATATCACATGAATTCCTATGTTTAAACCAACTGTTAAGTGCCCCCATCAGATATCGATATAACAAACACGAGTACACTACTTATGGTTCCATGAAACCAAATGTGAATATATATATCTTTTAAGGCAATAACATAAACATTATATACAGTGCTTCAACCAGGGAATTATAGTTCATGAAGAATCAAGAGTTTTATAAAACAAAAAAATTATATATATATATATATATATATATATATATAAATATCTAAAACACACAAAAAAAGGTTTCATTATGCACAAAAATGTTATGAGTTGTATGAAAAAGAATTTCACCCGATATATTATATTGCAAAGCCCTTTGAGATTTAATACATATAAATTATACTTATAGCATTACAGCTTGCAAACAAAGTTGCAGTAACAACATACTGTTGTCGCACCTTTCTGGCAAGTAAAGGCTTAAATTTTACTTTTCTATGTAAGGTATGGTATATATAGCAAAGGCCAAAGAGTGCCTCTCTGCTTTCTGGCAGATGAAAATGATCTGAGTATTTGTAGGATCTGAATATATATATATATATATATTTTTTTTTTTTTTTAAGTAATAAAACTTGCAAGTAGTTTCAGCCAAATATGAATGTGTCACATTGGAGGTTTGGCATCAAGCTTATTTTTTTTTCTAGGTATAAACAACACAGCTAAAAAAAAAAAAAAAAATCTTTAAAAAAAAATCTAAAAATAGAAAAGCATCGGGATAGTTATTACTGAATATACCCCAAAATAATCATTTGGAAAATACATCATTAATAAATCTGTGTCAGACAGAACAAATCCTGCACTTAAAAAATGTTGACACATTCAAGACAGGAACAAATTAAGAAGTTTTCTTGACTATTAAAAACAAACAAAAACAGTCTGTAGGCCCCGGATAGTACTGGGGAACTGTGTACAGTAAACCTGTGAGTTCTCAGAAGGTTTTTCCATAGATTTTTGATGAACCCTACAGTTCATGCAATTCACAAATTAAAAGGAGTAGGGAATGAAGACATTATAGTCTCTATTCGGTTCATGTTCCCATAAGACTACCACTGATCCATCTGACTGCAAAACCATAGAAACCTGAAAAGTGTTGGTATTCCTTACATCCAACCTAAAACATGTTTTCAGATTACATTTGAGGAATACAAAAATAGATCCACCTGGAGAATAACATATTTTCTATGGGTTTGTTTTTTTTGTTTTTATTTTTTTGCAATTTATTATTTTTGTATTTGCATCTATTATATATTTATTTTATTTTACTTTGGGTTTTGCAATGAGATAAATTATGTTGTATGTATGTCACATTAAGTGTGTTTTGCACTCTACAGCTTTAGATGTGACTGACAAAAAAAAAACATGCGCCAAGGTTTATTGGTTTATTCGCAACGATTTTTAGCATTTTATGAACTGTATCCAAAGCAGCTTTTAGAAAATGTTTAAGTGTGGTTGAGAACAAAGCTTTTCTTTAAGTATTGAAAAAAACAATATGTTTTATAAGCTCACTGCTTTTAATTACTTTTTTTCTGGGGTCTAGTAACTAAACAGCTAATTGTTGTGACTTGCAATTTCAATACCAGAGGACAAGAGTTAGAAAAAGATTATTTGAAGTCACTGGACTCATCTATTTTATGTTGTATGTTTCGAGTTAGGTCACAAGTCACTACAATTCACTGTTTTTTTTAATAGACCATGAAGTCTTTTGGTCATATTTAGCTAATGGCTTGTATGGGGAAAGGATTTACTAAGTCCTGAATGTTTTAAAATATAGCTTTCCATTCTTTGCTGTGCATGTATCAGCTTCCAATTAAGGATCAACCAAAATAACTGGAATTTATACTAAATTGCACTGAGAATAACAAATAATGCACTGAGAATGAAGAGTAAATACCAAAAAATTATTTTATTCTGCATTTTAAAACTTATTAAATCTTCCTCATTGTGTAAGAATGCGCTAGGGGATTTTTGTGTCTTATCTTTTTTTGTGCCCATCACAAGAATTATCTTTTTACAATGTATGCAGGTTAATAATGTCTTTTTCACTTAATCTTCCTAAAACATAGTTTTTATTTTGCTAATTTTATCTAAAATATATTATATTGCATAGTAACTAGCACAATACATCAGTGAACCTGCATTGTTTTTCATCAAGCCTTTATGTTTGGCAATATTTTTGTACTTTACAGAGAATATTAATAAAGCACTTTTAAATAAACTTGACTTTTATTATTTTATTTAAGTTATAAACAGTAACAAAAAGAATATTGGCAACATATGCAAAAAAACTGCTAGCCAGGTTGGAAGTAATTCCTGAAAGTAGCAATTTATCTAACACTAATATTTTATCCCAAGTTTTGAAACTTGTTTGTCAACTTATCACAACTTCCCTTCAGGTAAATAAACCCTTTGATATAAAGATTTTTAGGAAGTACCATACCAGTATATGCCAAATTACTATTCATTTTTAATTATTTTTCTTTAATAACAGCTTAGTTATAGGGGCCAACTAGTGCAGCCCAAATTTATTCAAAGAGCATTCAAAGTACAAATGTTTCGGGACCCTGTTCCTTTATTATTATTATCGCCATTTTTATAGCGCCAACAGATTCCGTACCGCTTTACAATATTATGAGAGGGGGTATTTAAATAGGACAATTATAAGACAACTTACAGGAATGATAGGTTGAAGAGGACCCTGCTCAAAGGAGCTTACATTCTATAATGATACATGCCAATAAATGCTGTTGTGTCCTAATGGGAGGGCAATACCTTGGATAAGGCCTGAAATGATATCTGCGAGGTTTTAAAAATGGCTATAAATATTTGATTATTCATGAACTAAGCTAAGGCATGTCTCCAAGTTCTTCCTATTACATCAATAACAGAAAGAGCGTATGCAGATGGATCTAATGTCAATCCATTATTTCAGATGTAACTCAATTTATTTCACATGCCCTTTATAATACAGCCATTCCAGTTAAGATACTGAATGGCTGACAATGATTCAATAAAACTAACTAAGCTTGTTGGATGAGAAGTCCTATAATAGTTCAGATTTTGAATTTCCGTAATGAGCAGTCTTAATATGCAGATCAGACAATTGATAAATGTGTTTCTGGTTTTTCAGTATTTATTCCCAAAAGTAAAAAAAAAATATGTTTGAAATAACACATCGTAACCTTGATCCTTGATAATAACAGGCTGATTAATAGAAAAAATATATAATGCATTGGCATATTCTGCACAGCTAAATCACTGGTTTACATAAAGATCAAAGTACGTAGCTTTAACCTTGACTTATGATTGGATCCAGTGTTTAAAGTATAATAAATCCAAGATAAAATAATGTTCTTTTTCATATACATGTCATCTGAAAGGAGCCCCCCATGCTTTAAAGTCAGTGAGAAACTCACACTGGGTTATTCACAAACGTGAGAATTTAAATAGAAAATCTAGAAACATTCTCGAGCAGGCTATGCTTTCAGTTCAGCTACGCTGGCCTTAAATATAAAAATATTACTTTGAATTCTCACTTTAGTAAACAGCAGTGATTGTTTACTAAATTGCTAGTTATCAGGAATGAAATGAATTTCCCATTTTAGTTTAAAATAGTCAAACTGAAAACATTGAAATTGTCACAATTTGGATATTTTGGCCTACAATTTAAAATTACATGCTGGATTTTATCAGACGAGATAAGCATATAATTGAATAGCACCTTACCCTAGAAGTTCATTGGAAATCTGCTATTAAGTTACAAAAGATACGTTTATCTAATCAAACTTTAGTGAATAAACCACTTTTATTTGGTATCAATAGAAAGGATTAGGTCCTGTGTAGACGTTCTTTAGACTGTCAACTATCCCCAACCACGTGAGTTGAGCAAAATCAAAACATTATCGTACACAAACATCTATGTTATATATTATATTATATATTATATATTGTTAGTTCTTACATATACTGTGCAATGTTTGAAAACACAACATGCTTGGGGTAAAGACACATCAAATGCTAGGAATCTCTGCTAATGTGCCTCGCCAGTTCATATTGGATTAACTTCAAGATAGTGGAGAAACACCTGGTCTAGGTTTGGAGTGGGGTCCTTGACTCTTCAGTGCTGGAGCAGCGGACCATCCGCATTACAGCACTTTTAGAAAAAAAGAATGAGCAAAATACTTGTACTACTACATACTGTATGCTGATAAGGTTAGTACTCGGTTGCTAAAACTGTATGACCTCACATAAATTCAAATAATATTTATATTTTTTTTAAACCCACTGAATGTTTACACAATACATTTATTCCATGCTAACTGATATTCTCAGAGTAATTTATAAAGACTTTTTTTTGTTTTTTTTAGGGGGCTGGTATATATACAGCATGGATCAAGGACCAAGATAACTTAACTGGTAAGTTTAAATTTGTTATATATACACTCAAAATAAATAATACAATTTATGTCATAATACAATAGTAATTTAGGTTGAAAAAAAGACCATTGAGTTCAACCTTTGAACACAACTTTTTATTCTGTTGATCCAAAATGATGCAAAAAAAAACAACAATTTGAAGCAATGGTTAATTATGCCGCAAAAATGTAAACCACAGACTTCTCTTTAGATATACAATCTGTTCACATACATATTAATATTATCTTTAAATATCCACACCTTTCTAGATAAATGTACATGCTGTGTGAAAGAAGGGTTAATATTTTAAAAGCGTTTGTTTTAAAAAAAATAAAAATGTATTTTTCTCTCTCAATATTGTCTTGTGAAAGAGCATAAATTTTTTGCATATTCCTTTTTTAAAATCTGCCCCAAGGAAAAAAGAAGACAAATGTACAGCAAATGCATTAATGCATAATTTCACCTGAAACACAATATTACCAAGTTTAACTTTTAAAGTTTTCTCCTATTCTATAAAAAGTATATTTTTCTTTTTTTCTTGTAGGAATCAATGGTATTCATTAAATCAATGAACTGCTTGATTGGGCAATGCTAGTTACAAATGAACATGAATTAATCAAAATAGCAGAACAGCTCTATTACAATTTGATTGGCAAATGGTGCTTACCTAAGGGTTTATATTTTTTTTATTATTATTTTTTGTTTAATTTAGAATGCCATATCTGCCATTATTTACTTGGCTAAATAAAAACATTTAAAAACAAGAAAAAACTGATAGAGAGCCATTTAATTGTACTATTCTTACCGGCACAAAGTTCATGCGCACGCTCTCTGCCGGAGTGGGAGGGATTAAAGGTTGACAAGGGGTGTGGATAGAGAAGGGGTGTGGACAGGCAAGGGGTGCAGGAGAACAAGCACAGTGTGCAGTGCATGCTGACAGCAGCGTTAATTATGCACAGAGTTAACAGGCAACCCAGAACATAGTTCCTGGCTGTAACTAGCCGTTGGCACAAAACTGCAATCTTTAAGTTTGGATTCCAATATTGTTGAATGGGTAAGGCAGTGGCTGAGTGACAGGCAACAGAGGGTTGTAGTCAATGGAGTATATTTAAAGCATGAGCTTGTCACCAGTGGGGTACCTCAGGGATCTGTACTTGGACCCATTCTCTTTAATATTTTTATTAGTGATATTACAGAAGGTCTTGATGGTAAGGTATGTCTTTTTGCTGATGAAACTAAGATATGTAACAGGGTTGATGTTCCAGGAGGGATAAGCCAAATGGTTTAGGTAAACTAGAAAAATGAGTTGTGGCAACTGACATTTAATGTGGATAAGTGCAAGATAATGCATCTTGGACTTAAAAAACTAAGGGCCGAGTACAGAATATTTGATGGAGTCCTAACCTCAACATATGAGGAAAGGGATTTAGGGGTGATTATTTCTGATGACTTAAAGGTAGGCAGAAAATGTAATAGAGCAGCAGGAAATACTAGCAGAAATACTAGCAGAATGCTTGGTTGTATAGAGAGAGGTATTAGCAGTAGAAAGAGGGAAGTGCTCATGCCATTGTACAGAACACTGGTGAGACCTCACTTGGAGTATTGTATGCAGTACTGGAGATCGTATCTTCAGAAGGACATTGATCCGAGAAGGGCTACTAAACTTGTTCATGGATTGCAGGATAAAACTTACAAGGAAAGGTTAAAGAAACTTAACATGTATAGCTTTGAGGAAAGACGAGACGGGGGGGATACAAGAGTACATAGTTTTAAATTAGAGGGACAAAGGTTTAAAAATAATATCAGGAAGTATTACTTTACCGAGAGGGTAGTGAATGCATGGAATAGCCTTCCAGCTGAAGTAGTAGAGGTTAACATAGTACAGGAGTTTAAGCATGCGTGGGATAGGCATAAGGCTATCCTAACTATAAGATAAATGCAGGGACCAATGAAAATATTTAGAAAATTGGGCAGACTAGATGGGCTGAATGGTTCTTATCTGCCATCACATGCTATTTTTCTATGTTTCTATACATTATTCTCTGTGTGTGAATCATTTCAAGCTGATACACTACACATACTGATTCCTACCACAATGACCACTTCTAAAAGCAGAAGTGGTCATGGTGGTCAGTGTAATCCTTTAAATCAGGCTTCCCCAAACTCCGGCCCTCCAGATGTTGCTGAACTACAACTCCCATGATTCTCAGCCTATTTCATTAATAGAATCATGGGAGTTGTAGTTCAGCAACATCTGGAGGGGTGGAGTTTGAGGAAGCCTGCTTTAAATTGTAGACAGTTAAATAGTTTTGATATTATGCAAATTGGAAGAACAGTTACCATTTCTGGTGCATTATATACGTTGGATAGTCCTGGCAAATGTAGGCAATGTATAATAAAATAGCATACTTAAAGGGACACTATAATCACCAGAACAACTACTGCTTAAAGTAGTTGTTCTGGTGAGTATAGTATGTCCCTTCAGGCATTTAAATGTAAACACCGCCTTTTCAGAGAAAAGTGACTGCCTAGGGACACCTCTAGTGGCAGTCACTCAAACAGCCATTACCGTGCTTCCTGGGTTGTGCAGCACTGACGTTCAGTTTCTCCACGCTCTGCATGGAGGAGCTATACTTTCCCCATAGAGATGCATTGAGCCAATGCATCTCTATGAGGAGATGCTGATTGGCGCAGTGCAGTGTTTTCTCATGCATGCGTGATAGCCTCCCAATGCTTTCCTATAGTTTGATGATCTCAGCCAAGGGAGTGGTGTGTGGATGGGGCAAGTCGTGAATGGAACTGTGCAGCACTGGAAAAAGGTGAATAAATTACCTTTTCAATAGGAGGTAAGGGGAGCTGGGGACCTAAACAGCTATTTAGACCTACAGTGTCAGGAATATACATTAGTATTCCTGACACTATAGTGTCCCTTTAAGTTTCATTTAAGATAAACTAAAATATTCACTTTATTATGAAAAACTGAGAACATGCAGCTGCTATTACGTATAAACAGAGAAAACAGTGATATGTAGTGGTTATGGTGCCTGGAATGTCTCTTTAATATTTCAATACCTTCAAAAAAGGTCAGGTTTTGAGCTATTCTACCTGAAAACAAACTACCAATTATGAGTTTATGTAACAAATGTATTTCTCACCATAAAACACTATATTTTGTTTTCTTTGTCAAAATTTTTTATTACCCTCATGTCATAAAACCATTATTCACCAAGCTTCAGGGATTTAGCAACGTTTGTTAAATGTTTCTTTAAATCAATGATAAACTGCTTCACAGCGATCCCAAAAATGCATTTAGTCAACGTGGTATATTTTGCATAGACAAACAAGCTAAACTAATTGAAATCATAGCATTGCTTTAAAATAATCTTGGTGATTCCATAAAGAATAAAGAGATTATTTTACTTTGCCACCTTTACAATTAAATTCTACAATAGCATGTTCAGGCAAAATGCATTTAATCTTAATTGCAATGGTGTGTATGCTTGCTTGTGTCTGAATTATTTTCAGAGCTGAAATAGATACAGCGGAACACCAAAGCTGAGAACTCCACCCTTCACCTGAGGCAGTTTCCATTAGTAGACAGCAATGTGTTTGAATATCTGAACCGTTGCCAAGATGCTTTAAAAAATGCCTCTGACGGATCATTGGCTAGTCAATCAGGCACAATTCAGTATGCAGAACCAAAAGGCAAAATTAGTCATAAAATACATTAAAAACTCCATATGGTTCGTGCAGAGAAAAGCATGATTAAAGACACACACAAAAAACTGGTTCAATCAGTACCAGACTCACACAATAATGTATAGATAAGAGATCAACACATATAGGCCCAGGGCAGTTGCTGGAATAAAACAGCCAGTCTATGACTTACAGAGAGTCACAGGGAAAGTACTTTAAAGACAGTTGGATTTCCCAACAAATTTGAATGTTTTATACATTTTAATGCATATCAGCAACTCTATATTTGTATGCCTTGTCCCTCTCGGCACAATCTAGTCTCCAAACTCAAGTGGGTGTATTAGGTATGTGCACAGTCATGGGAAAAATAAAGTACACCCTCTTTAAATTCTATGGTTTTACATATTAGGACATAATAACAATCATCTGTTCCTTAACAGGTCTTAAAATTAGGCAAATACAACCTCAGATGAACAACAACACATGACCTATTACACCATGACATTATTTATTTAACAAAAATAAAACCAATATGAAGAAGCCATGTATGAAAAAAAACTATACTGCTGTAATTTTGTTTCACTCTAAAAAACATTTATTTAGATTATATGTCTGGCTGTTCTGGTACAGTCAGAGCATACTATGCAACTAACTTGTAGTCCCTACAGTGCAGTATAAACAAGGGAAGGGCATTATTGCATGGATGCCTGAGCGCGCATGTATTTGTACAGAATCTAAATGAAAGTTCTGAGCAGCCCGCCCCTCTGTACTGCTTTGGCTAGTGAGGAAGTATTAGCCTGAGCAGCAGTGGGCTATGGTGGCTAAAGGTGTCAGCTGACCGCTTCTTGCCTATCACAGCCTCCTATTGCTGGTATCAATAGCTAGAAGTAAGAGTGTATTCTCTGCTTTAGCCATACATCCCGTGGGGGCTGGACTGTGGGTGACCAGGATCCCTCATTCAGTGTTAAACCTGCTTGAAAATGGTTTATCAATAAATGAAAGGACAACGAAAGGGCCTCTAGACACTATAACTAATTCAATGAGATGAATGAGTTATGGTGCCTACAGTGTCACTTTAAAGCCACAATCTGCCCCAATAATCAAGTTGTTATGTGGCTTGAGTCCCTGAGATGATCTTACTCAATAGGGTTAAATTGCATTTGAAAGATTTAACCCCAAGGTTGTTGTGGCAGACTGCCAGTTTATCGCCACCCTTTTATTTCCCAAGGTGCAACTTGAAATATGCATTTAATGCACAAAGTATTTTTAATATTATATGCATTACTCACAATTTTTCTTTTTTTTTCCCATTTCCTTAAAATGTTTCTGCATAATCCATAGTTGTAATAATACAAGCGTTATTTATTGAGCATATGTTCTAAAAAAGCAAAATGTAACATAAAGGGCTTTTGTGAGTTATCCAGCATCTTCGAAGTGGCTGGTTATGCATTTGATTAGGACACTTCTGTGGGATTTATTCTGACCTTGTGAAATGTATGATTGCCTTGAGAAAATCTTAGCATAGTGCAACAAGTACATTTGTCAGCCACCCTTTCTAGCAAGGCTGGTGTTACTAACAAAACCGGCTTAGTCACTTTCTGGGGAGTGTTTTTATCTTACAGACATGGGTGTGGTAGCATCAGCTTTTTTTTAGCAGGGTTACCTGCCAGGCTTCCAAATTTGCAGAATTGCGGACATGCACAAAACGTCACACAATGTCATTTATGTGATAAAATGTTATACTTAGAAATCATCAGCCTTACAGCATTTTGTTGTTTCTCATATTTTAAAGACTTTTTTGATGGTGAGTAACTCTTGAGATGAGTTAATTTGGGAAACTTTCTGTCACGATTCGGGGAACCCAACACGCTGGCACACACACACACACACAGAAAAGGGGCCGTACCCGACCTTAGAGTGGCCGGGCTAAGCACACACAGAATAGTCAGGAAACAAGCCGAGTAAGGGGAACCAGAAGACAGAATAACGTGAAACGAGCCGAGGTCAAAGGGTAGGAGAAAGTCACAGAGTCAGATAAACAAGCCAGAGAGTACGTAACCATAAACACAAGGTAAATCACAATACTAGCAAGCAAAGACCACAACAGGGCAGAGAGGAACAGGAAAGGTAAGTATTTAAACAATAAGGTTAATTCTGATTGGATAATTTCCAATCAGAATTAACAATCACACGTGGGAGATATCTAGACCTCCCACTGTGATTGAGACACTGTGCCTTTAACGCCGGGTCAGGTGACTGACCCCGGCGTGTACTAACTTGGGTGGTCTCCCAGCGTGCAGCGTCATGTATGCTGCCGCTGGGGGACGTGGAGGAAACGGCGGGCGGCATCTGAGGCTGGAAGCTCTCTGGAAGCAGCTGCCCGCGGGATCCCGACATTACCCCCCCCTCGAAGACCGCCCGGAGGGCGGGAAGCGGAAGGCTTCAAAGGAAACCGGGCATGAAAGGAGCGGACCAAAGAGGGAGCTTGCACATCAGAGCTCGAAACCCAAGACCGCTCCTCAGGGCCGTACCCCTTCCAATCCACCAAATATTGCAGCCGACCCCTAGAAACACGAGAGTCGAGAAGGGCAGCCACCTCGTACACGTCGCCAGAGACAGCGCGAGGGGAAACGGGCCGCCCGAGGGGACGAGAGAACCGGTTACACAGCAAGGGCTTCAAAAGCGAGACGTGAAACGTGTTCGGGACACGCATGGAAGGAGGCAGGTCAAGGGAGTAGGAAACGGGGTTAACCCTACGTAACACCCTGTAGGGACCAAGAAACCTGGGGGCAAATTTCATCGAGGGAACCTTGAGATGGAGGTTCCTGGAGGACAACCATACCCTATTACCCGGAACATAAGAAGGGGCCGCAACCCTACGGGAAGAGAAGGATCAGGGTGGTGCAGCACTGGAGCAGAGGCAAATGCCTTCTTGAGGGTTTCGAAGGCCTTAAGGGCTTCAGGAGTCCAAACCCTAGGGTGTAGACCTTTTTTTGTCAGCTTCGTTATAGGAGAGATGAGTGGTGAAAAGTTTTTTATAAAATTTCCTATAACAGTTGGCAAATCCTATAAAACGCTGGATAGCCTTCAGTCCTTGGGGAAGTGGCCAGGACAGTATAGCTTCCAATTTAGCAGGATCCATACTGAAACCCTGTTCAGTAATGATATATCCTAGGAATTGCACAGAGGTCTGATCGAATAAACATTTTTCTAACTTACAGTAGAGTCCGTTCTGCAATAGCCTTTTGAGCACCATCTTAACATGGTTATGGTGTGACTTCAAATCAGGAGAATACACAAGTATGTCGTCAAGGTACACCACAGCACAGACATGCAATAGATCCCTAAGGACATCATTTATGGTCCTGAAACACGGCAGGAGCATTACACAGTCCAAAAGGCATGACCAGATATTCGTAATGCCCACTGCGTGTGTTGAACGCTGTCTTCCACTCGTCATTCTCCTTTATACGGACAAGGTTATAAGCCCCCTGAGGTCTAATTTGGTGAAGAATTTAGAACCTTTAACACGATCAAACAACTCAGTGATGAGGGGGATAGGGTAGGCGTTTTTAACCATTATATTGTTCAGACCCCTGTAGTCTATACATGGCCTCAAATCGCCCTCCTTCTTTGCCACAAAGAAGAAACCAGCACCAGCAGGAGAGGAGGACCTTCTAATAAAACCTTTACTTAGGGATTCCCGTATGTACTCCTCCATGATCTGGTTTTCTTTTTCAGAAAGAGGCATAGTACCCGGAGGCATAGTACCCGGTAAGAGGTTTATGGCACAATCATACTCACGATGTGGAGGTAGCTTATCTGCCTCCCTCTTTTCAAAAACCAAGGCAAGGTCTGCATAAACAGAAGGGACAGAAACCGAGAGTGGTTTAGCCGTGGGCACGTTAAGTAAACAAACAGGACGTACATGAGCCATACAGTCTCGTTGACAAGATTCCCCCCAGGAGAGTATATCTAAACAACCCCAATCAAGAACAGGGTTGTGTTTAACTAACCAGGGAAAACCCAGAATGATGGAGGCTGTAGGGGAGTCAATTATTTGGAAGGTTAACTTCTCCTTGTGCAAAACACCCACAGACATAACTATTTCCTGGGTTTCATGGGTCACCAGAGGTTTCTCCAGTGGTCTACCATCTATGGCCTCAACGGCCAAGGGTGTATCCTTTCGGATCAAATTCAGGGCTGCGGTTTTGGCAAAGGTCTCATCCATAAGGTTGTCTGCCGCACCCGAATCGATCAGGGCTTTGGTTGTTATAGTGGTTTTATTGACCAAAAGAGAAACTGTAATAAACGGTCTGGAGATGGACACATGAGGGGACAAAGTCATAACACCCGAGGCCGACCCCTCTCTAAGCCTTAGGTGCTGCAGTTTCCCTGTACTTTAGGGCAGGCTTTACAGTGGTGCCCCCTCTTCCCACAATAAAGGCATAACCCCTCCCTTCTACGGTACGCTCTTTCGGCCTCAGTTAACCCCGTAGCACCCAACTGCATGGGTTCAGGGGATGGTTGCCTAGGAGCGGGTAACGCTAGCAGTGCAGTACTGGGTAGAGCAGGTAACACCCGTGTATCCAACCGTCTTTGACTACGCCTCTCTCTAATACGGTTATCGATAAGAATCACATAGTCTATAACATCATCTAGAAGAGCAGGCAATTCCCTGGATGCTATTTCATCCAGTATATAAGCGGCCAAACCCTCCTGAAAGGCTGTTACGAGGGCATCATTATTCCAAACCACTTCAGCTGCTAGAGTGCGGAATTCGATAGTGTAATCTGCTACAGATCTGTTACCCTGTCGGACCCTAAGCAGAGCCTTGCCAGCAGAAGCAACCCTACCGGGTTGATCAAACGTGCGTCTGAAAGCTGTCAGAAAATCTGCAAAGGACATAGGAGACGTATTTTCCCAAATGGGGTTGGCCCATGCTAAAGCTCTCCCGGACAAGTGGTTTATCAAAAAGGCAATTTTAGATCTGTCAGTGGGATAGGAACGTGGATTCATCACCAAATGGATGTCGATTTGGTTGAGGAAACCATGACACAATGCTGGGTCACCGCTGTAGCGCTGTGGCGGCGTCATGTGAACTACATGAGCGGGAACGGGTACTGGAGTGGGAATGGGTTCGGGCACAGCAGCAGCAGCCTCCTGAACGGCAGGTTGCAAGTGTGCAGTACGAGCCAGTATGGTTTGCAAAGCTTGAGCAAACTGATCCATACGGTGGTCCAAGCCATCCATTCTAGCCTCCTGATTAACTAGGAGCTGTGGTATGTCAGCAAGTTCCATTATGGCCCTGTTGTAATGTCACGATTTGGGGAACCCAACACGCTGGCACACACACACACACACACACAGAAAAGGGGCCGTACCGGACCTTAGAGTGGCCGGGCTAAGCACACACAGAATAGTCAGGAAACAAGCCGAGTAAGGGGAACCAGAAGACAGAATAACGTGAAACGACCTGAGGTCAAAGGGTAGGAGAAAGTCACAGAGTCAGATAAACAAGCCAGAGAGTACGTAACCATAAACACAAGGTAAATCGCAATACTAGCAAGCAAAGACCACAACAGGGCAGGGAGGAACAGGAAAGGTAAGTATTTAAACCATAAGGTTAATTCTGATTGGATAATTTCCAATCAGAATTAACAATCACACGTGGGAGATATCTAGACCTCCCACTGTGATTGAGACACTGTACCTTTAACGCCGGGTCAGGTGACTGACCCCGGCGTGTACTAACTTGGGCGGTCTCCCAGCATGCAGCGTCATGTATGCCGCCGCTGGGGGACGTGGAGGGAACGGCGGGCGGCATCCGAGGCTGGAAGGATGCCGCTCGCCGAGCCCACGAGGAGGAGGGGACCACGGACGACTGGAGGGTGAGTGCCGCGAGCGGAGTGCAGCCTCCCCTCGCAGCCGCCCGTGGGATCCCGACACTTTCAATGTGTCCGATTTCAAGTTACCTACATTTTAGGGGTTTACTTGATTTGAATTTTATTCTTGCAAAAATTACCAGGGATAACATGCAGCCTCCAGGCAGTGGCATTGGAAGGGCTTAAAGGTTGATAAAGGTCATAATTTGTGACCGAAATGTTGCTTTATGAGCCTGGTGATATGCTGTGAGGCGTGTGGTGGCGAGGGAGCTGTCATCTCCTTGCTCTGCTCCCTCACACGCCGTTTGCTGATGCCGCAGGAGCCAGAATATGACTTATTTTAACCTGCTCCCAGCATCAGTAGACAGCCCACAAGGCGCGAGGGAGCAGAGCAGGGAGATCACAGCTCCCTGGCCGCTTCTGAGTCTAACACAGCCACCTCACAGCAGCCCCACTGGACCCCAGGGACAGATCCACGCCAGCTCTCCAAGTAGGGAGGCTGGGTGGAAAATTGTAATTTAGAATAATTGTAATAATTTGTGAGAGTATGTGTGTGTGTGTATGAGTGTACACTGGCGTACATACCAGGGTCGCAGGGGTCGCGACTGCGACCGGGCCCGGCCCACCAGGGGGCCCGGCCGCCCCTGCGACCCGGTATGTACGCCCAGGGCCAGCCTCTTCCCCCGGGGGGCCCAGGAGCCGACCACCCCAGGGCCCCCCTGAGGCTGGCCCTGCTGACCCCGGGTGGCCGGTCGGGCAGGCAGGCGAGGGAGCACTCAGTGCTTCCTCTTCAGCTCCCTCGCGCACCGCAATGATACGAGCCGGAAGATGGCGTCATCTTCCGGCCCGGCATCCCTACGCGGCGCGCGAGGGAGCTGAAGAGGAAGCACTGAGTGCTCCCTCGCGCGCCCGCCTGCCTGCCCGACCGGCCACCCGCCCAGGAGCCCCACTGGACCCCAGGGAATAATCCCCCCCAGCACTCCAAGAGGTAAGGAGGCTGGGGGGATTATATTAAAAAAAAAAAAATCATGTGTGTGTGTTAGTGTGAGTGTTAGAGTGAGTGTTAGAGTGAGTGTTAGAGTGAGTGTTAGTGTGTGTGAGTGTTAGTGTGTGTGTTAGTGTGTGTGAGTGTTAGAGTGAGTGTTAGTGTGTGTGTTAGAGTGAGTGTTAGTGTGTGTGAGTGTTAGTGTGTGTGAGTGTTAGAGTGAGTGTTAGTGTGAGTGTTAGAGTGAGTGTTAGAGTGTGTCTGCTAGTGAGTGTTAGTGTGTGTGTCTAGTGAGTGTCTGTGTGTTACTGTGTGTGTCTTACTGAGTGTGTGTGTGTTAGTGAGTCTGTTTGATGTCTGTTAGTGAGTGTGTGTTTGTCAATGAGAGTGTATGTTTTGTAAGTGAGTGTGTATGTATGTCTGTCGCTGACTGTATCTCTGTCAGTAAATGTGTGTGTCTGTTAGCTAGTGTGTATGCGTCTGTAAGTGAGAGTGTGTGTGTCTTCAGCACTTACCTTTCTCCAGCGCCAGACTCCCTTGGCGCTGAGGATCCCTCAGCCTCTCAGCTCCGAATGCGACCGCGCACACATTCAAACCGCCCATAGGAAAGCATTACTCAATGCTTTCCTATGGACATTCAGTGTGCTCCTCTAGCGGCTGTCAGTGAGACAGCCACTAGAGGCTGGATTAACCCTCAGTGAAACATAGCAGTTTCTCTGAAACTGCTATGTTTTCAGCTGCAGGGTTAAAACTAGAGGGACCTGACACCCAGACAACTTCATTGAGCTGATGTGATCTGGGTGTCTGTAGTGGTCCTTTAAAGGACCACTATAGTGCCAGGAAAACATACTCGTTTTCCTGGCACTATAGTGCCCTGAGGGTGCCCCCACCCTCAGGGACCCCCTCCCGCCCGGCTCTGGAAAGGGGTAAAACTTACCTTTTTCCACCGCTGGGCGAGAGCTCTCCTCCTCCGATCCTCCTCTTCTCCTCCCCGTCGGCTGTATGCGCACGCGCGGCAAGAGCTGTGCACGCATTCAGCCGGTCACATAGGAAAGCATTCATAATGCTTTCCTATGGACGCTGGCGTGCTCTCACTGTGAAAATCACAGTGAGAAGCACGCAAGCGCCTCTAGCGGCTGTCAATGGGACAGCCACTAGAGGAAATAGGGGAAGGCTTAACCCATTCATAAACACAGCAGTTTCTCTGAAACTGCTATGTTTATGAAAAAATGGGTTAACCCTAGCTGGACCTGGCACCCAGACCACTTCATTAAGCTGAAGTGGTCTGGGTGCCTAGAGTGGTCCTTTAAGTGTGTGTGCATCTGCATGCACTGGCGTACATACCGCGGTCGCAAGGGGTCGCAGCCCTGTAACCCCTGCGACCAGGTGCCCACCGCCATGTGTTGCGGCCTGTCCCGCGTGGGGGGGCGGGGGGCCCACGGATCAATTTTCGCACCGGGGCCCCATGGGTCATGTGTACGCCACTGTGAGTGTATGTGTGTGTCTGTGTGTATGAGTGTATATGAGTGCAGTGGTTATTTTGGTTTCGTGCTGCCCTAGGCATGACTAAACCTGGGCACCCCCCTAATCTAAATTTGCCCCACCCCTTCCTGTCAAGACCACACCTCTTTCTGATTACAAACCCACCCTTTCCTCTTTAAACTCAACCTTTTTCTACTCCTTTTAAAGGGATACTATAGTACCAGTAAAACAGCCTGGCACTATAGTTCCCTGTAGTGCCCCCCTCCCTTGTGTTCCCCCGCCACCCACTTGGTACTGAAGGGGTTAAAACCTCTTCAGTCATTTACCTGAATCCAGCACCGGTGTCCCTTGGCGCTGGGTCAGGCTTCTCCTTATTCTTCTTATTACAATTATTATAAATTAAATTTTTCCACCCCTACCAGGAGAGCTGGCTTAGATCTGTCCCCGGGGTCCAATGGGGCTGCTGTGAGGAGGCTGTGTTAGACTCAAAGGCGGCGAGGGAGCTGTGATCTCCCTGCTCTGCTTGCGCCTCGTGGGCTGTCTACTGATGCCGGGAGCAAGTTAAATTACGTCATATTCCAGCTCCAGCGGCATCAGCAAAAAGGGAGATGACAGCTCCCTCGCCGCCTCTAAGTCTAACACAACCGCAAGCCTTACAGCAGCCCCACTGGACCCCAGGGACAGGCGAAACACCAGGGAAGCCTGAGGGGGCATTTGGGGGCGGTATTCTTTGACGCCCCCTGGTTGGTGCTGCCCAAGACAAATGCCTAGTTTGCCTTGGGCTAAATACACCAGTGGGTAGATCACATAGATCACAGGTTACATTTGACATTGAAACACATTGAGGTTGTATAATAACAAATGAGTAGAGAAGACTCTCAAGTATATGCTACAAATTTGCCGCGCATGCATATTAGACCCCGCTCGTCGCGGGATGGAGGAGGGGGCAGAACTTCGACTCAGCGCCGAGGGACATCAGCACTGGATTCAGGTATGTAAATAAAGAGTTTTTAACCCTTTATTTACTCGGTAGGAGGGGGTGTGAGGGAGGGAGGAGGGAGAGAAATCGCTAGTGCCAGGAATACAGTTTTGTATTTCCTGCACTACACTATCCCTTTAAGTTTGTATCGCACCTACACCAAAATAGAGTTTACATTTGGGTTCAGCCTAATGTGAAACTTGTGATCAAAGTGATTAGTGTTCATTTCTTGGGAAGTAAGAAAAAAAAAGTTTTGAGAAGACAAATATATTTCAAACCAATGTATTAGCTAACTAAGATAACAGCAGGTTAATGTTTTCAGGAACAAAAAAGTTGCTTGAATCATTGTTAGCTATAAATTGTAAGAGAAAGGCAGTACTATGAACGCAATGTTTACTAACTACATAGAAACAGAGAAAATAGAACACAGTAAGAATATGTATTTTCAGCTCTGGAGGAATAGAATCAATGGAAGCTATGAATGTAATAATCTCAAATGAAGAATGTAATTCTAATTGTTACCTAATTTTAAACAGGCACATACTATAAAATCAAAGTGGGTAGTGACTCTTTGGCTCTGCCAGCACTATAGAAGGAACTGGAAATTGTACTGTTTGGAGCTAGACATGCTAATATTTAACCCCTTAAGGACCAAACTTCTGGAATAAAAGGAATCATGACTTGTCACACGTCATGTGTCCTTAAGGGGTTAAACTTGTTCATTTGTAGTAAACTCATTTACTAGCAAAGAGGGCATGTATCGAGTCTCAAAATTATAATTATAGTATAAAATTATACTTTATCACCCAATGCCATGGAGCTTTAACAACAAATAATTCACAATTATCTAGGTCAATCGATAAAACGACAGAGAAAAAAATTATGGAGGTGTGCATTGAAAAGTCTCATGAAGTTTATATATTATATATTTTCATTAAAAAAACCACCATATCATTTTAAAATTAGCTACTTATGATTATGCATCATTCCTATAGGCAGGAAGCATGAGAATTGCATGACATATCTTATATGCCTATTAGCAGTATAGATATTAAGGGCACATTGCTATATTATTTTATTATTTATTATTAGTTATAAAGCGCCAACAAATTCTGTAGTGCTGTACAATGGGTGGACTAACAGACACGTATTTGTAACCAGACAAGTTGGACACACTGGAACAGAGGGATTCAGGGCCCTGCTCAATGAGCTTACATGCTAGAGGGACTGGGGCAGAGTGACACAAAAGGTAAGGGTAGGGTAGAAATGTAGGTTACTAGGATAGTCATTTTTAATTACCTCTTTTTTTTTTCTTTTTTTTTTTTAGAAATTTTTGATTTACCCGTACTTACTGTATATAGGCATTATGTTCAAATGTAGATGTTATTTTTACATTTTGTGACTATTTTTATTAAACTATTCTACTAGTTATGACATCTGGGTCCTTACAAATATCTGTAAGCAGGGTATTTCACCATATATTTATTTTTGCATCAATCCATAGAGACGTAATACAGTGAGATTGAGAGTAGCCGTAAATATACAATTTATCTATTCTTGTCACACCTGCTGTATGTGAGAAAAAATATGTATTTCCCGGTACCCTGTATTATGGCAAGCATTTCATCACCCCCATATTTCTATTATATATGAGCACTTATTACATAATTATTCTGTTTTTGATCATACATTTATGCGCTAGCTAGGCATCCCATGTTTGAAATGAATGTTATGCTAAAATGTTTGCAAACAAGGGGTTTAAGGACCTCATATTTTATACATATTCATTGCACGGATCAGGAATTTAACAAGAATTAGGGGTATTTGGATCATTAAGTTACGAGAATGCAGTCATAGTTGATAACTAAATAAAACGGTACTTTATGAACACCATCATCCCATCATAGAGTTTCTGCATTATCCAACAACTAAATGGAATACTTGTTATTATTCTGCAGAATTTAAGTGGAGTTAGTGAGTAGTTTAATTACAGAGTAATTTTATATTTTTTAATTGTGCTAATTCTTTTAAACAATGTAATGAAATATATACACTTCATTCATTTACATAAGTTAACAATTGGTGTTCAGATTTACAAAACCACCTCAAAACTCATTACTGGTAAAATGCGAAACCATTCATAAATGTTCTCTTGTAACTTTATTTTTTTTCTCTCCTCCCTCCCTCTTAGCTACAGAGACAAAGAGTACAAAAGAAAACAGACTGGTTACCATGGAGAAGCAGTGACTCATAACCACACCTGTGATTAGCAGAATCTCGGCAGGTTGGTGCAATACATTTTATAAACCATGCTCTGGGAATATCTTCTACCTTTTATAGTACAATACAAAGGTTACTTTTAATTACTGCTTACACCTTAAAAACATGTCTGTGCCATATGCTTTGATGCTGAAGCCAATGTTATACAATATCATATATTGAAGCAATAGATTAAAAAAAAAGGGACATTCACATGTACAGATAAAGAGTGGTTGAATTAGCACACAGGCAGTCACATACGCGCAGTTACAAGCAGACAGTCATACACACAGTTACAGGCAGAGAGTCATGCACAGTCACAGGCAGACAGTTACAACAGCCACACCATTACAGGCAGACAGTCACACACACACACATACACACACACAGTTACAAGCAGACAGTAACAGACAGTCACAGGCAGACAGTCACACACACATTTACAGGCAGTCACAGGCAGACAGTCACACACACAGTTGTAGGCAGGCAGTCACACACACACAGTAACAGGCAGACAGTCATACACAGTTACAGACAGTCTCACACAGTCACAAGGAGACAGTCACACACACACAGTTAAAGGCAGACAGTTACTCACAATTAAAGGCAGACAGTCACACACAGTCAAAGCCAGTCACACACAGTCACTGGCAGACAGTCACAGACACAAGTTTGCAGACAGACAGTCACACACATACAAACAGTTACAGACAGACATTCAAATAGTTACACGCAGACAGTCAAACACACGCAGTCACAGGCAGACAGTCACACACAGTTACAAGCAGACAGTCACAAACACATTTACATAGTTAGACAGGCTGAAAAGAGACATGTGTCCATCAAGTTCAGTCAGACAGTCACACGCAGTCACAGGCAGTCACATAGGCACATTTACAAGCAGACTGTCTCACACACACACACACACACACAGTTACAGGCAGACAGTCATACACACACAGTTACAAGCAGTCACACACACAGTTACAAGCAGACAGTCACACACAGTCATAGGGAGACAGTGACACACACTCACAGTTACAGGTAGACAGTCAAACACATAAAGTTACAGGCAGAAAGTAACATACACAGTTAAAGGAAGAAAGAAACACACACAGTCACAGGCAGACAGTCACACACAGTCACAGGTTGACAATCACACACACACACACACACAGTCACAGGCAGAAAGTCACACACAGTCACAGGTGGACAGTCACACACACAGTCACACAAAAGCATTTAAAGGCAGACAGTCAAACCCACACAGTTACAAACAGTCTCCTCTTTCCATTATAGGCAATGGGGGAGGAAGTGGAGGCACTGCAATCCCTGGTGTCTAGTTGTTGGGGAAGCAGGGACTCCTTCCTGCTTCCCCCTTAGTGTGCAGCAGTAACCGGGCAGCGGGTTCAGGTTGCATTTAGCTCCACCCGCTCCCTGAACCCACCTATTTACCTCCGCCTACAGCATATTTAGCTCCACCCCAGAGATAGCACCAAGAACACTTTAGGCAGCGTGACTAGTACGAAAGCTGTACCGATTATGGCCTCAAATTATTAAATATTCCAAATGATTCAATACTTTTAGAAAAACTTACACTTATCAAATTATTTATCTACGTTAGTTACCTTTAAAGCCAATGGGATTTTTTTTTAAAATTATTTGGAAAATGTATCTAACAGTATTTGTGACAAACTGGACCTCATCACGGGTTCTTGGAGGGGAATACTTACCAGCCTTTTACCCTGTGACTATGGGCCCTGTAACCATGTAGGCCTACGTGGCTTATTTAGCACCTTTGAACAAACAAACAATTGAGGCAAGTATCCTGGTTGTATTGGTGCATCCATTATGTTTGTAATTTATATTAAAAGAATCAGTGATATACAAATAAAATAAACATATATTGAACAATAGACTTGTGCTTAAGTCAAAATAGAAAAAATATTTCCTTTCAATACTTTAAAGCAAGCATGTCAAACTCAAAATCTGGCATGGGCCACATAAACAAGGTTAAAGTTTATGTGGGCCGCAAAAAAAAAAAATACCTTAAATTTTCATAGGTTTATTTTAAAAAGTAAAGTATAACCCCTGCGCCTCAGCATCCCCCTCTACTAAATCCCAGTGCCCCCTCTACTAAACCACAGCACCCCCCTCTACCACCCTGTGCCAAATCTGATCTGACACACACACACATACTCATTGACAGACAGACACACACACACACTCACTGACAGACAGACAGACAGACACACACACACAGACATACACACATACTCACTGACAAACACACTCACACACACACAGACACACTGACAGACACACATACATACTCACTGACAGACAGACACACACACAAACACAAACACTCACTGACAGACACACACACAGACACACGCTGACAGACACACACACATACTCACTGACAGACACACATACTCACTGACAGACACACATACTCACTGACACAGACACACACACATACTCACTGACACACACACACTGACAGACACACACACTGACAGACAAACACACACACACACACATTTACACATTCTTGCACTCACATAATTTAATTTATTGTTCCCTATCTTTGGGAGCTGGTGTGGGGATCTTCCATCTGGAGATCTCCTTCCTGCTCCTCACTGCTACCTCGTGCGGTTTAGTGATGCTTCACTACAGACAGCGCGCACGAGGGAGCAGTGAGGAGCAGGAACACTGAGCTCCCTCCCTGGCCCTCCTCCCCAGCTGGGTAAGTGTTAGCAGAGTAGGCACCTGCAATGTGGGGAAAGCAGGTGCCTACTCTGCTGTAACACCAGCATGTACTCGTGGCTCGTCTGGCCGCAAAGATGGTCCTTCTGGGCCACATGCGGCCCGCGCCCCGCAAGTTTAACATGCTTGCTTTAAAGGATTGTTATATTGAAAACATATTTTTGGGGTGACAGTCATCTTTTAAAATTCACAATCAAATGCTCAAAAGTAAACAAGGGCTTGAAGTTTGATAGTTGTGGACAGTGGCGTACACACAACCCATGGGGCCCCGGTGCGAAACTGATCCATGGGTTTTCCCCCTCCAACCCCCCCGACAGACACACACACACACACACACACATTACATAGACACACACACAGACAGACAGATACATACACATACAACACATACATACAAAGACACATTTATACAAACAGATTGGCACACATACATACAGACACACACATACAGATAGATGGACACACACACACACACACGACAAACATACATACATACAAACAAACAGACAGGCACACATACATACAGACAGATAGACACATACATACAGACACACACACACATACAGACACACACAGACAGACAGACACACACACACATACAGACACACACACATACATACAGACACACACATAAGACACATACATACATACATAGATACATACAAACAGACAAGACACACATACATACATCCATACATACAAACAGACAGACAGGCACACATACATACATACATACGGACAGATAGACACATACATACAGACAGACACACACACACACACATACAGAGACACACACATACAGACACACACACACAGACAGACACACACACAAGACACATACATACATACATAGATACATACAAACAGACAGGCACACACACATACAGACAGATAGACACAGACAAATACATACATACAAACAAACACATAATATTTAAGTCACCCTCCTGTTTCCTACCTTTTAACTGCCTAAGGGTGACTTTCCCTGGGATCCAGTGGTGGCTCAGGTTGATGGGAGTTAGAGTTCCCACTCTTACTCCCTCTGCTTCCTCCCGCGCGGGTTCTCATTAATAGTTGGAAAGAGTGACGGGGAGTCACTTCCTCCCAGCGTGTGAAATTCTCATCAAAGGGGACCCGGTCGTACTGTTAAAGCGCTGACCGGACCCCCTGAAAATCCATAGCCAGTTGCGTACGTACAAGGGTCGCAGGGGTCGCGGCCGCGACCGGGCTCGGCCCACCAGGGGGCCCGGCCGCCCCTGCGACCCGGTATGTAGCCACAGGGCCAGCCTCTTCCCCTGGGGGGCCCAGGAGCCGACCATCCCAGGGCCCCCCGAGGCTGGCCCTGGTGTCACATACACACTCCTGGGCGGGTGGCCGGTCGGGCAGGCGGGCGCGCGAGGGAGCACTCACTGCTTCCTCTTCAGCTCCCTCGCGCACCGCACTGATACCGGAGCCGGAAGATGACGTCATCTTCCGGCGCCGGCATCCCTACGCTGCGCGCGAGGGAGCTGAAGAGGAAGCACTGAGTGCTGGCGCTGGGGATCCCTCAGCCTCTCAGCCCCGAATGAGACCGCGCACGCATTCAAACCGCCCATAGGAAAGCATTACTCAATGCTTTCCTATGGACGTTCAGTGTGCTCCTCTAGCGGCTGTCAGTGAGACAGCCACTAGAAGCTGGATTAACCCTCAGTGAAACATAGCAGTTTCTCTGAAACTGCTATGTTTTCAGCTGCAGGGTTAAAACTAGAGGGACCTGACACCCAGACAACTTCATTGAGCTGATGTGATCTGGGTGTCTGTAGTGGTCCTTTAAAGGACCACTATAGTGCCAGTAAAACATACTCGTTTTCCTGGCACTATAGTGCCCTGAGGGTGCCCCCACCCTCAGGGGCCCCCTCCCGCCCAGCTCTGGAAAGGGGAAAAGGGGTAAAACTTACCTTTTTCCAGCGCTGGGCGGAGAGCTCTCCTCCTCCGAGTCGGCTGTATGCGCACACGCGCATTCAGCCGGTCACATAGGAAAGCATTCATAATGCTTTTCTATGGACGCTGGCGTGCTCTCACTGTGAAAATCACAGTGAGAAGCACGCAAGCGCCTCTAGCGGCTGTCAATGAGACAGCCGCTAGAGGAAATAGAGGAAGGCTTAACCCATTCATAAACATAGCAGTTCTCTGAAACTGCTATGTTTATGAAAAAATGGGTTAACCCTAGCTGGACCTGGCACCCAGACCACTTCATTAAGCTGAAGTGGTCTGGGTGCCTAGAGTGGTCCTTTAAGTGTGTGTGCATCTGCATGCACTAGCGTACATACCGCGGTCACAGGGGTCGCAGCCCTGTAACCCCTGCGACCAGGTGCCCACTGTCATGTGTTGCGGCCCGCGCGCGGGGGGGGCCCACGGATCAATTTTCGCACCGGGCCCCATGGGTCATGTGTACGCCACTGCGTGTGGCCCTGAGAGCATGGGCCACAGATGGGCACCTTAACATGCGGCCCCAGCGGATTGCAGAGTGAGCCGAGACCGCAAATGATGATGGTGGGCACCCGGTCACAGGGGTCTGCAGGGCGGCCGGGCCCCCTGGAGTGACGGGCCCAGTCGCAGCAGTGACCCCTATATGTACGCCAGTGGTTGTGAACCAATTTTGAATGACAAAATACCATTCTATTTTGTCAAATTCAGTCAACTGAACTCAGTGTCACTGTACTGCAATACACATATAATTCTGATGAAAGTTTAGGTGATAAACTGAAACGTTGATTTTTTGTAATTGCTATATATAAATAAAATCTACTTTACAATCCCTGGAGTGCAGTCATGGAACTTATGGCTATATATATATATATATACGTACATACACTGTATATAGTGTACTATTCATGTAAATAGAAACAGAAGAAAGTCACTTTTAACTTCTGTTTAGAATCATACGAATGAAAATAATGATTTTTTTTTACAGTTGTATGTGAAACTGTATGTTAAACAAGGATTAGTTAGATTAAAAACAAAAGAAGGAAGGTATGTAGAAGAGGATAAAGGTCTAGCTGACTGTCTCAATGAATATTTTTGTTCAGTATTTACAGATGAAAATGAAGGAAAGGGAAAAAGGACAAGTGAGTCATATGTTACATGTGAGTTTACAGAGGAAGAGGTTCTATTTCACCTGTCAAAAGTAAAGACAAATAAGTGAATGGGACCTGATGGACTACAGCCAAAGGTATTAAAAGATCTTAGTGGTGTACTAGCAAAACCATTAACATATTTATTTAACCAATCATTGTTAACAGGAGTAGTCCCAGAAGAGGGGAAGTTAGCGAATGTTGTGCCCATTCACAAGAAAGTTAGTAGGGAGGAGTTGGGCAACTATAGGCCAGTAAGCCTTACTTCAATAGTGGGAAAATTAATTGAAACCATGTTAAAGGATAGGATTGCTGAACATCTAAAATCACATGGATTTCAAGATCAGAGACAACATGGGTTTACTTCAGGGAGATCATGCCAAACTAATCTTATTGATTTTTTTGATTGGGTAACTAATATAATAGCTCAGGGTGGTGCAGTAGACATTGATTACCTAGACTTCAGTAAGGCTTTTGACACTGTTGCACATAGAAGACTTATCAAAAAACTGCAATCGTTAAGTTTGGATTCCAGTATTGTAGAATGGGTAAAGCAGTGGCTGAGTGACAGGCAACAGAGGGTTGTAGTCAAAGGAGTATATTCAAAGCATGGTCTTAGGGATCTGTACTTGGACCCATTCTCTTTAATATTTTTATTAGTGATATTGCAGAAGGTTTTGATGGTGAGGTATGTCTTTCTGCTGATGATACTAAGATATGTAACAGGGTTGATGTTGCAGGAGGGATAAGCTAAATGGCAAATGATTTAGGTAAACTAGAAAAATGGTCAGAGTTGTGGCAACTGACATTTAATGTGGATAAGTGCAAGCAGTGGCGTACTAAAGGGGGGCAGAGGGGGCAGTCCACCCCGGGTGCCACCAGGGTGGGGAGTGCCATGACCCTGGTCTGGGTGCTGGAGGGGGCTGTGTGAGCTATGGCCGCACAGTTCCCCATGGCAGTTAGGATGCCGTGCGGCCAGAACAGCTCACACAAGCAAACAGCTGCTGAACTGGCCGCATGGAGAAAAAGTGGGGGGCCGAGCTAAGCAAAACCAGGGGCGGAGCCAAACCGGCCGCAGGGGCAGGGCTTAATATGGCCCTTACCCACTGCTGTTAGGAGGTGCAGCAAGATGGAATCTCTGCTTCTCCACAGGCTTCAGAGAAGGACTTCAGGGAATCCAGTCCCCCTCCAGCCCACTGTCTGTAAGTAAGAGTGTGTGTCTGTGTGTGTGACCGTGTGACTGTGTGTCTGTGTATGTGTGTGTGTATGTGTGTGTGTGACTTTCTGTGTGTAACTGTCTGCCTGTAACTGTGTGTGTGTGTGTGTGTAACTGTATGCCTGTAACTGTGTGTGTGTGTGTGTGTGTGTGTGTGTATATGTGTGTGTGTGTTAGACTGTCTGCCTGTAACTGTGTGTGTAACTGTCTGCCTGTAACTTTGTGTGTGTTATGTGTGTGTGTGTGTGTGTGTGTTACTGTCTGCCTGTAACTGTGTGTGTGTGTGTGTGTGTAACTCTCTGCCTTTGACTGTGAGTGACTATATATGTTACCGTCTATCTGTAACTGTGTCGTGACTGTCTGGCTATGACTGTGTGTGACTACCTGTAACTGACTGTGTGTGTAATTGTCTGCCTGACTGTTTGCCTGTGACTGTTTGATGTTGCCTGTAACAGTGTGTGAATATCTGTCTGTGACTGTGTGTGCGCATGTGACTGTCTGCAGCTGTCGTGTGTGTGTGTCAATGTATATGTGACTGTCTGCCTGTAACTGTGTGCATGACTGTCTGTGACTGTATGTGTGACTGTCTGCATGTGACTGTGTGCCTGTAACTCTGTGTGTGTGTGTCTGCCTGTATGTGTGTGTGTAACTCTCTGCCTGTGACTGTGTGTGTGAGTGACTGTATATGTGACTGTCTGTCTGTAACTGTGTGTGTGACTGTCTGTCTGTAACTGTGTGTGACTACCTGTAACTTACTGTGTGTGTAACTGTCTGCCTATAACTGTGTGTGTTTCTGCCTGTGACTGTTTGATGTTGCCTGTAACCGTGTGTGACTGTCTGTGACTGTGTGCATGTGACTGCTGCTGTCATGTGTGTGGGTCAATGTATATGTGACTGTCTGCCTGTAACTGTGTGCATCACTGTCTGTGACTGCATGTGTGACTGTGTGCGTGTGACTGTCTGTGTGTGACTGTCTGCCTGTAACTGAGTGTGTGACTGTCTGCCTGTAAATGTGTGTGTTGGGCTGCAGGGATTTTGTAGAAGGGGGCAGGGGTTTTGTATTGGGACAGGAGTCTTTATAAGCATAAAGGGGATTTGTGGAAGGGGGTTGCGGGGGATTTGTAGACGGGGCAGTACAGGATTTGTAGAAGGGGGCAGGACAGGGGTTTTGTAGGAGGGGGTGGGGCAGGACAAGGGTTTTGTAGGAGGGGCTGACAGCGGTTTTGCAAAGTTTACAAATTGTAAAAAAAAAAGAAAACCTTTAACATTTTTTACAGGTTTTTGGGCGTGGGGGTGCCAAGCACAGGATCCGCCCCAGGTGCCAAATGCTCTAGGTACGCCTCTGAGTGCAAGATAATGCATCTTGGACGTAAAAACCCAAGGGCAGAGTATTTGATAGAGCCCTAACCTCAACATCTGAGGAAAGGGATTTAGGGTTGATTATTTCTGATGACTTAAAGGTAGGCATACAGTGTAATAGAGCAGCAGGAAATGCTAGCAGAATGCTTGGTTGTATAGGGTATTAGCAGTAGAAAGAGGGAAGTGCTCATGCCATTGTACAGAACACTGGTGAGACCTCACTTGGAGTATTGTACGCAGTACTGGAGACCGTATCTTCAGAAGGATATTGCTACTTTAGAGAGAGTTCAGAGAAGGGCTACTAAACTGGTTCATGGATTGCAGGATAAAACTTACCAGGAAAGGTTAAAGGAACTTAACATGTATAGCTTGGAGGAAAGACGAGACAGGGGGGATATGATAGAAACATTTAAATACATAAAGGGAATCAACAGTAAAGGAGGAGACTATATTTAAAAGAGGAACTACCACAACAAGAGGACATAGTCTTAAATTAGAGGGGCAAAGGTTTAAAAATAATATCAGGAAGTATTTCTTTACTGAGAGGGTAGTGGATGCATGGAATAGCCTTCCAGCTGAAGTGGTAGAGGTTAACACAGTGAAGGAGTTTAAGCATGCGTGGGATAGGCATAAGGCTATCCTAGCTATAAGATAGGGCCAGGTACTAATGAAATTATTTAGAAAATTGGGCAGACTAGATGGGCCGAATGGTTCTTATCTGGTGTTGCCGTCACATTCTATGTTTCTATGTTTCTAACTGTTGTAGGTGAAATGTAAAATGTGAAAGTCCTCTGAGTCGCAGAAATTAAAAGTGAATTTTACTTTCCTGCATTGGATTAACTACTGGAGTGCTCTATGTGTACTTTATGCATTGCAAAACAATGTGCTGTCTTGCAAGTATTTGTTACATTGTATACAAATCTATATGTCAATGTTTAGACAGGATGTTCTAAAACTGAATGGTGTGAAAGGAAACCTATAAGCAATACTTCTTTTAAGTGTGGCTAAGACAGAGGGTAGATATGTGCACACACATGCACTAACACAAGTATCTGCACGCTGGTCTTGGAGGTTTGTTTAGTTCCAAAATTAAATTCATCCAAATTTGGGCCGATCTGGTCTACAATTACAATAATTTATATTAAGTATACTAAACAGCAATTTATGATTTTCTATAAGATTGTATTTGTAACTACATATGGGGTGTAATTAAATACTACATTTTCTCTTACCAAGCTTTTTGTTCTAGAGTAACTAGTAAAGCTTTCATGATTAACAAATTTGGACAGAGGACCCCAGCAAATATAAAGTTCTAGTATGGTAGGGGTTAACCAAGGATTGAAAACAAGTGAAGAAGCTGAAATAGTTAAAGAATATTTGAGATGTCCTTCCTTAGCCATCTGGACAGGGTGTGTTACAGCGATAGGCAAAGTATACAAACACTCCTGTTAGATTTGTGAAGCAAATCATTTCATAGTACATAAGGGCAATGCACTGTTAGCAAAGAGGAAGTACTACTATGTATTTCTACATTTATTAGAAAGTATGTTTATACTGGCAGACATACGCAACTTAAACTGTTAAAATGGGTATTAAAATTGAACTATAACTTTTGGATATTGGAAAATTATAATAACCAACCCAAATTTAACTCTGTTAGTTTTTTCCAAACCAAACCTCAATTTTATTTATTCACATTAAAGGTACACTCCAAGTATCATAACCACAACAATAGTGGTTATGGTGTCAATATTGCACTGGCACTTCAAATTGTATGTAGTCAAACTATTTTTGAATGTTTTGACTTCTTGCCTGAGGTCTGTGGGCACCATTCCCTGCTTTCACTACTACTGCCATAGAGCCAAAAGCTATTAAGCATCAGCTGCTCACCTCAGGTGAGAAGTCAAACCATTCAAAACTGGTTTGACTACTTACAACTGGGGCGAGTTGCAACTGGACACTTTTGGCGACATAACCACCATATAAAGCTGTAGTGGTTATGGTGCTTAGAGTGTTCCTTTAAATGGAAGGTAAAGTCTGGTTTTCCAATGTAATGTAATCATTTGCATGTGATCTGTGTGTACATGAAGGTATAAGCATGCACTGCATCAAAAGAAGATAAGTAATTATAAATTGAGAGTATTGCATGAATGTGGCAGCACGTTTTACCGACTTGTGAAACAGTAGTGAGTTTTTAGTTTAACTTGAGTCTGATCAGAAGGTATCTGATCATGCAACTACCACACCCAGGGCCATCTATAATATGAATAGGACCCTGGGCAAAGCATTTTCTTTCGTCCCCTGGGCACCCAACCCCCCAATCACACTTTTCACCCCAATGCTGTGGGGGAACTAAAGTAGAGAAATTCCAAACATACTTACACAGCCATATACACTTACAGACATACTGACACATACACACACAGACAGACATATTGACACATTTGCAGATACATACTGACACAAACAGACATACTGACACACAAATATACACTGGCAAACCTATTGACACACATTCAGACATACTGACACACACAGACACACATACATACATACATACAGGCATACACACACAGAGACATACTGACACACACAGACATATACTAACAGAAATACTGAAACACACACAGACACATATACTGACAGACGTACTGACACACACACAGACATACTGACACATACAGACATACACTGGCAGACATATTGACACACACAGACATATTGAAACACACACTAACAGACAGACATATGGACACACACAGTATGTATGTGTGTGTGTGCCAGTATGTCTGTGTGTGTCAATATGTCTGACAGTGTCTGTCAGTATGTATGTGTGTTTTTGTGTGTGTCAGTACGTCTGTGGGACCTCCTTAGTGTGCAGGGCTACCTTAGTGTCCATGGGTGCTGCACAAATTGTGGGGCCCACAGGGCACCTGCTCTGGGGCCCTCCAGGAGCAACTGGGCCCGGGGCAGCTGCCCCGTTTTCCCTGCGTTAAAGACGACCCTGACTACACCAGGCTTAGCTTTATTTTTGTGCATGTTCTTACTTCAGCTGCACACTTGAATGCTTTACTAGCATTTACTGGAGTGACATCATCAGGTGGCTAGTTACTTTTTGTTAGCTTCTAATATTTCTGGTTGTGTGCACTAGCATTATAGCATATGATTAAACTAGCCCACTAAATGAAAACTGAAAGCCACACCAAACAACAGTATTGCTATTTTACAGAATGATATTCAACACATCATTATAAAAACAGAATAATCACTGATATATATAATAACACTACATTCTTTACCACTGCTTAGAGGTTCTGAGTGAATCTGGTATGATGAGACATAGATCAGACAGACTAGATAACTCTCACGCCTCTCACTACCTCTTGGGTGAAATATAAAAAATGTACAGTGTTCAGCAACATTTCTGCCCTACAGTTAATGGCTCTCGGCATAAAAGACTACCTTCTATTTTTCTGCAATAACTTGGTGCAGCATTAAATGCTATTTTATAGTATTGAGTCAATTAGTTTAACTGGAAGAGTTTGTCTCAGAGCCAATCTTGTTTATTGCTGGTGAGATATTCCAAAAGTAATTTGTATAAAAAAGGACTTTTTTCTGTTACCAGTTTAACAGTTAGCTTTATTTTGTGTAGGAGGACAACCATCGTCTTGTGTGCATAACATTAGAGCTTGCTTTACATGGATAGAGGGAAGCGCCAAATTATCAAAAATGTTTCCCAAAGGATGAACAGCTTATTGCAAAGGACATAGTACACTGGGCTCAATTATACTGCAGTTAAATGGTAAACTTCCTCCTGGGAATCCCATAGTCTAGAAGCTTATACACAGCCTTTTGAAGCTATGTACATGATAATATTTATCATCAAATTACTTTAATAAGAAGTTTTTCCATGCTATATGAAGCTAGAAATTTAAATTTTAATGAACTGACTTTAATATAGCATAGTAGTGAGAGGGCATGTCTTGACCATCATGGCAAAGGGTCACATGTTAGTTGTGCTCCGCAATATACCAAGCCTAGCAACCTATTTGAGTGGTGTCTTTGACACCTGGGTGCTTACCCTTAAAGTCTACATACAAGCCTCAAAAATCTGCAGAAGAGCAAATATCTGTAACATAACCATGGAAACATATGGCGAGTAAACCTCTTGAAAGCCTGTTTTTTTTTTCTGATATGGCTTCGGAGCTCGACCTTTCCACCCAACTACCTGATACAAAACGCAAACCACGTAAAATGCTCCAATCTTTAATGGCTATGCTGCAAACAGACTAAGTCAATAACAGCAAATCTTCATAAGGAGCTCAAAGACCTGGGAGATAGCACAGCACATGCAGAGGGACACATGGAGAAGCTTTGTGTTGTCTCATTGGAGCATTGGCAGGAGAGCATGCTACCACAACCTACAGGCCTGCCTAAGGCGGCTCCTTGAGGTGCGATTGTCCTATTAAACTGCCAAATAAAATGAGGAGACCCTGATGATGACGACTAGAAGGCTGAAGACTCCATGAGCCATATGCTAAGCTCTTTCTCTCTCTACGCTGATTAAGCAACTACCACACTGGCTAAGAGGAGTGGTTTCCTATAATAGTCTATGTTTTCTCAGCAAAGGAGCCAGTATTTCAATTGTGAGGACATAGAGAAGGGGAGCAAGTGAACAGCCCTGACGCGTGCCATTAAGTATTTCAAGACTCATAGAGCTAAGGAAAGGGCCCATAATCCTCGCACTGGGAACTGTTTACAACCTTATAGTCAAATGTGCAAACCGACCAGTGAGTCCAAATATCCGCAGGGTCTATGCCAAAAATCTCAATTTTACTCTATCAAACGCCTTTTCGGCGTCAAGCACCATAATAAGAGATGGAATTTTTCTGAGATGGATCTCATCAATGATGTTAATGGCTCTGCGGGTATTGTCCTTTCCTGACTGACCACCACAAATCCTACTTGATCAGGATGATTAGATTTGAAATTACCAAATTTAATCTATGTGCTAAAATCTTAGAATATATTTTTATGTCAAGGTTGATTAATGAAATAGGTCTATAGATCTCTAACTGGCATTTTATCACAAGTTTTTATCTTGTAATGTAATGGTACTAAACAAGGGTGTCCCTAGTCCCTTTTAATTTAAATATTAGCTTTGGTACCATTGGTATATAAAATAAAAGAAAAAGACCACATAACTGGCTTAGTTAAAGCCTCAACGACTTACAAATTAGCTTTGTTCACTGATGATATCATCTTAAACCTTTCAAATCCTGGGTTCGATCTTCCGCAGCTGATGACACTCCTGGGAGAATATGGCAAAGATTAATTTTAGGAAAATAACCTTAGTAAGGCTCACACACTTTTTATTTGTATTTCAAAGGTCTGTACAGTCAACTTAAAAATAAAATATGATTTTGACTGGAAAGCCAACTCATTAACTAATCCCGGTATCCAGTTAACAAAAACCATACATGCTATGTCCATAGTCAACCACCAACAGCCTTTTTATTAAATTACAGTCAACTATTTGGGGTAAATTGGAAGTCTAATGGTTAGGAAGAATTAATGTTTTTAAGATGTCCATTTCACCAATTATTCTATAGTTTTTTTCTTACAATACCTTTGGCTATTCTGACCTGCATTCTTAAGTGTTAACATTCCTTGGTAAATAGCTGTATCTGGGTGAGGCGCCAGTCCTTAGTGTCCCACAAGACATTTTGGATGCCTAAACGCTTGGGGGATTTGGTTGTCCCAGATTTAAAAACCTATTATGTACCAACTGCTCTTGCTTGAACAATTTCTCTACTAAGATCAACCTCGATTTAAGATATTATGCATCCCCTCAGCATTACACAATTATAATGGCTCCCACCTCACCTGCACCTGTCCCGGTTTTATTCCTCGCCATGACCAAAAATTCTCTGAATCTATGGAGAAATTGAGCTGGGATCTTACCGGGTAAAACCAGACTTTATACTTGGCACCTCTCTCAACTCTACAACTACTTTGTAGAGATTAGCTTTAATCATTGTGCTCAGCACCCTCTATGAAACTCTGGATGATCATATCATCGGTAAGTTCTTGGCAATGAATTGCTTATGTGGACAGTTCTATTGAGTCCTACAAGACTCAAGTTTGTTAATATATGTGATATCCCTATGTATATGGTGTCATGTTTAATTTGCAGAACTACAATAAAGATGATGAGAAAAATATCCAGTAGTAGCACAATAAAAGTGCAAAAATAATATTTGCACAAAGTAAAGAAATATAAAATTTTAAGCAGAATTCACACGGATAGTCAAGAAAAAATGGTGCTGTTTTCAAGAGAGATTTTAATATTTCTGCAAGGCAGAATGAGGTATTTTAGATCCACAGCACATCTGCTGCACACCCTGTCCTTGTACCTTGGTCGGTACACAGTTACTGACACGTGGTCCAACAATGATGCTTAAGTCAGACTCTGTTTCATAATTATATAAAATGGCATGCTAATGATTTGGTCCCACCTATGGTATACACCCATAGTTGGACTGCATCTCCCATAATTCTTTGTTCTGGCAGAGCAATAAAAGTAGAAGAGGAGTCATGCATGTTTTGTAAGGGGGTGTAACTGGGTTACATGTCCGTGTCCTTGAGGACACACACCTCTCATCAGTGCTGCCTATACCACATGTCATATGCCACCTTTCTTGAAACTATACCTGCCATGATAATTTGCATAATTATATATGCATGGCATCACATTAATGCTTGGAACTGTGAACCCATCCATTCTCCTTGCGCAGAAAACTATGCAACAGAGGGCAGGAGTTGATTTAAAGGGTCTCATTGGAGAGAAGGCCTTCAAACTTGTTTAAGTATTAAGATCCGATTACCATAGAGTTAATACACTGGCTTTCTATCAGTCTCAGTCTGGCATGATATTAGGGTAGTTATATTCCTAATATAAATGTAGCTTCTCAGATGGAGCTCTACAAGCGATGATTTTTAAATCCTCGGCTTTGTCAGTGATTGTCTGTTAAAGGCAACAAATGTACTTTTTTTTTTAAATCTGGATATTCCACTTTCTGCTATTAAATTTGCAATAACATCTACCACAATGCTCTTACGTCTGCTTTTTACTATAGGTGGTGACTGGCCATCTAAAGGAAGATGAAGACTGTCCAAGTCCTAGAAAATGAGTCATCGATGAGAGTGTACAGTCTGTCTGCATTTATCAATGGAAGTCAAGTATGTGGATGTACATACTGAAACTTGTTTCGGTGCTAGAATGCTGACACTGCAGTGATTTGCTGGCAAGGCATGTATTAACACTTTCCATTTATGGGACCTTGCTATTATTTTGCATACAACGGTAGAACTGCCGGAGGTAATTGGCTAATAGTTTGGCTACAAAAATATATGTGTACATATTCTTACAAGATAACTCAAGTAAAAAAAAAAATGATGTTAAGGACTTAATGGATTTAGTGTTCATTTCACCAAAATAATATGTCAGACAAGATATATAGGAACAAAGACCATAGCCATATTGTATTAATTAGTAATTAGTGAAGGATGGACCAATCAGATGCCTGGTAAAACAGAATCCACACATTGTGATGATGGCAAACTGCAGAAATGCATGGCTCTCCTTTAATTATACCAGGCTATCACTTTACCAGAACAGTTACCAGTAAATAACTCCAACCTATATCCACATTCATATAATGTTCTCTATGTATTTGGTTTTACTGATTATTTTTCTTGTTAAGTTCTTTGTCCTTGATTTTTGTTATGTCTCCATTATTTTATTAAATATATTGATATGCAAAAATAAGCAAATAAAAGCCAAAAATATAGCAAATATAAGTTCAAAAAAATTAATGTAGGGGTGCCAAGATTAGCTCAACAGAAGGTGACCATACCACACTCAAGTAATCAACTTTAAAGTAACGGGATATATATGTGCTAAGGTGCTACACAGATCCTAACCAAAGTTCAGAGCGTAATTACTCAAGTCAACAACATACAATGTCCAAATCAAGTAAAAATATATATTCTGATACTGTATCACTATGCAAAGTATCTCACTAACAAACGTGCCTCACACTCTAGATCTGTTTAAAAATAAATCTATAAAATGCAGCTAATCTACAGAGTTTAATATTTCAACAAGATCTCTTCATAGTGATACAGTATCGGTAACATCTTGCCACATTGCTATGTGTATTTGGTTTTTACTATATGTATTGGAGCTGATGTGTACTGTGGTCGTTGCGGCCGCCCAGGAGTGATGGGAGTGGGCGGAGGACTTTTCTTTTTGTATTTGTATTCACTTTTTGTATCACACAGCTTTGTTACAATGCTGCCGCCCATCCCATGTGTTCCCTCTTAAGAGTTAATAAGTATATAGGGGTATATATATATATAAAAAAAATACCCCTCTCTATCTCATTCGAGATATTTTTGCCAGAGGCTCGAGGAATCAAGGTGAAGGGTCAGTGTAGGACCCGTCTAGGCGGGGTCTGCCTTGATGTTGGCAGGCGGGCATTCCCTCCAGTGGCCATTGGAGTAACTAAATAACCTCCATTTGTTTAAATATACATAGGGATTAAGGAGGGAGCACAGGTAACTTTTTTTTTGTTTTTACTCTGATGTGTACTCTGGTCGTTGCTGCTGCCCAGGAGTGATGGGAGTGAGCGCAGGACTTATCTTTTTGTATTTGCTATATGTATTTAACCCCTTAAGGACACATGACATGTCAGGATTCCCTTTTATTCGAGAAGTTTGGTCCTTAAAGGGTTAAAGAACATACTTTAACTTGATTTGGACATTATACGGATATTTTGTTAAAAAGCACCCATGATTGCAACTGAAAAACTTGCCATCTATAACCGAGCGCAATTCATCGGATTTAAGTTGCAATGGTTCGATAAAATCCCGGGAGCTGATTTGTCTACAGGGATTAAAAAATTAACAAGCAGTTTAATCCCAAAGTCTTAAATGCAGGGCCCTCAGCTCTGCCCCTACACTTCCATTCCAGACCAAGGTTTAAATAAAGAAGTAGTCCCCCCTTCAAAAAATGGTGTGAGAAAGATACATATATTTTTTCACTCTCTTTTGTGAATACATAGCTAGTGGTCCGTGTAGTCCTGATTGAAGCCTCAGACTGGAAATGAAGTGAAGAGGAAGGGCTGATGGGCGCTAGAATGAAAACATTATGGTTTGCACAAGGAATGTGCAATTAGTTTTAGTCCGAATGTAAATTTGGACAAATTTTGGGCAATTCGGATGCTTCTGAATGTCCGAAGTGCCGAGTTTCAGAAGTGCTGAACCGAATTGCCGAATTTCCAAAGTGCTCCGGATTTCTGAAAAGTGGCAAAACAAGAGAGGGAGGGAAAATTATGTGAATGATGACAGGGTTAGGGTAGGATTAGGGGTTCGGTTATGGTAGGGTGCCCTACAGATGTTCCAAATTCTGAAGTCCCGAATTGCCAAAGTACCAAATTTCAGAAGTACCGAAGTGCCAAATATTTTTTTCTTACCCGAATTTACAATCCAAATTTTTTTCATCATGCACATCCCTAGTTTGAACAGAAGCGATATTAACCATCCTGGAGTTAAACAATCAGGATTAATTTCTCTATGTGCAGCATTTCAAAGTAAAATGTTGCACATGCAGACTCCTGGCACCATGTCAAATTAAATCATTGAATGGTCATGGTGCGTGGAGTAACCCTTTAATGTAATGCAGGTAGTAAATGGTTAGTGTTAGGGAAGCATTGGGAATACTGCCTAGTGTTAGAGTAGTGAAGTGGTTAAGGGAAGTTCTCTACATACATTTCCCAGTGCTGCCTGAGATTAGGCGTAGTTAGAGTCCCAAACGGAAGCCAATTCAAAGGCCACTAATAAAAACAAAGCAGTTTCTTCTCAGTAGTTCAACTCCCATTTAATAGAGGAGATCAGGACCTGTACGTCCCAGTTCCGTGTATGATTACAAGCTCCAAACTGCATGTCTGCAATCTGTGCATTATTGCTTGTTCAGAACGTTACAGCACAGATGACGTCCGCCTCCGTCCAGTACGCCATTCTAAAACAGGATACCTATATTAAATAAAAGGCAGATTATTTATAAAATCTTTTACAAGGAAGGATATACTATATTTCTTTTTCCTTTTTCTTTTAAAGAAACCAGGAGTCGTGCTGGATAGAGTACCAGAAGGGGCGTTTTAAAGATCTCCATGGCAGGTAAGCAGAAATGTATCACAAAAATTCAAGGCAAAAACATAAAACAATCACATCATTAAATAAACGGTTAAACAAATATATTACCCAACTTTGTATATACCAACCCTGAAGTTGGTTTCAGATTTCAAAGATGAAAAATAAATCAGAATGAAATTAACAATTCTAAATGTTTTAAATTGACATTTCCTCTATAAAACAAAAGGATTATACATAAAAGAAAAAAAAACCAAAAAGTACATCACGGTGTACAAATATTAAAGATAGGTAATGAAAACGTACAACTAAAAACTGTAAAATCCTTCTGTCCATATCTACCAACATAAAGGTGGCTACCTAGTCAGTGTTATCAGCATGCAGTCACAAAGCATACCAACAATAAACAAAATGTAAACACTGATATCTGTGATCAAGTTTCTGGAATACCTAATAACACGTTAATGACATCATGGTGACCGGTGGGGTTGGGTAGAGTTCTTATTCGTCACATTGTTTGCCTACAGCTGTAAAACAAGGAAAGAGTGAAAGGACATAGAGCAACCCAGCCCTTCCAAGCTGATACCTCCCCTCTACTTCTGTGCCTGGTCTCCCTCCCCCCAGTCAGTACACCTTTCCCCTCCTCTGTTGTACAGGCGTCTCCATTTTCTGCATCGGTGATTTTGTACTCTTGGGACTCCAGTGCAGAGACCAGGTCTTCTTCCCACCTGGGGTACTGTGTGTGGTCCCCAGGCAGGTCTTGGTTCACCTATCAGAAGTTATTGGATCAGGAAACAGACAGCACAGAGTTTGGCCACTGTTGTTAACCATGCCTTGGATTCCTGCTGGAGGAGGACGTCTGTTACTGTTGTTAATGGTGAGTGCAGCTCCCCATGGGACTGTTTGTGTGCTTCATACAGAGGCTCAGTTCTCCTCTCCTATGAAACTTGTATTCCCCCCCCATCCCCCCATCCAGACCAGGATTCTAAATGACCGAATTGTTACAGGATGGGGGCAGCTATCACTCTGATCTAGAGTGGGGCTTGTAGGAACGTGTTTGTAGCATAGATCCTTCCTTATACCTGTCTCTGGTCCAACCCCACCCTGCAGCAGGGAAGCTCTGAGTCTGGACAGACACATGCAGTAATAGTTATTTAATTGTAAGGGCACGTGATTCATTTGAAGCAGTCAACATATAAATTAATTAAATGGGGTACTGCTGATTGTTTTGTAGTTTTTGTACACTTTGCTTAAATTCTGAGTATAATAAGTTATAATTCACACCTGTGTTTGGTTCAAACTACTAAGTATACGCATTCTTACGTTTTCCATGATAACTAGAGAAGTTAACTAACCGTAATTAAAGAGTTACTAAATACATAAATTTTTATGTACACAGATAAGTGGTAAAAATGCATATACTTCTTTTTAATGCTTTCTAAGTGCCTAAAACCATGCCTTAGCTGCATAACTTTTGATTGGCAAGATAAACAATTGTTTTTTCCTTGTCCACATAGTTGCGTTTTTTTTTTGTTTTTTTTAATTATAACAAAAAAAAAAACTTTTTTGTCATGGCAGCCCTTTCCATTTGCTGCCTAACAGTTTAAAAATGCAGATACGAAGAATAAAATACTTTTAAACAGTTGGGCATGCCATGAAAAGTGCTGTTCATTTTGGGACAGGCTGTGCTCTTTCAGTTTCCTTTTTTTTTTTTTCACTTGCCTGCAAAATATTTGTATGCTGCTTTTTTTTTTTTTTTTTTTTTAATATTGTTGGACAGCACATGACAAGCAATGCCCCACCATGTTGAGGAGGGGTATGATGAATTAGTCTGTCTTCCTGTGAGATCCTTATCTAATCTCACACAGGAGACTGCTGGCAAGTACCAGGGGGTTAGAATGCCTTACAGGAGAACCCCCAGGAAAAAAGTCAGCAGTTCCTAAACACCGCAATTGGAGTACCACACTTGCAGGGTTAGTAACTAAAGAAAGAAATAATTATTGGGAATTCAAATTTCAAATTTTAAGGCAGAGTAGCCTAACTGAAAGCATAGCTGACTTGGATGGAGTTCAGCTATTTTTGCTGTGAAGTTAAATGAGCTTTGGATTTATGACAGTTCTCACTTTGGTGTATAACCCTGTTGGTGTGCTAATGTGGATCTTCAGATATGGACAGAACTTGAATATTCTTTAAGGAAGTGTTTTGTGAGGCTCTATGATTGACAGCTGGGGGTTGTGGCTAGGGCTGCAGAAATAATGTGCTTTTAATTTAATCTGCATCAATCTGAGCAAAGCAACTACAGGGGCAGAATTATCACCAAAACCACTTAAGTAAATTACACTGTGATGTGTATGATGCCAGGACTCTTCTTGTGCCATCCCATCATTAAGGGAATACTCCAGTGAAATTAAAATAATTTTTGAATGGGGGAGGGGGTATCGTACAAAAACAAAGCTTGTAAAAGTTGCAGATCTGCGATCTACAGCTTTTGCAATCCCTTCCCCTTTTCTCTGACACACACTTTCAATCTGTACTAAGGAATACACCAATCAGAGGTTTCTCATTAAAAAAGCCTCTGTCTTGTAGCTGCTATTACCACTCATTAGCCCCTTAAGGACGGCGTGCGTGCTACGACGTCCATTTTTTTTCAATTCAAAATATTGTTCCTTTCAGGGTAATTAAATTATACAGTAAAGCATACTCACATGCAGACACAGACAATCTTACTGATGCACACAAATAGGCTAATTGACAGACAATCTCAATGCCACACACAGACAAGGTTACACACAAATTTAGTACAGACAAACTCTGATACACACACAAGCTTACTACAGACAAGCTCACTGTCACAAACACGCTCCCCAAAGACAATCTCACCGATGCGCAAATACTCTCCTTACAGACAAGCCCATTGACACACACATGCTCACTAACACACAGATTCACTACAAACAAGCTGACACACATATGGTCACTACAGACAAGCTCACGATCACACACATGCTTACTACAAATAAGCTCACTGCACACACATGCTCACCACAGACAGGCTCAGACACACCCATGCTCCCCACAGACAAGCTCACTAACACACCCACACACACGATCCCTACAGACAAGCTCACTCACTAGCACGCACACACACACATACACACACTCACTCACTAGCAGGCGCACACATACAGAAGCTCACTCACTCGCAGATGCACGCGCACACACGCAGAGGCAGACATCCACACACACACAGAGACAGGTAGACAGCCGCACACAGGCAGACACACACACACATACATACAGGCAGTCACACACGCAGACAGTCACACACTCATACACACACACACAAACAGGCAGGCAGGCAGTCACACATTTCAGATGTGTATTTTATTGCAGTAAAAGCAAACAGTATTATGACATTCACAGTTGCAGAACTAAAAAAATAAAAATTTCTTAATTTCTTTTTTTTTTTTTTTTTTATATATATATTTTATTCATATTAAATTATGTTTCATAGCTAAATATTGGATGTTAAATGAAAGCCCTATTTTTCCTGAATAAAATATATAATAAGTGTGGGTGCACTTAATATGAAAGAGGTGAATTACGGTTGAACTGACCCTAAAATTCCAGGTTTTGTTTTGATAAAAACGTGTATATTTGGCTCAGTCCTTAAGGGGTTAAGAAGTGGGAAAAGCAGGTTCACAGTAGCCTAACGTTTGGGTCACTTATTTTAGCTCTGTGGAGTGACAGCCATGGAGATGCTTTTATAGCCAATTTATTCTATTTAAATCATCACTTTTATAAACTGTCTTCAAATGTGACAAAATCCAGACTGTCCTATTAAGAGTCCAACTGTTGTTGAATACATTGGGCATATCTGTTCTGCTGACTCTGGACCCATGTAAGTGACAAAGTGTTCAAAAAAAGCTGTATTCCTGGCATTATCGCTCCCCCTCGCCTCCCTCACCTGAGTAAATAAAGGGTTAAAAACCCTTTTTTTTATTTACCTGATCACCGCGCCGATGTCCCTCGGGCTGGGTTGACACTCCACCCCCCCCGACGTGCCCTGTAAACATTAGAGCTGGGTGTCCTCATGTAGAGCTTGAGGACGTCCAGTGTCAGATACCGGACCTACGGTCAATTTCAATTCAAGAAGCCCTCTAATAGCTGTCTGGTAGACAGCTACTGTGGGCAGACTTAGTGCTGCAATGTAAACATTGTAGTTTATCTGGAAGTGGCCTGGGTGCCTATAGTGTCCCTTTAACCAGTACAGTGAGCTGTTGTGGTTAGAGTGCCACTTTAAATTGAAGTCCTTTTTGTGGTTAAACTGACCATTTAAGTGAACTGAGCTAATGTAATTTATAATCAGCACCTGTGCTACTTCTGCTAATTGTTTCATATCAGATATTTTGTTTCCATAATTGTTTGAGCTTTCATTAGATAATTATAGTTGATGGGCTGTCATGACTGTCACTTTAAACATTGACTTTATTTTACAGTGCTGCAGATGTATGTATGTATATAATAAAAATGATGAAGGACATTTTAGTTGCTGTAACATCTAAATAGACTTGACACTTCCATGAAAAGAAACGCATTTGGCAATTCACAGCAAGTGTACTTGTTGTAGTTTTAATATAATAAAGAACAGTTCTATTGAGTGCTTTGTAGTTTATAGTGTTTATATTGTCTATTTGGTACTTCATATCTTCTTCAGCTTAGTTCATCACCACTTTATATTTCCTATGAAGTATTTAGTAATAGTAGGGTGTTTTCTACAGTAATTCTATGTTATATGTTATGGATTCATTTATTTATTCAAGTGCTCTTTTTAGGTTACAGGGTTTTTTTTTTTTGTTTTTTTTTTATTAAAAAAAATAAAACATTTTCCAATTCTACTTATTTTAATAAAAAATAAGTGTGCTTTAATTTCTTTCTGCTAATTTACATACTTATGAACTTTAGAAACAGATTTAAGTTGAAAACTGTTGTTTTTGTTTTATATTATATGATATATAATTATAATATGTGTACATGGCAGTTGAAAACAATTTAAAATTAGGATGAGATTGTTTGTTTGTTTTTCTTGTGACAGTGCCTTAGGGACTTTCTTTAAAATAATGTTTGTGCCACACCTTTCCGTAGATACCATAGATGGATGTGTCAAAGATCAGTGTTTTTCGTATTTTACTAACTTTTATGTTGATTGACTTATGATTTATTTTTGTTTTATGTAAAGCAATCTAAATCAAAAACAAATCCGAAACTGTATTCAATATACATTTTAGTAAATAATAAATACAATAAAACCTGGTGTAGGACTATCTGGGGTTTGCAAGCAAAGCTTGATTGTAGTTTAAAGGAACAAACCTCTTTAGGTTTTTTTTTTTTTACATTTGTGTTTTTTTTTTTTTTTTTTTTTTGTATTGCAAAATGGGAATGTACATTTCTTTGTGATTCCAATGTAATGTGCAGAAAAATAGAAGGGCACTGACATTTCAATAATATGTTTTAATTTGTAAACAATGCCAGGGTTAGATTTCGACCCATGAAAACCGTGGAATTGACCAGGGTTCTCTGTAACTATGTGATTCGAAGAAAAATAAATTGTTTTCTCTCTGTTCAGTCTCCCACTCGACTGCGTTTGATCTTTGCAAGTGATTCTAGAAAGATAGGGTCTTCGTCTCAGAATTAGCTCTACATTTAATCTCGAAGATAAGTCATTATTAATTTTGAAATTCATTATAGGGACACACGTTAGCAGATTTGCTTTGTACAGAAATAATTGTACTTTGAGCTGGCCAAATTCCAAACCGATGTATAGATACAAACATATGTAGATACGTGTATCTATTTACCAATAAGCATGACACATTATACAGCTTGTCTAAGACATTGTAGGGTTTATAACTCTTCAGTAATAGTATGGGTCTACAAATATAGAGTTTCTATATATTTGAAAATTGCATTTTTCTGTTCTGTTATAATCCAAGCAATTGTCCTTTTTGTATATTTATGCTCAGCAGGTGCACTGATAAACCTCTGCTACCTAAAAATAGTAATCATTTGTGTTTTACAGAAATCTGTTGAAAAAATATTTTTCTCTTTAAAATAAATAATAATTTCAAAAATGCTGTATCGTACAGCAACTCCTGTAACCCCTTAAAGACACATGACATGTGTGACATGTCATGATTCCCTTTTATTCCAGAAGTTTGGTTATTTTTGTCCTGTTTTATAGTAAGTATTACCTCTTGAAGATCTGTTATCCATTGACAATGTTGCTATTCAAAAAGTCAACAATGTTTTGAAACTTGTTACTAATGATAAAAATGGGCTGCAGGGAGCATGCAATATCAGCAGCCAATCAGTCTGTGATATTCAAAGTAACTCCCAGCTTTCTACAATGCAGGAAATCATTATGTTAAAGTAATGCTGTAGGCACTGTAGCTGCTTCATCTCATTGAAGTGGTTCAGCAGCATCACTAGGGTTTGTGTTGCCCTGTGTGATCATTCATGGTGACAGGCCCACTTCCCTCATGGACTTACTCTTTATTTATTTATAAGATATTTTACCAGGAAGGATACATTGAGATTTCTCTCGTTTTCAAGTAGGCCCTGGGCTCACAAACACTGCATTGTTACAATAAGTTGCAATATAATATTAAATATAAATTTAACACACAGTTTCTGATGGTGTCAGTGTTTTGTTTCCGTGGATTACCATCAATACTATCAGTGATGCTGCTGGAACTCACAAGAGGGATATGCATGGTCTTCACTTAACGTAGCTGCAGACCCGTATGTCTCTGGTCTTTCATGCAATTGTCCACTGGGTTGGTCTTTAATCTCTTTTCACCAGTACCTTCTGCATGGGCCAGCTGTGGTGCCCTAAGGTCGCTGCATGGTAGTGCCGGCCCAGTTGGTGTCATCCGGTGTGGTCTTTACCATCTAAGTGATGCTAGTGTTGGTTGTTGTGTCTAAAGGTCCCCGGTGCTGTCCTCTATGCTGCTTGGGCTAATAAAGTAACATCAGCCTGAGCAGCAATGGGTGGATGTAAATGACTAAGTGTCAGATGACTGCTTTCAGCCTATCACAGCCCCCATTGCTGGTATATTCACGTGTTGTATGGAGGAAGTGTGTTATCTCTGTATTAGCCACAGGAATAAACCCTTATTTAGTGTTAAACTGCTGAAAAATGATTTAACGTTAGAGGGACAGCACCAGGGAACTACAACTACAACCAATTGAATGAGATAAAATTGTTATAGTGCCTACAATGTCCCTCTAAAACACAATGATTATTTATGACTGAAGTGGCCATGGTGTTTGGAGTAACCCTTTAAAGTTTCTGATGAGAGAGAGAGATCATTTTTTTATTATTATTATTTTTTTATTTTTTACATGCAGTATATGGGACTCCATTGCATGTTTAATCACTTATTTATTAGATGTATACACAAAGTCTATGCTCTTTTCATGGGGTTCATTGACCATTGACTTCCAACCTGTGGCCAAGCAAGTGGTATAAATGATGGATTAGTAGCCATACTTCACATTGTTTAAAAGGAGGAATTTAAGGAGGTCTAAGCAAGTCTTGGTGTCAGATTTCATGATAAGCGATAAACTTACCCTGGTACTTCCTCCACTGATGTTTGTGGGAAATGCACTTGAGTTCTAATTGATAAAAGCTGCTCAATGAGCTAATTATGTATCCGTAGCTGTGCATCTTTATATGATCTGAGTCAGAATTATTTAATTTTGTTTTTGACTGACATTTTATATATTACTAGACATAAATTTTATCTAAAAAATAAATACAATTAAAACCATTTTACTTGTCGCAGAATCCTCATGAGTTTTAAAAAATTAAAATGTGTACATAGTCCCATATGTTGTTCAGTGAGTAATGATACAAACATCTGCAAAGTGCCACACCTCACTCGCTTAAACTGTTCTAGCTCGCTAAAGGATCATACTGAATAATTTAAAGCCCCGGGCACAGGGTTAAATATAGCTGCTGCTGCTGCTACACTGAAAACCATATAGTTTGAGTACTTGGCTGTTTTAAGAAAATAACTTTTTACTGCTCTGAGATGAGGGAGTGGAATGCAAGTAAAAATTATTTTTGTGGTTTAAAATGGAAAGGAAAGCCAATACATATAGCATTTCAGCAACAACAAATAAATAATAAAAATGTGTGTAATATGTGTAATTTTTATTTTTTGTAATCTTATAGAGCACCAACATATACTGTAGCACTTTACACCTATTACAAAGAGGGAAATCAGACAGCAGCTAATTGCCAAACAAAAATACTATTGACAGAACTAAGCGTTCAACCAAAAATAGGCTCCTAAAGTAACACTATAGTATTGGGGATTAAAAAGTGTATTCCTAGCACTATTGTGTCCCTCTGCGCCTCCTCCCCTCTAATGGTAAATAAAGGGATAAAAAAAACTTTTTACACTTGCCTAATTCAGTGCGAATCAGGAACCTAGTGCTCATGCATTAATCCTTCCCTATAGAAAAGCACTGAATCAACAAGCATAAAAGATCACATGATTACATTATGGCCCATAAAACAAAATATACTATGAAATGGGACGGAAAGTACAATGAAGTTTCCTGGATAAGTATCCTGTACTTTTTCTGAGTGATAAGTCTTCTCGTCGCTAAAGACGTTTGAACCAGCTTTGTAGGGGATCTGGTCAAAATATGAAATCCGACATATTCACTACATCTTGATCCATCATACTTCATCTTGCTGTAGTTATAGGAAGATTTAATGATTGTAGGAAAAGAACACAAATGACTTTTGTGCATCCACAATCTTTAACACTGTTCCAGAGTGCATATCTGCATATTAAATATTTTGAGTAAGTGATTTTGTGAACCCATGATAAACAAAACTGATGCTGCATGGAATTACAAAGACAGGGGAAAAAAGAACAAAAAGCATCCACCATATATTATTGATGACATGCCTTATAGTAATCGATTTGCTTGAAAAAGTAAAGGTAACAAAATTGCAGAATGTCAGACAAATAGACCATTCCTGATCTATTAAATGTCTTGACTCCTACACTTATTACCATACCATTGTCTGGACATATCAAATTTCATGTGCTTTAAAGGACCACTATAGGCACCCAGACCACTTCAGCTTAATCTAGGATTAACCCTGCCTGCTGTAAACATAGCAGTTTCAGAGAAACTGCTATGTTTACAATAGGGTTAATGCAGCCTCTAGTGGCTGTCTCCTTGAAAGCCGCTAGAGGCACTTCCGCACTTCTCACTGTGATTTTCACAGTGAGAAGACGCCAGCGTCCATAGGAAAGCATTGAGAATGTGCGCGTGGCTCTTGCCGCGCATGCGCATTCAGCCAATGACGACAGGAGGAGAGTCCCCAGCGCCGAGGGAGCCCGGCGCTGGAGAAAGGTGAGTGTTTAACCCCATTCAGCCTGGCGAGAGTGGGACCCTGAGGGTGGGGGCACCCTCAGGGCACTATAGTGCCAGGAAAACGAGTTTGTTTTCCTGGCACTACAGTGGTCCTTTAACCCCTTAAAGACACATGACATGTGTGACATGTCATGATTCCCTTTTATTCCAGAAGTTTGGTCCTTAAGGGGTTAATTTCATACTGGAGCATATTCTGTGTAATATTTGTGCACAAAGCAAGCTAATTAAAAATGCAATAACTGATGATGGTTGTAGAGACAATCTCAAATAATGACATTGCACAAAATTGTGCTGTGACTTTTTTGAAGCATAAAAACATACAGTGTGACTGCAGAGAAGAATCATTCGGCCCATCTAGTCTGCCCAATTTTCTAAATACTTTCATTAGTCCCTGGCCTTATCTTATTGCTAGGATAGCCTTATGCCTATCCCACGCATGCTTAAACTCCTTGTTAACCTCTGCAACTTCAGCTGGAAGGCTATTCCATGTATCCACTACCCTCTCAGTAAAATACTTCCTGATCTTATTTTTAAACCTTTGCCCCTCTAATTGAAAACTGTACTCTTTTTGTGGTTTTTCTACTACAACAAGAGGACAAACTCTGCAAACTACAAAAGTTGACTCATATAAGAGACTATGAGAAGTGTTAAAGGAACACTTCACATCACTAGCTTGCCAAGGTATTTTATGTTTTATTTTATTTTTTTAATTCTTTTTATTTAGTTTTGTCATATTACATTTCAATACAAAAATATTCAGCTTATTCAATAATATCTTATTAAACATGATTCAATAAGCATTTGACAAATTTACATTACAAACAATTTAAAATCATTCCGACCAGGAATTTCTTTAAGCTTGTTTTACATAACTCATGTTATGTGTTTTTTATGTTTTAAGAGTGTTTTTTTTTTTTTTTTTTAATGTAAAGTGCAAATTTCAACAGAAATTGGCATATTTATAAAGACATTGTTACATCCACCTGGCTGCCAATCCAACAACAGGTCATGTTACTTTCTAGCTGTTTAAACTCAAGAGTCAGCAATTGACCATAGCACCTGTGTTGCGTTAGAAAGTCTGTGATTGGACATTCACAGAAAGTCTGGGCAGAGTAGGAAGAGGAGGGCTTGCAAAGGAGACAGACGAGATCTTCAACTTTTATAACCTGTTTTTAGATATACCTAAAATGAGAAAAATGTATGCATGTTTTCATGGTTTTTTTTTTTTTTTTGGTACCTCTAATATAAGTTCATGCATAGAATAGTGCATCCTCTTTGTTCCCAGGAGACGAGGAAAAGTGAGTGTGTGTTTTTTTTTTTTTTTTTTATGGTAAAGAATAATGTCTCTAATTGCTGGAAATTGTTAGCATTTAAAATTGACAAAAGATATGTCTGTGTAAAACCAGATGTTGGAAAGTACAAAGGATAACGTTTTTAAAATGCAAGTTTATTAAGACACATCTGCTTTACAATTAAGTTATTTCTGGGAAGAAAATGAAATAACCAGGACATTTCTGTTACAAATGGTATCGCATTAAAGGATCACTGAAGTTACCAGAACACTGTATCTCAATGAAATGGTCTAAGTGTAGTGGTCCTGTCACTTTAACCCTTCCATGTGGAAACAGCAATGTATACAATGTATATGTCTTCCTAAAGGCACTTCCACCCCCATAGCAGAGTTAAACTCTACTATTCAATCAGATGCTCTCATTGATAACATTTGATTGGCACAACACAATGTTTTGCTGCACATGTGCACTAGCCTCCCAATTACAGTGGATTGGATGAAATCATGAATCTGGATGATCTCAGCCAAGGAGTTAGAGCAGCTGCAGCAAGACCAGCGCAGTGAAGGACTAAAGGTAGCTACAACTCTTTTTAAACCTTAACTGCAGTTTGGGCCAGGTCACCTATAGGTGAGGGAACACTATTGCTTTAGGAGTAAATGTTTGCATTCCGAACACTACAGTGTTCCTTAAATCTCCATACAAAGCTACATTCTTTTTAAAAACCTGTTGATAACCAGACATTTTTTTTTCTTCTTCTTTTGGACACTAATCCTTATTAATGCAGTTAGGGTGGAAGAAATAAAAAAAAAAAATATATATGTATTTTCACAGTAAGTTTTTATAGCTAAGTTTTTAAAACTATTTTAATAAGTAAAACTGATTATGTTGCACCTATGTTAATTTATACCCTAGACCAAAAACTATTTTCTGCCACAGAATATACCTTTTTCTAAGTGTGTACATAATTAATTTTTGCTGTGCACACACTATATGGACAGGTAGTATTTAATCTGTTTAAATCGAACCTATTGGCCACTGGTGTATAAAATCAAGCAGTAAGCCATGCAGTTTGCATTTACAAACGTTTGTAAAAAAAAATTGATTGTTCTGAGCTTCCATAGCTGAAGAGTTCTAAACTTCTACTGGCATTCATATCGGCACAGAAACTGTGCGGATTGAACTTCATGGAATGGGTTTCATGGCCAAGTAGCTGCATGCAAGTCTCATTTCCTGTTTTCTTAACACAATTTCCCTTACCTGGTGTCTAGAGGACCGAGAGAAAGTAAAATGATTACCAATCCTTGCACTATGCTTGGAGGGAATTTTTCTACAAAGACAGGAACTTCAGCGGTGTTTCACATAAGACGCCTGTAATACTGACACATTGACAAGCTCTGCTCCCTTAGGGGCAGATATGTCTTCAGTGATGGAATTAGTGGCACACCCATATAGTGGTCCCTCCCTCACCTGACTTCAGATCTGCCACTGTGTGTGTGTGTTTTTTGTTCATTTACACACACACTAGTCGTGCAGGTGAAGATGGAATGCTTACAGGAGGTGCCAGCTGCTGAATAATGTGCCTTTGGATGTTTAGATTTATTATATATTTTTTTTCTTTTTTCAATCTCTCCATTCAAAATTCAGCAAAGAGATACAAAATAAATACAGTGAGCTACCTGACAAATGTAGCACCATTTCATACTTGATAATTTTCAAATTATCTTTGATGGATAATGACCCATTCCTATTTTTTTTTTCCCTCTTCTTCTGGACAAATACTATTGTTCATTACATAGGGGTGGGTGTGTATATATATATATATATATATATATATATATATATATATATATATATATATATATATATATATATATATATATATATATATATATATATATATATATATATATATATATATAAAATTAAACCCTTATTCTCATGCAGGCTGTTTAAGTCACAACCAAGGTGTACCTATGGCTGCATAAACCGAAAAAGAATTAAAGGAACACTATAGGGCCAGGAACACAAACCTGTATTCTTGACCCTATAGTATTAAAATCACTAGCCTCCCTGCTCCCACCACCTCTAGCCATCCTAAATATAGTAAAATCTTACCTTTTTTCCAGTTTGCCAGTGCTCCGTCCCTGACCTGCCTTCTTGGCTGATATCAGAAGTGATGATATTCCCAAACACAATGGTTTCCCAATTCTGATCATCTCAGCCAAGGTGGTAGGCCAGAGGAAAAGCCAAATGCCTCCCTGGCCAATCAGCAGCCGACTCTGCAGCACTGCCCCAGGAATCCCCTCCAGTGGCCACTGGAGGTGTACCTAGACTGTAATGTAAACACTGCCTTTTCTCTGAAAAGTCAGTGTTTACAAAATAAAACCCTGAAGGGGCTTACTATATACTCCCAAGAACAACTACCTTAAGCTGTAGTTGTTCTGGTGACAATAGTGTCCCTTTAATGTGACTTCTAAATTGCAGAGAAAAACCCTGATATAGTGTAATACAGTACATATATGCAAATAGTAATCACTCACTAGAGAGTTGATGAATATGTTGCCTTAGGGTGTCTCCTGTTAGAATCCTGAGGGGCTGTTCCAGATCCTGTTCATGGGGTTTTTTTGTTTTTTTTTATATCTTCCGGTGTCCTGCTTTCCATGGTATGTGGTGATAACTACCTAAAGCACAAAGAGAATTTGGAGCAGCCCCCGAGGTTTCTAAAAGGAGGCACTCTAAGGCAACCTATTCATCAACTCTCTAGTGAGTGAATTACTATTTGCGCATATATCTGTACTTTACTGTATTACACTATATCAGTGTGTGTTTGGTTTTGTAGATCTACAACAGTATCCTCATTTTTTTTTGTGTTGGTTCGCTATTTTGAGGGGTACTACCTGTTATATCCCTAGAGGAAGCTGTGCATTATTATTTTAAGTTGTATATCTTTTATTCCACACTGTTCAATTCAAGTTGAGGTTGTGGAAATTGTACTGATAAACTAGTGAAACTGCAGGGGCATGATCGATACACTAAAACAACTTCTTTAAATTTAAAGTTGTTTTTGTACATAGTGTCCCCTTAAATCTAAGAATTGTGCCCCTTCAATTATTTATTGAAATAAATTGCGAGAAAGAGGGTGAAAGGTTTTTTACATTATTTGCTAAAATATTTGACTTCATAGAAAAGCAATACACTATTGAATATTGTGTGTGTGTGTGTGTGTATATATATATATATATATATATATATATATATATATATATAATCTGAGTGTGCCCTCCTATCTCTGCATTAAGACACATTCTTTAAATACTCAAGGCCACCCTGATTTTACCAGCATTTTTTGTCTGTGAGTTTGTCCATTTAACCTTGTGGGAACACATTCTCCATGCCTCTTATCAATCAGGCCAGTGATCTTGTCAATGGTATTTTAAATCACAGTTTTTATTTTAGAGGAGAGCTTTGTGGACTCTTCTTTTTTTCAGCGTTTGCCTTGTGTTTGGTAAATGATCTATTTTGTCCATTAACTCTGCACTTTGCAGGTCTGTTTACAGCAAACCTTCAAGTTGCATTCCTTACCAAGGGCACATAACAAAGCCACAGTTACTCTGTGAAAGAATGAACGCACTCAACTGAACAAAAGACTGCTTTAATCCCATTCTGTGATTTCACTGAAAAACCCCTAAAAGCACTGAATAGTCTTTATTCTGCATTAGGAACCGAGAAATCTTTTTCTGATGTTACTAGATGATGATGTGTATGTGTTGTGTTGGCTAAACCAAAATATTTTTAATTGTATCTTCTACAAAAAAACACAAAACAGATTTTATCTAATTTTGGCTAGCAACACTGGCTGTAATGTTGAGTTTTGTGTTTTTTTGTTTTTTTTTTCTTTTTCTATGTATGTGAAAGTTTAATAAAGAGATGTTCACATACACACCCACACAGTCGGACATGAATGTGAATAGTCAGCAGTGCACTGCAGGTGGTAAAATTCCTAATGTCTCATAACTCGAGTTGCTCTGTACAAGTCATCTTACAGAAGTATAAAAAAATACAAAAAAAGTTATTTAAACTAAAAAAATATATACGGTAAAGCTCATGTGTAGTCCTTATTGTTAAGAAGTTAACTCTTGTGATAAAACAAACATTTTTAGCCTCAATTAAAATGTATTCAGTAACCGACCGTTATATGTAGTGGTAAAAAAAAAAGTTGCAAAGTCGGATCAGCTGTTCCTGGACTAGGTAAAGAATTCACTACCGAGCTCTCAATCGAGCAAATATGAGAAAAGCGAACAAAAAAGCCTCTGTGTGTGTGTGTATATATATTTATATTATATACTATTGTAACTCCCTCCTAATTGATCTTCCCAATAGCCGTATTGGCCCGCTACAGTCTGTAATGAATGCTGCCGCCAGACTGATTTTCCTCTCTAGTCGGTCCTCTCACACCTCACCCCTCTGTCAGTCCTTACATTGGCTCCTGTATCCTATAGGAGTCAATTCAAAGTGCTAACCCATACCTGTAAAGCACTGAATAATCTTAGCCCCTCTTATATCTCCTCACAGATCCATAGGTATGCCCCTTCTCGGTCTCTCCGCTCTGCCCGTGACCTTCTTCTGTCCGCTGCTCGTACCCGTACGGCCAACTCACGCTTGCAGGACTTTTCGTGGGCGGCTCCCGTCCTATGGAATAACCTGCCTACCGCCATCAAACTCTCCCCTAGTCTTCAATCATTTAAAGGACCACTATAGTTCCAGGAAAACATACTCGTTTTCCTGGCACTATAGTGCCCTGAGGGTGCCCCCACCCTCAGGGACCCCCTCCCGCCAGGCTCTGGGAGAGGAAGGGGTTAAAATCCTACCTTTCTCCAGCGCCGGGCAGGGAGCTCTTCTCCTCCTCGTCGGCTGCGTGCGCATTCAGCCAGTCTCGTAGGAAAGCATTCATAATGCTTTCCTATGGACGCTTGCGTCTTCTCACTGTGATTTTCACAGTGAGAAGCACGCAAACGCCTCTAGCGGCTGTCAATGAGCCACTAGAGGCTTTAGAGGCTGGATTAACCCATTTATAAACATAGCAGTTTCTCTGGAAAAAAAAAAGGGGTTAACCCTAGCTGGACCAGGCATCCAGACCACTTCATTAAGCTGAAGTGGTCTGGGTGCCTATAATGGTCCTTTAAGAAGTGCCTTAAAACTAATTTCTTTAGGAAAGCCTATGGCCTCCCAGACTAACCTCTACCTCACATACCTGCCTCTTGCTCTCTCCTAAAGGGCAGCACTTTACTCTCTCCTCCAGCTCTGCTCCACTCCCACCTAATTTGACTTCTGTTCCCTGTCCTAATGTGTTTTTATACCCCACCTCCCATAGACTGAAATCTCGTTTGCGCAGGGCCCTCTTCAACCCTTTGTTTCTGTAAGTTTTCTTGTAATTGTCCTATTTATAGTCAAATCCCCCTCTTATAATATTGTAAAACGCTACGGAATTTGTTGGCGCTATATAAATCGCAATAATAATATTATTTATTGCAGTTACTAGGTATTTTTAAACTGAATAAAGTGGTGAAAATCTGGTATACAGCACCAGAATTATGTTTAGAAAATGGCAAAGCTGAAGCTATACATCCAATTTTACTATGTAAGGCAAAGTTTTGTGAGGGCCGCCCTTTCGTTCATCATTCGAAAATGTTTGTGTTTTGACATTTTATTAAACAATAGAGTACTAAACAATACACAACACCTGCATCAAATGGCTTACTGTAAAAGATAATTTGACTAGTAATATGCAAAAACATTTGCTAAATACTTTCTATGTGGAAAAATTATAGAAGTTTATCACGGAGGAGGTGGAATGTCATAAATATTAAAAGCCCAAAGAAAAACTTTTTTTCTGCTGAAGAATGTTCTATTTACACATGCACCATGTGATAAATTCTAAAGTAGACTTGATTTTTATTTATTTAGTGTTTATTTAGTAACCTTTTGGAACTTTTAATCAATGGTAAGGATAGACGTTGACAGTTCTTACTTTTATTTTTTTTTTTTTTTTTAGGATTTGTTCATAGTTTTGAAGTGCTTTTATCTATTGTAAGCTAAATGCAAAAGTTAGTTTTCTATTTCTTTGTATAATAAAATAATTGTGTAAAGAATAGACGGATGCAGGTAACTAAACAACTGATTCTGGGGACTTTTATATGACATATCTCCAAAGACCTGTGTAGCCAAATGCTATGTAAATTAACGACTTTAGATGTAGATTAAAGGACCACTCTAGGCACCCAGATCACTTCAGCTTAATGAAGTGGTCTGGGTGCCAGGTCCAGCTAGGGTTAACCCATTTTTTTTATAAACATAGCAGTTTCAGAGAAACTGCTATGTTTATGAATGGGTTAAGCCTTCCCCCATTCCCTCTAGCGGCTGTCTCACTGACAGCCGCTAGAGGCGCTTGCGTGCTTCTCACTGTGATTTTCACAGTGAGAGCACGCCAGCATCCATAGGAAAGCATTGATAATGCTTTCCTATGTGACCGGCTGAATGCGCGCGCAGCCAGCCGACGGGGAGGAGAGGAGGAGGAGGAGGAGGAGGATCGGAGGAGGAGAGCTCTCCGCCCAGCGCTGGAAAAAGTTTTTACCCCTTTCCCCCTTCCAGAGCCGGGCGGGAGGGGGACCCTGAGGGGGCACCCTCAGGGCACTATAGTGCCAGGAAAACGAGTATGTTTTCCTGGCACTATAGCGGTCCTTTAAAGTATTTCACTACACAAACCAGATGATGGCATCTACTGCATTTATCTTGTCTATAACTATATCTCGTGATAACCCCAAATTACTTCAACTGTCTTAACATGATTTTTAACAAAATGAACAGCGTCAATATTTTCTGTTTGCATCTGATGACTTGGAATAAAACTCTATATCCAAAAGGTACATTTTGCAAAAAAAGCTTTTATTAAAATTCGCTCAAGTATTCCCAAGCCCTAAAACCGTACCCTTTATTAGCTGCTGAACTGCATTTAGTTTTGTTTTGCCTAGCACATACTTTGTTCTTACATGGCTGTATAAATCTAATGCCTTCTGTGGTAGCATAGATAAAGAGGCCCTGCAGATGTTGCTGAACTACAACTCCCACGATTCTATGAATGAAATAGATAGGCTGAGAATCATGGGAGTTGTAGTTCAGCAACATCTGGAGGGCCGGAGTTTGGGGAAGCCTGCACTAGTGTTAGGAATACGAAACTGTATTTCAAACAATAGAATGTCCATCTGCCTTAATGCATACTTAGAGCTTAGGTTGTTAATGAAAAATGCCTAGTCTGAGTGTATCTCAGATACAGGGAATCTGCTCAAATAGGTAATTTCTGAAGTGCCCCCTATTTAACTTTTAGTACGGAGTCGAAGCTGAACATCCGGTGTATAATAATTTAACATTTTTCTAATCTTAAACTAAAATCACCATTTAAAAAGTTCAAACTAACTGAGATTGTAATGTAAATGTTGTGAGTTGAATCCCTATATGGTGTTATTTTTTTTTTTTTTTGTGTTAATTATTTTTTAATAACAATTGATTATCAAGTGTATATATGTATGTGTGTGTGTGTATGTGTGTATATATATATATATATATCATGGAAAATTTAATATAAAATATATATACACACACCTTGGTTCATGTAAAACCTATGCACTGCATGTGACATCTCAAACAATATTTTTTTGGGTGTGATTTAACAAAAAGCATAATAAAAAAGAGAAATGGGTTGATGCCCATACAAGGAATCCCTGGTCAAGGTGAAAACCAAAACATTTATTCACTAAGCTATAAGGGAACAAATGTTACCAAACACTGCTCTAGTACCAGTAATGTCTGCTAAAATGTGGCCCCTATTCTCAGCACTTAGTGTGGATGCGGAATATAATGTCTCCCAATCTTTGTACTGTTTGTACTGCGTGCTGAACCCTCGGAGTGCCAGAGGTATGCCACTCTTGTTACTTTGCAATGTACTGGTCATGTTTCTGGCACTCAAATGCTTAAACACATTAAATAAGGTGTGGTTTTTTTGTTTTGTTTTTTTGACATCCCATAATCTTAAAACGTAACCAGTTGTCACTGGTGTTGTTCTATCCCCTAATTAATATCGTAAGCTCGGCATAATATGTGGCTTTCATATAAAGAGTACTTTAGGGTTTTCCATACTAATGGTGTGGGGTCCTCATTTTAAAAAATAAAGTATCTCAATATTTGTTTTCTCAAGATTGTGGGAAGTTTTGTGTTCCAGGTAACCATCAAAGCAGTTACAACTATCAAAATGCCAGACAGACATTTCAGATCATATTTCTTTATTTCATACTGTTCAGACTGGTTGGTGTCCAATACTCATCCCCTCAAGCTGTTAAATACATTCCAAAATGTTATTATTTTTAAAATGAGCTTTTCAGATATTCCTAGCAATTCGAATGCCTCCTTGTGGCTGTGTATGGTAGTCAAACTAATTATTATGCTGAAATATTTACATGCCAGAGATAAATAGATAGAGATATATATAATATGCCCAAAACAATGTTGCACTCCCCAGATTCCAAATGTAAACGCCCGGTGCTTCTGAGCAATATTACACAAATTAAAAATAGGTAGCACTCAAAGGTTGTAAAACCTAGCTTTTATTGCTCAAAAATCGACTTTTCAGTCTGCCCCAGTAGACTTTCATCAGGATAAGTATACAGTGTAAATATACATCAATAAATACCAAATACAAAAATTACATTAACTCACCCCACCAATGTGCTTGCTGTTCTGAGGACGCCTGGACTGTACGCGAAGCGCAACAATCACATAATTACGCCACACAGCGTGGGTTTGTGCCGTGCCGTCACTCTGCATCATTGTATAAATATACAAGGGAATACAATTTCAATGTGAAAACGATTATATTCCTAAAAATCCAAATTAAGGTGATTAGCAGTTATGCTACTTACACCTTGTTCAATCTACATCAAACGGGACTATCATAGGCCGATCGAATGGATCAGGCTTAGTAGTGGCATGGCACAAGTTTGGTTGTTTGAATCTCACTATTGGGTAAATAACTTGCTTGATTCATATTCCGCAGAGGGCTAGGTTGCCCACAGTTTAATGTAACGCAAATTTTTTTTCTTGCATACCTTACCACTAAACCTACAGAGTCTGCAATATACTGTGTGTGTGTGTGTGTGTGTATAAAATATGTATATATATATATATTACACACACACACCCATGAATATACCCTTTATCACTAAAAAGTGCTAGCCCACATTGGTACTATTCAATATCTCAACTCCAAGTAAACTAAGTTATAGAAATAACCATTGATACACATTGGTAACCAGTATAACAATTATGGCTACACCATGTTGCCAGTCAAATGTCTACACAAAGTAGACCTTTCCTGTGTCACAAATTGTCAATGGCTTGTAGTCATAATCAACCCAAGTGAGGGGGTGTCTCGCTATATTCTGTAGGGTCTATCCCCCAGGGAACCTCCCTAATGATCTATCTATCCATCTATCTATGTGGCTGTTAGTCATTTCATTAAATCATTTTACAATATTTGTGATGGTTGGAAACAATTTTCTTTTCTTTTTCTTGTTTTGCAGGTCATTTTGGGACTTGGACATAGTCTTCATTTACAGGTATAGTCTATTAAATACAATCTGTTCTTGTCAAATGTGTGCAGTTTTGTTCCTGTAAAAAAATTATACACTTTAAACGTTAAGACAGGAAAGTTCTTTACATTATTGCTAAAGCTTGCTTTGTAACATTTTAATAGGACAAGGACTGACGTAATTTGTGTTAATTTCTATATTGTACTTTTAAGTGGAAGTAAACTCTTAATATTAAAATGTCTCTAGTATTCAAGTTTTGATTCACCCAGGGGTCTTGCTAAATGGGGAATCGTGTGTGTGTGTACATATATGTAAAAAAAAAAAAGGATGAATGGAACAAATCATACAGATGCTAATCTACACTATGACTAATTCTGTTGTTTCCTAATGGAGTATAACTAAATTGCAATACTGTTACATTTTCTTTTATTTTGTAAATCCTCACGCAGGGCATAATGCAAACATACAAGACATTTTATGTACGGTCAATTGCATTCTTGTATCGTATGTGTACTGTCCTTGTTGTAATTTATTTTATTTTTTATAATTTTTTTCCTTCTTCAAAAGGTGAGAAAAAGAAGTGACAACAAACCTGGTGTAAAACCAGAATATACACGTCTAATACGGCAGAAACGGGAATGGATTATCCCACCTCTTTCAATAGCAGAAGAACAGGATAATTCTTTTAGGAATCCTATAGCAAAGGTGCGTGTTGCAAGAATATGTTTTTGTATATTTCTGAAAGGTTTTTAAAAGATGCCTTATATTATGCCTTCTCAATTACTTTCCACTACCAGCCCTGTGGTTGTTTTAACAACAATATCAATTTTTTCAGATTTTTATTTTTTTATGATATCCCACTCTTAATATTCTTGTTCCTCTGGTATGGGGCCCTAATCTGTTGCATTCAACCTCACACACACCTGTTTTTTTTAATTTAGTTTTTTGTTTTTTCCTCCTTCCCTTAAGCAAAAGCCGCATCCATCTCACTGCAACTGAAGTGATTAAAATGTAATTACTAACTAGTATCAACAGTATCTTTCACAGATGCATACAAATTTGCTTTAAAACAATTCCCTATTTTAATGAATGTTTTGAACTTGAAAGAAAATCCTATATAGTATAAAATGTATTGTTTTGCGTTATAACAAAAATGTCACTGATGTAGCTGTATATCCTTTTTTTCTGTTCTCCATTGATCTTATATTTCAGTCAATTTACCACAGACCAAATATGGTTTTTATATATGAAACCATGAGGGCTGCACCCACCTAAACATGCATATATTACAAGGGTGCTTTAATATAACATACAATATCTAGACCACTCCTTTATTAAATTCTGTGGCACATACCAAGAAAAACATATCTTTGAGGTGTGCCATTCATCAATAAGTTTTTTTGTTTTTGTTTTTTTTGTTTGTTTTTCTCTCTTTTAGAATTTGCTTGTGTAGCCCATTTTTTTGTTTTAATGGATTTAATGAAGGGATTGTGGTTCCCTGTGGCGGGGGTTATCCTTTTAATTTTCCTTGAGAGCACTGTTCGTGTTTTGTTTCCTTTTATAAAGGGATATTAAGTAAATTTGAATGTCCTTTCCTCTTACTTTTAAAAAATATATTTATTTATTTTAAGCTACAAATTATTCTTTGTATTCCTGAATCATGCAATGGTAAAGACTAGAAATAAATAGGCTGCTCATAAGTGGTCAGACACCAAAACATGCTTTTTTCTGTGAACCAGCATTTTCTTCTTTCTATTATTAAAAAAACTAAAATTTGAATTTATATATACACATTTTTTTTTTTTTTTTTAACCTGGATGGGTGCCAGTCTAGATTTGTTAAACATTTCCATTATGAATACTTTAAATTTTAGATGAATAGTTCTTTCTATGAACCCTTCTGACATCTGAAACTATATATTCAGTTGACATAGTATTTATACATTTTATTAGATGCATCATGAAGTTAACCTGAACAATAAACATGCCTTTTTTATTTTTATACATTTTGTGTTTTCTTAAGTTGTGCCCAAGGTTTGGTGGAAATTGTTACTAAGTCATTATTTTACAGTCCATTTTTTTTTTCTTTTGTTCAGATACAATCTGACTACCAGGGCTCCATAAGAATTCGATATTTGATCACTGGAGCAGGAGTTACTGATCCCCCTCTTGGCATATTCTATATCAATGAGAGGACTGGTGAAGTAAATGTGACTGGGATTGTGGACCGAGAGGAAACTCCAATGTTCTTTGTAAGCATTGATTTAATGGGTTGGGCATATGTTAAATTGCTGATCCAGAATTCATAACTTTTTTTTTTTTTTTAATGAGCAATACCATAGGGTTAATGGGAGCAATTGAGTATCTCCCACTGTAAGTTATGGAAAATGCAATATGTTCTAGACTGGAAACTAAAAGGAACCATTCGCACTATGTGGCCTGCACTAGGGATATTTTAAGAGTATGTGTGGAGTTGTGGCCAGGGACTTGGCTGTTCTTTTTGTAGTCTAAAATTTCAAATTAACCTTGAACAGCCAACAATTCACACTTTACTAAGAAACATTGAATATAATCCAACTTGATCACAGCACTTTATGAGACATTCAGCATCCCAGGAAATGGTTTCAGCGGCAATTCCCAATTTATTTAAGATTTTTACCTTTTTTTTTTTTTTTTAAAGCTATAATGACGTGATATAAATTGGGGTTGCTTATGATAAAATGTATCAGTCACTTTAGCAAACGTTTTACAACAGTAATTTTAAATTTAAGACCAAAACAGCAAATCTTGGAAGCACAGCTGCCTGGGAGAATTGTTCCAGTTCAGCTATTTTGGTCTTAAATGTAATATTGACTTTGAATTCCCAACAATTCTCAGTTTAGTGACTAACCATGTGACTGTTTGAAGACCTGCACACATGTACAATATGATATTCCTAGGTTTGAAAAAAGTGACTAGCAGGTGGCTGAGCTATCTCAAGCACTTCATGGTTGCTGTGGTTTAGAGGGTTGGCATTACAAATTCCTTCAAATAAAGCTGCAGTGGTGAGAGCATTATATTACCAAATGTTAGTGAGGGGTACTTTCACCCTGAATGGTAAAGAATATGAATGTTTGGGTTTTTCTGTGTTTGTTTATTTTTTGGGGGAATGCGGGATTCTTTTATTTCTAATTTGCGTAAAAAAAAAAAAAAAAAGCACAATGTGCAATTGAATTACTAGGTGAGCTTTAATACATTAAATGAAGAGCACCAAAAACTAACGTTCACCAGTGGCACTAGTTCTCATCAACAAAGTTGTCTATTGTGCTTTTCCACTGCTTTGGTTTTGTATTTTCTATGCTGAGGTAACAGCATTGTTTTGCATAAGTGTGGATTGTTTCATTTTATTTTTGGCACTGCAGTGAGCACACTACAAATCTGCTTTGATTAATTTACATTAAATGTATCTCCTGCAGCTCAAAGGATATGCATTGGATCAGAGCGGTAAAGATGTTGAGCCACCTATTGATCTTCGTGTAAGAGTTCTAGATATCAATGATAACGCCCCAATTTTTACATCTGAAGTTTTTATCGGTGAGATTGAGGAATTGAGTGAAGCAGGTAAGTTGTTGTTATGGACTGTAATCTTATCAATTTCCTGAATTATTATGTATATTATCAGACATATTAATCCATGGTTAATATAAAAATATTTGCACATGATTAATCCTGGCCTGTAAATTAAGTAGTATAGATTGATACATATATAATGAGCAAGTATCTATTTATATATTAAAAATAAAAATGTTTGCCTTACCTGACTGAACTCCCTAGTACCAGCTTTGTCTAAAGCTGATACTAGTGAGTTAGAGAGACACGGCGCCTACACAACCTTTTATACATTGCATAGCTTATGGTATTAATAATTAGCAGTATTTTGCATGTTTAATTTTAACCGATTTAAACATAGATGCAAGTTCTGTTTATGGGCTATTGATCATGTTTATAATATCTGCAAAGAGAGTTAAACGTATAATGCACAAAATATACTGTAGCCCTTGCAGTGATGGATTAAAGATGTCCAACAGTTCACATTCCTTAGAGCTGTGTAATAGGTTTCTGATTAGTAAGGTTTCGTCTTGGAGTTGGCTCAAGGCTCATGATGTGTAGACGGAAATGTATCAAAGTAAATTGCAAAATGTTGAGAAATATTCAGTTTCAATGGCTATTACTCCTTAGTTGACACTTGGTCCTAGAAGAGCACTTGTATTTACATTGCTAAATCTCCCCTATCATGTGTTTGTTGTCCCCCTTTTTCTCTTATGTTGAGTAGAATGTTTAACATGTTCATACTTATTCTGCATTCTCTACAGACACCCTTGTAATGAAGCTAAGTGCAACTGATGCGGATGATCCACAGACAATGAATGCTAAACTTGCCTACAAAATTATCTCTCAAGAGCCAAGTACATCACCAATGTTTGTAATCATTAAAGAAACAGGTGAAGTTCGCACAATTTCATCCTCAATCGACAGAGAGGTAATAAAATCTATGCATTTCCTTTTTAATCTAAATTAATTGATTTTGTTTTAGTGTTTTTTTTTTTTTTCTTCTCTCACTTACTGTCCTGTCTTGGTGTGACCGTTTGGAAGCAGTGGCAGGATACCTTAAGCAGGGGTAAGCAACCTTCATCACTCCAGATGTTGTGGACTACAACCCCGATAATGCTCTTACACCTCCCAAAGCATCATGGGAAGTGTAGTCCAAAACATCGGAAGTGCCAAGGGTTGCATGTCCCTGCGGCCTAATGCATCAACTGCTGCATCCTTTTATTGCCCTCAATGGGTTGTGGGTGCTGCCAGCTGCCATGACTAGCTTACTGAAGGCCTATTTCCTGTTTCTTGTTAGTCTCCGTGTGTTAGTGATTTGTTTTTTTTTGTTTCTATGTCACACAATCTCATAGAGTGCACTTCTTGCATTGTTATTCCCTGTATTCCTAGATAATGAAAATGTGTGATTTTCGTTGGAAATATTCCATTATGTTCCCATATGGCCATTAAGATAATTGCACAACATACAAAAGGATTTAACATAAACTACAAAAGTGTACAGAACTTCACATTATCTCCTCTTACTTTGTCTAGACGAAATCTGTTTAGATATTCCACTCATCTTCAATTTCTGTCACAGAATTCAAATAAATGTTCTATATATTCGTGATTGACAAAGTCCATGAAACCCTGTGATGATCCACAATGTCTGACATGGCAGTGGAGCAATGTGTTATGTCATCTTTATACTATTGCACTGAATATCAGACTGTTTGCGCTATGGTTGTAAGCCACTGTACTAGTCCCAAAATGTATTTAACTTAAAAAAATACCAATTCGTTGTTGAGTACTTGTAGAATCATAAATAAATTGACCTTAAACCTTACTCATGTAAATTCATCAGTACATGAAATATTTAAAGATATATTCTATTTTAAAATAATCATTAATACCCTCCCCATAATGCGCAAGCCCCACATCTTTCTGAGTAAGCATCGATCCAAATTTTTTTTCCTCAATTCATGGCAACCTGTTGTCTTTTTTGTTGGCAAGTAGTACAATTGTCCCTTTAAAGGAAAACTATAGCGTGTTAGGAATACAAAATTGTATTGCTAAAACAATAGTGCCTTAGGCCCTCCCCCTGCCAAGGCAAATAAGGTTGTACACTTACCAAAGTTCGGCACCATTGTCCCTCGGCGCTAGGTCGCGCTCCTACTCTGCTGAAGTCAGCCGATGGGGAACCTAATGTGCATGCGAGTGCCCCACTCTTGCATTAGGCTTTCCACATAGGAAAGCCCTGGCAAAATGTTTTCCTATGGGGATCTTCAATACCCTGGATGCCCTCATGCAAACACACTGGAGGTTCTCAACTCCAGAAAGCGTCTGTGTTGGCTGTCTGGTAGTTATCCACTAGAGGAAGTCCTAACCCTTTCATGTAAACACTGCAGTTTCTCAAAACTTGCAATGTTTTACATTGCCGGGTTAAGAGAACCGGAACACTGCACTCAGACCACTTCAATGAGATGAAGTAGGCTGGGTGCCTAGAGTGTCCTTGTTAATACCTTCACTATCCCTAATCCTTAATGTTTAGATTAACTAGAATACCCTGGCATTAAATAATCGTGTAATATAAAAGATTTACAACACAGCTGAGTGTATGATGTGAAAACAAATTCCATTCTTGTCTTTTGGTTTATTATTAGATTTTCGTAACAAAATTAAATATTTTTTTCTCCCTCTAGCAACAAACCAGTTACAGTCTGGTTGTGGAAGTGAAAGACTTGGATGGAGGTCCAGGTGCACTCGCTGGAAGATCTACGCTGAAAGTCAAAGTTAAAGATGTTAATGACAACATTCCATACCTGGAATATGAGGAGGTAAATAAAAAAAGAAGAAAAAAACTGGTGCTACCAAGCCTACTCTTTGCTTTTTACAAATGGCATTCAGCTGCCCAATGCTTTAATCTTTGAAACCATAGTTTCAAAATGTATTGGTCCATATATTAGTCAGGACCTTCCTGGTTTTGTATGACAAGTGTTTTTCCTTTAATCATCTGAGAGCCATAAATGTGAGCCTTGCATAGGTTTGATTTCATGTCCGTGTCGATTTTCCCTATTATTGTTGTTATTATTTTTTAGTTTTTTTACCTTATTGTGTTCAAGCTTTAGACCGAGCAACAGATGCTGCATTCCTTCTGCTACTTTACAAAACGGCAGAATGCCTTTCACTTGAGAGCTTGACATTTACTCAAATACAAGTGAGACTATGAAAAAGAAGACAATAAAAATGCAAAACCCTGGTGGAACTCTCCACCTTGCAACAATTAAGTGTTCAGCTTAAGTTATTGTTGTCTAGTGTTTTGAGTTACTACTCAAGGTAAAGTAGTAGAACAGAAGTAAGGACTGTCCTAAAATCAATCTTGATAAGTACATAAAGGTTATTTTGCTGCAGCTTTATCTTGTAGTGTTTTAAGTTGCTTAACCATCTTTTCAAGCAACTGGTAGTAAGAATGATCATACACTTATTCTAAGCTCACAACAAATATCCTCTAAAATTGTTTCTTCAAAGAAATACCATATAAAATATGATCATATCCTTTCCTTTATCTGAAAACATGGAATTTCATGGTGGAACCCAGTGCAATAGATCCTGAAGTCTAAATCCCACCACCACTTGCAATAAAAAAAGTTTTTTAAAAAAAGTATTGACTTTGCACTTCATTGCTCTCTTATTTTATATTTCAGTATGAAGGCAGTGTGGAAGAAAATACAGCTAATGTGGAAATAGTGCGTATGAAAGCAATTGACCTTGATGAAGAATTTACAGATAATTGGTTGGCCAACTTCACAATCATCTCTGGAAATGAAGGTGGCCATTTTGAAATAATAAGAGATTCTAAAACAAATGAAGGAATACTAATGATTGTTAAGGTAAGTTTTACACTGTACAACTACACACTTTACATTTTAAGCTGTTTTAGAGGATTGCAAAATTATTCTGCAATATCAAAGTAGACTTACATTTGAGCTGTCTGCATAATCTTGTTTTGTATATTTGACTTAAAAATGCTTTATGTAGTTTTGTTTAGTTGACTTAAGCTTACTTGTCATTGACCTTGGCTACCTACTCATTCTGTGCTGCCTCACGCATGAAATGTTGCATGAAACGTTGCCCGTGGGTATTCTTTTTACATAACTTGCATGACTAAACTGCTCCACTAAATGCTAGGACTCCTATTTTGTTATCCACCATAATGGAATAACATAGGAAACATACCATGAAATATGTATTCTGCAGCTTTTTAAAAAATTTTAAAAAATTTTCTTTCCCCTCTAGTGTCCTACTGTTTTTCTATGTATGTATTTATTGCATGCTGATCTTCATGTTTTCCCATTTTCCTGTCCTGCTTAGGATCTTCTGTTGGCTCTACTGAGCTAAAAACTGCAATGCAGGGCTAGCTCATCGTTGCTGTTGAACACGGGGGTAGGCAACCTTTGGCACACCAGATATTGTGGTTTGCATCTCCCTTGATTCTTTGCCAGTATTTTGAAAGAAAACGCTTCATGGGAGATGTAGTCCATAACATCTGGAGTGCTCAAGGCTTCCTAACTCTGTTCTAACCTATCCTCATCCCTCAATTCCATTCTTTCCCCAAAAATGTGTTTTTATATTTTTTCACTGTGCTTGGTTAAATGAAATAGTTTGTTCTGCTTTTTCCTATGTAGGGTATTTTTATTTATGTATACCTCATAAACTGTAACACTTTTTTTTCTAGTGGATTATCTGTACCCATCAAGCATATATTATACGACATTGGCTGCAGAATGCTAGTTGCCTTGACATTGAGCTTCATTTTGAGTTACATTAGATTACAAAAAAGTATTCGTTTTTTTTTTTTTTTTTATGAAATCACTTATCTTCTCAACTTTAGTGAATAAACTCAAAGTCATAATTATAATAACTTTTCAAGAAGCATTACACAGTACCATGCTGGGCAAAAGTAGTGCAGCCAACATCCTTTATGTAACATTTAACAGGTTTTTTTTGTTTGTTTGTTTTCCTTTCATTAAACCATAAATTGAAAACAGAATTACTAGATTTGGGCTGAAATAGCTAAGTTATGACTATAATTGGTGAGTGTTTGTACTTTGTTTAGGGTTTTTGGGAAAAGAAAATTAAACTTACCCAGGTAGTCCTACCACTTCAACTTTTCCAGGGATCATATTTGTATTGTACATAGTTTAAATGTGAAAAGAATGACTGCATTTCTGTTTTTTGTTTCCAGGAAGCTGATTACGAGGAAATACAAAATGTTGAACTGAAAGTAGTTGTTTCCAACCAAGCAGAATACCACCACTCCGTTTATAAATCCAGTGGCGGTGGCGGAGGCGGTGGCGGTGGTGGTGGTGGAGCAGCAGGTGGTGGAGGGGGAGGAGTTGGAAAGTCCATTCCCATTAAAGTGAAGGTGAAAAATGTGCCTGAGGGTCCTGTGTTTAGGCCAAGGAGAAAATCCCTTGTGATCAAGGAGGGAAAAAGTGTAATGATCAATCAAGTTATTGGTTCATACCAAGCAACTGATGGAGACTCTGGAAAAATTGCTTCAAATGTCAAGTAAGTGTTTTTGTGTGTTTGGTATGAATGTATAGATATTGATTGATTATGTCAATAGTTTGTAAATACTTGATTAAATCTAAAGTACTGCATATGAATAAATAATATTTCAAAAACAGGTATGCAAAGGAGTATGACCCAGACAATTGGTTCATAATTGACCCAATCACAGCTGAAATTAAACTTTCAAAAATACCAGATCGTGAGTCAATATACGTAGTGAATGGGACCTACATGGCAAAGATTTTGGCTATTAGTGAAGGTAAGCTTTAACTCTTTGTCTTCTTAAGAGAATCTCACTCAGGAGAAGCTAATTTTTATCTCCTTGCGTACTAGAAAGATGAATATTTCAGTATTTTTGCAGTATTTCGGTCAATGTCAAAAAACCTGTAGATCCAGTGTGGGTGATCTACAGTGACCCATACTAAACTTCATGTTTATGACTGCTCCTGATGATTTTCATTGCAAGCACCCATTGTTAACAGGCAAGTTGAACAGGTGACTGCCACAAGAAGTAATGGGAAAATTTGAATTTTATATAATTAATGGTAGGACAAATCATAGTCCTTTGTGAGAAATTACAATTCTTTAATAAAGAAGTTAACCAAATAACTAAATGATTATTTAAGTACGTGTTTTGCCAAACATGACTTTGTGTAACATTTAAAAGTATAACATTTCACCTAGGCTTTGGCAATTACAAACATTTTCTAATTTTGCCATCATGTTCTTAGACAAGATGAATAATGTTCCAAAATGTCAAAACCTTTTTCTAATATTTTTATTTTTAAATGTGTAGTTCTTCCAGGAAAAACTGCAACAGGGACCATTGCAATTGAAGTTGAAGATGAAAATGACAATTGTCCAACACTAGTAGAACCAGTGCAAACTGTTTGTGACACATCTTCATTTATCAACGTGACTGCTGTGGATCTTGATGGATACCCAAATGGTGCTCCTTTCACATTTACGGTCATTGATGAGCCAGTAGGATTTGCTAAATTATGGACAATTGGTAAAAAAGATGGTAAGTATCACACATATAGCTACACTCAACAATCTCTGTTAATTCCTCTATTCCTTGCTGTTAAATATTAATTATTTGACACTTTTTATTCACAACTGGGACTATACAATACTTACATTTTATAGTTATTCATTTTTAATTTTTTTTATCATCAACTTCTTAGATGTTAGTGTGCAACTGAAGCCTACTGAGATCTGGCCTGGTATACATAAAATCCAGCTTTTGGTTACTGACAATCAAGGATTAAGCTGTCCAACATTACAGGTCCTTCAGTTAACTGTCTGCAACTGTGGAGATGGTTTTGCTTGTAGAGAAAAAATGGTGGACTCATCTGTTAAATTGGGAGGTGGAGCCATTGCACTCATGATCCTTGCCTGTTTGATATTATTATGTAAGTACAGAGGATAAGAAAACATTTAAAAATTTTAAATTATGAACATTTGCAGTGTGTGTGTGAATATATTGTTTTACATGACTGTTATGAATTGATGGACTAATTTCTAGAAATACAAGAGCTAGAAAAACATGCTAATTTCTGGGTCAAATTCTAGAGACTGTTAATGAGTAGCTCTTCATATGAAAGTTCCTTTTATGCTCCATGTACATGAGTGAAGATTGATAGGACAGAATGGACACTTGTATCTCTACTGCTGGATGTATAAACGGTTTTATGGAACTAAAGTATCTGATTTCTTTACGCTGTTTTTATAGATTCCTAAACCAATGCATATTTCCCTGCATTCTGAGCCAGTCCTCCTCATAGATTTAATAGATGATATATTTATTGTTTGTTTTTTGCTATACAGTGATACCACTTTTGTTGCTAATGTGCTACTGTGGATCTGGAGGGAAAGGATTTATGGCCATTCCTGATGGGACAGAAGCGACGATTCTGAGTTCGAACCATGAATTGGCAGAACCACTGAACATGGCAAGTATTTGAGGATCCAGAAAATTTGTAGAAATCTAGTTCACAACCTTAAAGGGACACTGTAGACACCCAGACCACTTCAGCTCATTGAAGTTGTCTGGGTGCAATATCCCATGTCCCTTAGCCCTACAGTGGTAATTATTGCAGTTTCTGAAATTCCTTTATATCCAGAATGTGACTTTTAAAATTTTGTTGCTTATTGGGTTAATGCATGACACTTGGCCTTATTTATTTCTGAGCAGTTCACATGATAATGTGTTAGAATAGTAAAATTTAGTGTTTTCTATCTTTCTGTAGAATGCAGTTTTCCAGATGTTGTATAGGCTTTGCAGGAAGTCACAGGATCTTTCACATGACATTTTCTCAGCCCGGCCCCTCCCTCCCCATACATCATCCCTACACACCTCCCCCCTCCATTTGTATGATATAACCCATACAGATATATACACAGACACACAGAATGACACTTCAACAGATACAAACAATGACACAAATGCAGATACACATACACAGAATGACACGCATACAGATACACAGGGGCACACACTGACACACAGATACACACGTACAGAAAAACAGACACACACATGCAGATACATAGAATGATATGCATACAGATCTAAACAGTGACACACATGCAGACAAAAAGATACACATACAGACATTCCAACACAAATACACAGATACAGAAATTCTAACACACACATTCACACACACGCAGGTACAGACATTCACATACAGATACAGACATTAACACACACTGTTAAAAGTTTAGTCACCCCTGCGACAGCGGTGGTTCTGCTACTGTTCATAGTCCCCTTTGTACATCTTCTTGTTTCCCTAATATCTATGAAAAACTCTCTTTAATTGGTAATTATAAATCATTGCCATCACACATAATTTTGGATTTTTTTTTTTTGAGTAGAGCGTAACAGAAGATTATTTCTGAACATGTGTTCAAACCTCATATTACAGTCATATGCATAATGGAAAACTTTTATTCATATCTTTCTGAAAATTATTGAGAACTATGCTTCACTTATTGCAGCCTGCAAACTATGCCACTTTAAAGGGACACTATAAGCACCAAACCACCTTTAACCTAATGGAGTGGTTTGGGTGTATAGATCATATCTCTGCAGTCTCACTGCTCAATTCTCTGCAATTTAGGAGATAAATCACTTTGTTTATGTATCCTGAACCACACCCCTTCTGCATGTAACCTACTGAGTCTGTCTGATACATTTCTTGTAAATAACAATCAAATATGTAAGTTTCCTTTCATTATACATTCTGTTTAATTTACAATTTCGTGTCTCCTGCTTTAATAGCTTGCTAGAGCCTACAAGAACCGTGTGTGTGTGTGATTTTTAAAGTTAAATTCACAATGCATTAAAAACCTCTAAAGTAAACACACTGTGCTTTTGACATCTGATTAAAAAATTACATTTCAGTTTTTTTCATGTAGGCTGTGTAAGTGACAGCCAGGGGAGGTGTGGCTCAGACTGCATAAACAGAAACCAAAGTGATGTATTTACTAAATTTCAGAGAATTTAGTTGTGTAAGATTTGAGGGACATGATCTGTACACCCAAATTGCCTCAGTAAGCTAAAGTTGGTTTAGTGCTTGGAGTATCACTTTAAGCCAGTCAGTCCAGAACCGGGGCACTCACCATGCTGACCCATTTTGTTATATTCCTCTTATTTCAAAAGCAAGGGGACAGGAGGTCTGCATTTCTGCACCTGCACAGACTGATTAACCGAGGGCCCATTATTGAACAGCTGGCACCTCCCATCGAATGTGTGTGAGATAGAGAGATATATATATATATAATTTTTTTTATTTATTTTTTTCAAACACACACATATACACGTCATAAAGATGGAATACTTACATGAGGTGCCAGCTGCTGAATAATGTGCCCTTGGGTGTGTGTGTGTGTGTATATATAGATATGTATATATATGTGTGTGTATATGTATATATATGTGTGTGTGTGTGTGTATATATATATATATATATATATATATATATATATAAAATTTTCTTCAATCTCTCCATTCACAATTCAACAAGGAGATACAAAATGCAGTGAGCTACCTGACAAATGTAGCACCATTTCATACTTGATAATTTTCAACCTCTCTTTGGATAATGAACTGTTCCTATTTTTTTTCCCCTCTTCTTCTGGACATATACTATTGTTCATTATATAGATATGTAAATGTATAGCCTATATATTTTAATCCAAAATACTAATTATCAATTAAAAAAACAACAAAAAAACACATTTCTTGACTTAATAATAAATACACACACAGTTCCATGGCTTGTGGTCTCACGATCACCTTAATGGCAATTGCTATATGAATCTCTATATTCTCCTAGATCAGGTCTTCATCACTTAACTTTTGAAAGTGTTAATTTATTCACTTGTGAAAATTTAAGAAAATAAATCAAAACCTCATACATGCCTGACATTTCATTGTGGTTTAATGCAGTGTTGTTTTTTTTCTCCTTATACCTTTCCAATTAGGCTTCTCTACCAATTGCTTCAGTAATGGCTGGTGAGAATGGAGGGGAAGTTGGTGCTGGAATAAAATCTAATGGGTATGGCTTCCAATCTGAACGATATGGAAACAATTTAAAAGGAATGTACTCATCCACAACAAACACTCGATGGGAAGAGCACAGAGGACTTATGTCTGGAGCAGGGCATGCTGAAGGGGCCGGTTTTGGAAACCAATCAATAGGAGTTTTAGCTTCAGGTAGTGGTTCGGGAGCTGGAGCTGGTGCCGGGTTTGCAGCTGCCGGAGATAGTGGGGCTTATGCAGCTGGAAGTGCAGTGGCACTGAATGAAGACTTTTTAAAAGAATACTTCAATGGTGTAAGTACTTGGATCATGACTTTTGCTAGCAATTGAAATTTTCACTTCTGTATCTTGTAGGACATTACTTATTATTATTATTATTAATATTGTGGTACTGTTAATTACACTTTGATGTATAGTTGCATCGTTCAACTGTGATACGTACTGCACTAAATATCTACAGAGGCACATCAATGCTCCTCGTCACCTGAATGCAGTTGGCCATACAGTTTCTTAAATACTGTGCCAGTAGAATTTGGCAATTAATACATTTACTTCTTTATTTGACTTGTCAGTGGACTGTAAATAGTGTCCGTCAAGGTTTTTACAGTATTCTGTTTCAGTTTGTTTATGTGAAATAGACTTTTGTAATGTTTTAATTTTCTTTAGGAATGTTTTTGTTGGGTTTTTATTTATTTTTATTTTATATTATTTTTTTCAGTTGACAGGCAAGTTTAAAATCGTTAAGTCAAGGTCAACATATCAATAGTTTTTTTTTGCTTTTAAACCAGAACGCAAACCATTTCAAACAAATATACAAACCAAAACAAAGCAAGGAATACTTTAAAACGTATGATATAAAGGTTTATAAACTTAATCAGATTGCATTATTAAGCATACCTCTCAGCTGCCGGAGTTCATCCTCCCCACCCATCTCCATTTTAGACCAGTCCACTAATGACAGAAACAGGGCATCATTGTGCAGCAGCAGGAGAAAGAAATGCAACAAGGTTTCAAGGTGATGAGATCTTCTAATTGCACATGAGTAAATATGTCAGGCATGCCCAATGCACATATCCAGCATTCCTAGGGATAGGGCACTGATGGTTAGATCAGTGTCTGCCCCCCGCCTCCCCCACCTGGAATGGCAGTGGAAAACATAAGAAAGAGGAAGCAGGTGAATATGATGAAAATATCATATTTACATGCCTTAAGCATTAAATTAGACAATTGTCTCACTCTGCAGGCTGAAAAAAGCTTTTGGCTGAGACCTTTGTCTCAAAGTGATGCATATCCCTTGGTATTATTAAAATAAAATGTGAAATCAATGTGTAAAATTTTATGCCTGACCACTGTGCATGACTGCAATATGGCTAAATATCTTTAAAACCTGTTACTGAAACTAACTTTCTGTTTCCATAGAAAGCCATTTCATTTGCCGACGAGGAGGATGCACAGCCATCCAAAGATTGCATTCTGATTTATTCCCAAGAAACTGAATCACTTGCAGGCTCTGTTGGCTGCTGTAGTTTCATTGAAAGTGAATTTGACGAGGCATGTCTGGATAATTTAGGGCTGAAGTTTAAAGTTCTGGCAGATATTTGTCAAGGCATTGAATTAAGCTCTGCTGGGCACATAGAAGAGTACAGATCCTATGATAATCTCAGGCAAGATACACTGCAAGCACAAGAAAACTTGGAATTTGCTGTAGCTCAAGAGGAAGAAGAGTTTGACCTACGAAATGCCTCACATTTCGAAACCGCCTATGCTTCATCATCCATGGGCCACCATATAACTGAGCCAGAAACTGCAATGATAGAAGAAGTGGTTGATCAGTCCTACGGATCTTCGATGTACATGCATGAGCCTGTGGTTCGTGGTAATGTCCTTGTGACCGAGAAGACCTACACCACAGGTCCTCCAATGCGATTTGAGCCACTGCATCAGCAAAATGTGCTGGTGACAGAGAGGGTAATTCGCCCTGCTTCTAGTATGCATAAAATTATTGACTTTGCAGATGGGCAAAATGTTATGGTTACTGAGCGTATGATCAAACAAGACAAAGGTAGGTCTGGATTAGATGTTGGTGAGCTTTCAGATTCACAGTACTTACTTGTAACTGAAAGGGTCATGGCACCTAGCTCAGGTCTAAAGACCTCAATGAGCATTCCTGACATATCTGTAGGGCAAAATGTTCTAGTTACTGAAAGGCATTATGCTCCAATATCCAGTGTACAGGGCAATGTCCTAATTCAAGCTGAACGATCTGGTGGGCAAAGTGTGGTGGAGAACATCACAGTTGCAGAAGGTGGGTTAGAAGGCCAGATTAACTTTAATCAAGGTGGTTATTTGATGGAAGAACTGCCTCCTTCCAGTAGCAATGTAGGGAAATCAACAAGCCGAGTCACAAAATACAGTACTGTACAATATACTCGTTCTTAAGCAATATCCTAGAATGCAAGCTTTCTATTGAAGTTTGAAAGGTTTTAATAGTGTAAAGCAAATAGTTATTCCTTTTCTTTAAGCTTAGCAGTTACGCAGTTTTATTTTTAAGATCCCTTCCAAACAAAATATCAAATAGTAAATTTTTCCAGCTAGACAGAATATTTAGCAAAACCCAATTTAGGAAATGTCTAGCAGTCATTCAGTATGTTGCACCCTAGTGTTAGTATTTGAAAGGGAAACCCACTAGTAATTGCTTACACAGTGTTGTTTTGGACACTTGAGAAACACTGAAACCTTCATCTTAATATCTATCCTTTCTGCTTAAGAGTCCAGCACAGTAAGTCAAAATGCATAGTATGTAATGTGCATTCAGAGAGGAAGCAAATGTATACAGATCCTTTTTACTCTTCTTTTAGAGGCAAAGCTTTTTTATTTTAAAGGCCGCTGAACCTTTTGGTGTTCTATTAATATGATGGTTAAATAGATTGTATCATTACCTGGAAAAAAAGAAACAGACTATTTTTTTACATTTTTTACTTGATCTGTATTTGAATTTTCTGATTGCATATGATATTTTAATTTGCTGAATACAAAACTGAACCCACATACATCATTATGCAAGCCATCTTGTTTAAAACCCCAATGATTTGCAGGTAGAAATTATGCTTTAATAAATTAAACTTTGCTTAAAATGTGTTTACACACTCTCTAGTCCTGTGACACAAATTTGCTTACGTAAATCAATATTAAAGAAAACCACATAGGGATGTAATGCACCTTTTGGCTACTGCAAAGATTATTGTGGGATTATTACATTGTTGAGTATTAAAATAAGGCAATTGCATGTTTTAGGCGAAGTGGTTGGATTAAAAAGGGACACTGTCTGCACCCAGACAACTTCAGCTCATTAAAGTGGTCTGGGTGCAGTGTCCCTTTTGCACTTAGTTTGCATTGCAGCTCTTTGTCTGCCCACCGTGACTGTCTACGAAACAGCCCAGCCACTTGAGGGCTTCCTGAATCAAAACAGACCTTTGGTCCGGGCTCTGCATGAGGACCACCAGCGTCAGATTTTTCCCCATAGGAAAGCATTGATTCAGTGCTTTCCTATGGGGGAGGTCTAATGCACGCGGCATCGGTGCTTGGAAAATGTTAGTAAATAAAGGGTTTCAACACTTGACCCAGGCGGGGAGAATAGTGGAGCGCGAGGGAGGGGTAGGCAAAGGGGCTTTAGTGCCAGGAATACAGCTTTGTATTCCTGGCACTTATCCTATCCCTTCAAGGAATACTTCCAGTACAAGTATATTTATATTGTTTGTTTTCCACAATTTGCAGTTAAGTAAATAATAACATTGGTAATGGCCAAGTGTGGCAATCTGAGGGACCACAGTATGTATTTAAACTGTGGGAATTAATTGTTTTTAATATGTATTTTGACATGTTTGAGGGAAAGTGCATTTTTGTTGAATCCAGCTTTCAGGTAGAAATATGGAAAAACCTCCTTGATTTGTGTTTTACTCTAGATTAAATGTACATATGTAAATAAATTTTATATCATTGTGATATAGCTATCACTGGAAATAATAAAACGCAGCGGATTTAAATTGTTGCATTGTTTATAGCAGAAATGTGTTTTGTTTTTTTAATGAAATGTGTGTATTAAGAAAGATAATGTTCTAACATGGAACCCACACACACCCCTAGTCTTTTGAGGGAACTTTAACTGTTTCATTCCCAAAAATCAGCAAGAACCAATTTATTTTTGTAGTTTGTTTTCGCAAAGATATGTTTTGACAAATGCAGTTTGCGTGTAATTTCTATGCATTAAAAGAACCCCTCCCCTTATTCCAAAAGTATTAAGACAATTCTATTTCCAATGGTTAAGCCAAACCTTGAAAATATACATATTATATCTCTGACACACTCCTGGCAATTTTACCATCATTTCAAATGATTTACTAGAAAAGACAAAGCATATCGAGACAAAAAAAATGTTCCTTTTGGCTTTCAAGCATAATGTGTACATATACTAATACCATAAATACCATCCATTTGGAGGCTATATATGCTTTGTGCTGTTTTTAATGGTCAAAAATGTCAATGTATCTTATGAATGCCAGACATGTCTTGATTTTTTTTAGGATTCATTACAAATATGTAGAATTATACTTGAACAGTGCCCTGTATTAATAAAAGAACGTTAATGTTTGTTTTATACATATAAATATATGGTAGGTCTTGGATTTTAACCTATTGCTTGTCATATATCATCTTTTAAGTCGCTACATTGCTTATGTCTTGCAAACGCATAAGATATTTTTGCACTGGTTTTATATGCAGGATACATGGTACTGAATAAAGCAAACTTTAAAGCCATATATGCTTAATTTTTTTTCAATTTTTTTTTTTGGGTGACTTCATTATTTGAATTAGGATTTATAATAACCTTAAAAAGACACTCCAGGCACCAACACAACTTCATCACTGGAAAGGGTACTTTTCTTTCCAGGTCAGTTTAGTGAATAGGTTGTCAATGATTGCATGAAAGAGTCAGCTGACCGCTCTGTCAATGAGTGAGGTCCCTGCCCGGCGGTGCTCCACGCTTCCTGAATCTGAAAATTTAGAACCCAGATGCTGTTGGGGAGGGGTGGTCATCAATGCTGGAGGCAACTTTGGGGCTAAACCATTCACGAACAGTTTAAACCCTTGAGATAAGAGTGCCTCCAGGCACTATAACAATTTAATTTAGAGAAGTTGTTTTGGTGCCTGGAGTGTCCCTTGTAATCTAATTTAGCCTTAATTTCTAAAAGTCTGCTCGGCTAATGGTTTTAAGACCTTGCATTTTAAAATTATTTGACCACTTATAAGGGTTAACCAGGCACTCCTGGAACCATAAGCACTAAAGCATGCTGAAAAAAGAAAAACGAAATCACAAAAATAGAAAAAAAAGTGTAATAATGTAAACCAATATCCAATATTAGACAAAGAATACAACTAATGAGGTCAGATGGCTCCCCGGAAAAAGGGAGGTGCTGTACCCCACTGGAATTACCTCTAAATGTAAAAAAATCATCTTATAGGTAATAAACTTTGTTATAAATTGACGTACAAAATATGTGCAACAAAAAGTGAAAAGTGATCATCACTATCAATTAAAAAGGAGGGGAAACTTACAGAGCTCAGTGTCAATTGTAGTAAAAAATGGAAACCGTGTGAGCTACTAAAATGAAATTTAAACTATATCCCAGATTGGTATGTATCAAAAACAGAGTTTCAAATTCAAGTGAACAGGATATAGTATTAGAAAGGAGAGCACTACACATTTAAGTCAATCCACCTCTACGGTAGCCACAAACAGCCACAGGTCTACAAAGAAATCCTGTTGGGAAGTACTCAAACTCCCTAAATTACGTATGTAGATGTAATTAAGACTCATTTATGTAGGAAAATCCTGTGGCTATAATTAGTTGCAAAGCTGGTAGAGATAGAGGGGGAAAAAATCAACTGAAGTAGTTTCCATGAATAGCCACAGTACTGAGGTAGATTCTGTGGTTTATACAGGAAAAGTCCTGAAGATAACTCCAAACCAGATACTGGTGCTGAATGGGTTACGTATAATCCTTAGAATGCCCTAGGTACTAGTAGCTCACAATTTATTGGTTTACGTATTACTTCATATAGATCATTTATCTAAACTCCAAGGGTAAAACAAAATGCTTAAACATAAATAGAGTGATATAGTCCTAATGGGTAACTCCCAACAGCAAAGAGACAGAGCATAAAGGCAGTATCGGGAAGAAAGGGGGAGTGGAGTAATAACACAGCTGGGGTGTAGGTATATATTCCTATAAATTTTACACGAGGTTGGAGCAAAACAACGTTATCCAGACCAAACTACCTTAGAGTACAGCTGCTTCAAGGCAGCCCACCCCCCTTTATTAAGGTTAAATCTAGACTAAGTAAGTCATAGCCGCAGGAAAATAAATTGTAGTTTCTCTTAACCTTCTAAGTAAATAACCTCCATCCTTAGACACACAAACATAAAACTTTATAAAATCAAGTAAATCTCGTATTCGTGCATCAGCACATAGGCTTGACGCGTGTTTCGGTGTAACTATCCACCTTTATCAAGAGCAAAATCCAATATTAGTACAGCTGTATATCAATATAGTTCATCAGTGTTCCCAATAATGTACATTCATGGTCTCCGCAAATGGCAAGCTACACAGAGCAATCCCGCTCAGGGGTCCACACGTGGATGGAGTGTGGGGAGAGCTTTTTCCCAATTGAAGAAAAGTGTTCAAGATGAAATGGCTGAATTAATCAGAGCCAGTCTGGTTGGATGTCTGTAGAAGGTCAGCAAAATCTGTAAACTCTCCCCTTTTCTTTCTCTATTTTTTTTTTGTGGGGACCACAAATACTCCCAAGATTGCAAAGTGTGTACACAAAGCTCAATGACAACAAATATTGAGTATCAAATAACTGTTTAGTAGAAGTGTGTATAGTTATTGCAATTCTCTCCCAGACACAAATGGTTTCCTGGGGTCTGTATAGAAGCCATTGTTTTGTTCAATAAAGTGCTCACTATTTTCACTCTTCATCAAGTCTTGGCTGATGTTTGGGTGACGATCCCACCTACTTTGCGGGATCAGAGTGAAGGCAGTGCCGGTGCAAGGATTTTTGCCGCACCAGGCAAAAAAATAAATAAATGTCAACCCATTCGCTACACAGGGGTCCTGTGTGTTAAACCTCACAAGATAAAACATTGCCTTGCCTTGAAGGGTTAAACAAGCCTCTAGTAGCTGTCACACTGACTGCCACTAGTGGTGCCTTTGCTACAATGCCATGCTTAACTACGAGAAGGATTGGAACTGCATAGCGCTTGCCACTGATGCGCATCAGGTCCCCAGTGCTCCTGTATGAGCATTGGGGACATTGGATTGGACCAGCGTTGCCCCATCAGTGACATTGATCGAGGTATAGAGGCAATCAGTGCGGGGGGGGGGGTTACATTTATGTTGAGACAGAGACTTATAGTGTTTGGAATACAGGTTTATATTCCTAACACAATAGCAGCTATGTAAGTGCACCCTAGGGCCAGTGGCGTACTAAGGGGGGAGCAGGTCAGCCCTGGGTGCAATCAGGTAGGGGGGTGCCACCAGGGGCGCCGGGCAGCCGACACAGCTCACACATACAGGGGCTGGGAGCAGGAGCAGGAGACCTGGCTGCACAGAGATTTGGGGGCGGAGCCAGGTCGGCCATGGGGGCAGAGCCAAGTTGGATGTGGGGGCGGAGCTAAATGCAGCCTCATACTGCTACACACAGAGGGGAAGCAGGAAGGAGTCCCTGCTTCCCCAACTACAACACAGCAGGGACTCACAGAATTCACTCCACCCAGCCCAAGCTTCCTGTAAGTGAGAGAGTGTGTGCTGTGTGTAACTGTGATTGTGACTGTCTTTGGCTGTGTGTGTGTGTGTGTGTGACTGTGTGTATGATTGTCTGCCTGTGATTGTCTGTGTGACTGTGTGTGTGGATGTCTGCCTGTGACTTTCTGTGTGACTGTGTGTGTGGATGTCTGCCTGTGATTGTCTGCCTGTGATTGTCTGTGTGACTGTGTGTGATTGCCTGTGATTGTCTGTGTGACTCTGTGTGTGTGTGATTGTGTGACTCTGTGTGTGTGTGACTGTGTTGTGTATGTGTGACTGTCTGCCTGTGTGTTTGACTGTCTGCCTGTAACTGTGTGTGAGCGACTGTGTATGGGACTATGTGCATCTGACTGTGTCTGACTGTCTTTGCCCTGCAGTGAGCCGGCAGCCAGGATATGATGTCATCGCGGCCTCTGCATCATTACAGGGCGTGTGATGGACCTCTGCAGGAAGAGCACAGAAATCCCAGCAGCAACCACTGACCACCAGGGACTGAGGATCCACTCCAGCCCTTCTAGAGCAAGGCAGGGAGGCTGGGTGGACCTCTTAATTATTAAATGTGTGTATGTATGTAATGTTTGTGTGTATGTGATTGTGTGTCTGTGATTGTATGTGTGTGGGTCAGTGATTGTGTTTGTGTATATCTGTGATTATGTGTGTGATTGTGTATATCTCTGTGTATGTGTTTAGTAGATAGCTCCCCTATTTCCTGTTCTTAAGTATTGCAATCCCACATAAGGATAACAAATAAGGAATTTATCTACTAAACAACTGAAAATAAGAAAAGGGTGTTTTTCTAATCCTTTAGCTGTTTAGTAGATCATTCCCTGAATTGGTGCCTGTATGTGAGATTTCCATATTTAAAGATACCAAATGAGGGTGCTGTTTAGCAGATAGCACCTTATTTGGTGTCCTTAAATATGGCAATCCCACTAGGATAGCAAATAGAGGAGTTATCTGCTAAACAAAGATTGAAATTAAAAGGTGTCAGCCAGCCCACAACAAGAAATCTGGGTGGCTAATGTGAATTATATGCAAATGTGTAGTCAGATGCCACCATGCAGAACACAGCATGCTGGCATCAGACAGCCAATGGCAGCATATTACCCCATCCCCTAGTGAGAAGTTTTACTGCTCCCTCTCCCCCTCCTGTTTTGACTGTGGTATCTTATGTGCCCCCCCATATATATTGTTCCTAGAGTCGCCACGATGTCTGCATGTGTGTCTGTGTGTGACTGTGTTTGTGTGTATATGTATCTGCATGTGTGTATGTCCGTGTATGTGTATATGTGCAGACATCTAAAAATCTCGCCAACACTACACACAAATACACTCATGCATTTCAACGTCAACACTACATACAAAGCCCACCATTATATATAACCATACCACTGCATTCAAATACCACACAACACACAAATGCATGCTTGCATTCAAACGCCAACACTACATACAAACACACTGCTACATTCACTCACATATACTCCATACAAAAACATGCATACATACAAACACTGCTTAGTGCTAAATACATTAAAAAAAAAAAGTGGTTGTTTTTATATTTAAAATTGAGGGGGGAAGGGAGGGTGCCAAAAATAGGACCCACCCCTGGTGCCAAATGCTCTATGTACGCCCCTGCCTAGGGCCCAATGCCATAACCTGCAGCACACATTTTGATCCCGCGACCCCATTAACAAGCGCCCTAGACATCTCAGGCTATTGTCCTAAGGTTGTTTTGACACTTTCTACATAGCCATTTCACCGCCAATCTCTGCTAAATATTGGAGTAAAATTTAGTTTTTTGGGGTTTTTTAGCACACAAACTTATAACAAAGAACTTCTCATGTGTATTTTGTAAAGTTGGTGTGTGCTATTCCTGTACAAAGCTTTATTTTGTGTTCAGTTACTTCTGCTGAGTAAAACGATACCCCCATTGTATGTCTTTGGCACTATTTTATGAAGCTACAGTGCCATATAGGAGACCTGTCCGTTTCAACATTTACAGTAGAATTTTTAGAGGCGGTTTTAATGGGCCTATGTTTCAATTTAGGGTATTATAGCAGTTTGATTGTTCAAAAAAAAAAACACAAAGGCCTACCCCATGTTTAATAGCATGGTGTGCCCGTTCTCATCCAACATTATCTGCTTGTTCCAGTATGACCTCTGGAAGTTATTCCTTTGTCAATGTACTGATTTGATGATGTCATCAATTTGGTTTTAAATTTTACATCAGAATGACATTATCCTTCTCTAGCTTATGCTTTCATGGTCTTAATTCCTATCTGACTCTATATCTATTCAGGATATTTCAGATATTGAATGCCAGGAGATTGCTGACCTTGCAGCTTCTAGGGGAAACTAACTTGTCTGAGCAGATTTTATTACAATATGCTATTGATTCTTGTTTGGCTTTGTAAAGTCTTCTAAGATTTATACAGCTCAATAATTGTTTTATAGCTATTAGCTGTTTTTGAACTCTTTCCCTCCCTCAATATATACTGCTTGGGTATTCCCCATGAGTAAATGCTGCCATGAATAATGGTCAGGAAAAAGGAAAATTGTTTCATACTTACCGTAATTTTCTTTTCCTGATAATTATTCATGGCAGCATTACGTTCCCACCTATATATTATAAGAGTTGTGAAGCTAGTTACAAAGACTGCCTGATGGAAAGGGGGAGGATCTATTTATACCAGTTTCAAAGTTCTATTTTCTGTCCTTTCTGCTGTGAGGGGAGGAGCTAACCCATGAGTAAATGCTGCCATGAATAATTATCAGGAAAAGAAAATTACGGTAAGTATGAAATAATTTTCCTTTTTCTTATTACCACCTGTACTTATACATATAGAAAGCACTATGGGCCTTCTCCTCTTCTTATTTTCCATATGATCTACACTGCAACTACCATCAGAGGGATATCCTACAAGTGGGGCGTTTAAATACCACTGTACACTGTTTTACCTGGAGCTACTTATAGCTCTTTTAAATGTAAGTTGGCACTTTTTAACCACAGTGTTGTCTCTAGCCAATTTATCAACTATATTCAGGGGCGGACTGACCGGTCGGGCACTTCGGACACGGTCCGAGGGCCCGGCCGGGAGGGGGGCCCGCCTCCAGGGCCGCCTTCAGGGGGCCCGGCGGCAGGGCTGGATTGGGGGGGACTGCAGGTGCCACCGGGTGGCCAGTCCGGTGGCACACTGTGAGGGGGGGGCGGCCGTTTCATGTTAGAGCCGCCGGACCGGGTGGCAGCCTCGCCTCTCCGGCGGCATTCCGCTCAATAACACTGAAGAGGAAGGAGGAGGAGGAGCATGTGTCTGTCATGCTCCCTGCGGTTCCCACAATTCCCAGCACAGGATGTGGGAACCGCAAAGGAGCATGACCGACACATGCTCCACCTCCTCCTTCTTCTTCAGTGTT